ACATATCCGCTTTTCTCTAAAAGTTTCAAGTCTAGCGCCTTGCCGATTTGCATGTTGGTTGGCCCATTCATCCGCTTCAAAACGGTACCAAGTTTGTTCAGATCCATCTACGTTAAAGTACATTTAGGCTGCGATACATGGGAGCCAGGCGGGTTGGCGCTGACAGGCCTCCCTATGGGACTTACTGCACAAAAACGAAACTAGTGGCATTAGCTACTACATCTCCGCTTTTCTCAAAAAGTTTCAAGTGTAGCGCCCTGCCGATTTGCATGTTAGTTGGCCCATTCATCCGCTTCAAAACGGTACCAAGTTTGTCCAGATCCATCTATGTTAAGGTACCTTTAGGCTGCGATACATGGGAGCCAGGCGCGTTGGCGCCGACAGGCCTCCCTAAGGGACTTACTGCATAAAAACGAAACTAGTGGCATCAGCTACTACATCTCCGCTTTTCTCCACAAGTTTCAGGTCTAGCGCCCTGCCGATTTGCATGTTAGTTTGCCCATTCATCCGCTTCAAAACGGTACCAAGTTTGTCCAGATCCATGCACGTTAAGGTACCTTTAGGCTGCGATACATGGGAGCCAGGCGGGTTGGCGCTGACAGGCCTCCCCATGGGACTTACTGCACAAAAACGAAACTACTGGCATCAGCTAGTACATATCCGCTTTTCTCTAAAAGTTTCAAGTCTAGCGCCTTGCCGATTTGCATGTTGGTTGGCCCATTCATCCGCTTCAAAACGGTACCAAGTTTGTCCACATCCATGCACGTTAAGGTACCTTTAGGCTGCGATACATGGGAGCCAGGCGGGTTGGCGCTGACAGGCCTCCCTATGGGACTTACTGCACAAAAACGAAACTAGTGGCATCAGCTAGTACATCTCCGCTTTTTCTCCAAAAGTTTCAGGCCTAGCGCCCTGTCGAATTGCATGTTGGTTGGCCCATTCATCCGCTTCAAAACGGTACCAAGTTTGTTCAGATCCATCTACGTTAAAGTACATTTAGGCTGCGATACATGGGAGCCAGGCGGGTTGGCGCTGACAGGCCTCCCTATGGGACTTACTGCACAAAAACGAAACTAGTGGCATCAGCTACTACATCTCCGCTTTTCTCCAAAAGTTTCAAGTCTAGCGCACTGCCGATTTGCATGTTAGTTTGCCCATTCATCCGCTTCAAAACGGTACCAAGTTTGTCCAGATCCATCTACGTTAAGGTACCTTTAGTCTGCGATACATAGGAGCCAGGCGCGTTGGCGCCGACAGGCCTCCCTAAGGGACTTACTGCACAAAAACGAAACTAGTGGCATTATAGCTACTACATCTGCGCTTTTCTCCAAAAGTTTCAGGTCTAGCGCCTTGCCCATTTGCATGCTGGTTGGCCCATTCATCCGCTTCAAAACGGTACCAAGTTTGTCCAGATCCATGCACGTTCAGATACCTTTAGGCTGCGATACATTCGATCCAGGCGGGTTGGCGCTGATAGTCCTCCCTATGGGTCTTACTGCACAAAAACGAAACTAGTGGCATCAGCTACTACATCTGCGCTTTTCTCCAAAAGTTTCAAGTCTGGCGCCTTGCCGATTTGCATGTTGGTTGGCCCATTCATCCGCTTCAAAACGGTACCAAGTTTGTCCAGATCTATCTATGTTAAAGTACATTTATGCTGCGATACATGGGAGCCAGGCGGGTTGGCGCTGACAGGCCTCCGTATGGGACTTACTGCACAAAAACGAAACTAGTGGCATCAGCTACTACATCTGCGCTTTTCTCCACAAGTTTCAGGCCTAGCGCCCTGCCGATTTGCATGCTGCTTTGCCCATTCATCCGCTTCAAAACGGTACCAAGTTTGTCCAGATCCATTTACGTTAAGGTACCTTTAGGCTGCGATACATGGGAGCCAGGCGGGTTGGCGCTGACAGGCCTCCCCATGGGACTTACTGCACAAAAACGAAACTAGTGGAATCAGCTAGTACATCTCCGCTTTTCTCCAAAAGTTTCAAGTCTAGCGCCTTGCCGATTTGCATGTTGGTTGGCCCATTCATCCGCTTCAAAACGGTACCAAGTTTGTCCAGATCCATCTATGTTAAAGTACATTTAGGCTGCGATACATGGGAGCCAGGCGGGTTGGCGCAGACAGGCCTCCCTATGGGACTTACTGCACAAAAACGAAACTAGTGGCATCAGCTACTACATCTCCGCTTTTCTCCAAAAGTTTTAGGCCTAGCGCCCTGCCGATTTGCATGCTGGTTGGCCCATTCATCCGCTTTAAAACTGTACCAAGTTTGTCCAGATCCGTTTACGTTAAGGTACCTTTAGGCTGCGATACATGGGAGCCAGGCGGGTTGGCGCTGACAGGCCTCCCTAGGGGACTTACTGCACAAAAACGAAACTAGTGGTATCAGCTACTACATCTGCGCTTTTCTCCACAAGTTTCAGGTCTAGCGCCCTGCCGATTTGCATGCTGGTTGGTCCATTCATCCGCTTCAAAACGGTACCAAGTTTGTCCAGATCCATGCACGTTAAGGTACCTTTAGGCTGCGATACATGGGAGCCAGGCGGGTTGGCGCTGACAGGCCTCCCCATTGGACTTACTGCACAAAAACGAAACTAGTGGCATCAGCTAGTACATCTCCGCTTTTCTCCAAAAGTTTCAGGTCTAGCGCCTTGCCGATTTGCATGATGGTTGGCCCATTCATCCGCTTCAAAACGGTACCAAGTTTGTCCAGATCCATCTATGTTGAAGTACATTTAGGCTGCGATACATGGGAGCCAGGCGTGTTGGCGCCGACAGGCCTTCCTAAGGGACTTACTGCACAAAAACGAAACTAGTGGCATTAGCTACTACATCTGCGCTTTTCTCCAAAAGTTTCAGGTCTAGCGCCCTGCCCATTTGCATGCTGGTTGGCCCATTCATCCGCTTCAAAACGGTACCAAGTTTGTCCAGATCCATCTATGTTAAAGTACATTTAGGCTGCGATACATGGGAGCCAGGCGGGTTGGCGCTGACAGGCCTCCCTATGGGACTTACTGCACAAAAACGAAACTAGTGGCATCAGCTACTACATCTCCGCTTTTCTCCAAACGTTTCAAGTCTAGCGCACTGCCGATTTGCATGTTGGTTGGCCCATTCATCCGCTTCAAAACGGTACCAAGTTTGTCCAGATCCATCTACGTTAAGGTACCTTTAGGCTGCGATACATGGGAGCCAGGCGCGTTGGCGCCGACAGGCCTCCCTAAGGGACTTACTGCACAAAAACGAAACTAGTGGCATTAGCTACTACATCTGCAATTTTCTCCAAAAGTTTCAGGTCTAGCGCCCTGCCCATTTGCATGCTGGTTGGCCCATTCATCCGCTTCAAAACGGTACCAAGTTTGTCCAGATCCATGCACGTTCAGATACCTTTAGGCTGCGATACATTCGATCCAGGCGGGTTGGCGCTGATAGTCCTCCCTATGGGTCTTACTGCACAAAAACGAAACTAGTTGCATCAGCTACTACATCTGCGCTTTTCTCCGAAAGTTTCAGGTCTAGGGCCCTGCCGATTTGCATGTTGGTTGGCCCATTCATCCGCTTTAAAACGGTACCAAGTTTGTCCAGATCCATCTACGTTAAGGTACATTTAGGCTGCGATACATGGGAGCCAGGCGGGTTGGCGCTGACAGGCCTCCCTATGGGTCTTCCTGCACAAAAACGAAACTAGTGGCATCAGCTACTACATCTGCGCTTTTCTCCGAAAGTTTCAGGTCTAGCGCCCTGCCCATTTGCATGCTGGTTGGCCCATTCATCCGCTTCATTTACGTTGAGGTACCTTTATGCTGCGATACATGGGAGCCAGGCGGGTTGGCGCTGACAGGCCTCCCTACTGGACTTACTGCACAAAAACAAAACTAGTGGTAACAGCTACTACATCTGCGCTTTTCTCCAAAAGTTTCTTCAAAATAATTATAAATTCAGTTTTACCCACCTCTGATTATTTTTTCCGCTTTGAATATAGACAGAGGTAAGGCCAAATAGTTCCGTTTCCGGTTTCCCTACCAACCCTATTCTGACATCCCCTACCCTAATTTTGTTATGGAAAAATTGAGCTTAAAAACACCCAAAACCATCAATTTCTTCGTTAACCTTGACTACATATACACGCAGACACCTCCATATGACCGTTCACAAAAAAAATGGCAAACAAAATACCTACCTACCTACCCTATTTCCAAATGCCATGTAATCGGAAGCAGAACTTTTTTTTTTGGGTGGGGGGGACGGAGGCTAATCTTGGAATTGGAGCTTTGTGCCATGTGGGTGCAGGCCAGTAATTTGGCCCGAAATTGCCTACGCCGGCCAAATCACTGATTTGTATGCCCTCATTTTTTTTTTTTTGGCAGGCCATATATTTTGTGGGCCATGATCTTACTTGAGGGTTAAAAAAGAAAGAAAGAAAGGGTAGATGCTGTGAACTGGGCTCGGAGCTCGTTTTTCTGTGGAATTCGGATGAAATTTGGCCCTAAAATGTGTTTATTTTGTAGCGAAGCGTAGCATCATTTGTCAAAATTGCGATGGGATTCGATTCGAGGATATGACTACATTTTTAGGGTGATCATTTTTGGATGGAATTTTCTCCCAAAGCTGGTCATTGGTTAAAAAAAAAATTAAAAAAATAAATAAATAAATAGATAGATAAAAAAAAATGATGATGAAATAAGCTTTAATTTTACGGGTACATGCATCTCAAATACCTTGCAGTGTTGTGAGTATTTATACTGAATTTTGGAAGTAGAGGGATTGACCACTATTCGGTTTATGGTGGCTTACCAATACTGGCCTGCCTGCAACCATTGTGTGCACGCACTCCCGAATTGTTTTGTGCAAAAGCTGTCACGCGCGCCTCCGCCATCGGGGCTTCCGAACTTTATGAACTTTCTGACACTGACATTGTAAATAGAATACAAACAGATACTTTGAACCCGTCCACTGCATTGCGTACGTGCGTTTTATATAGCTCAAAGGTTTGTTTCGCATATGCATTGTAGTCATTTGCATTCAACAGCGATATCACTGCCGTTGGGCGTGAGTTCTGACGGGCTAAAAGCTACCTACTCCCAGTGTAACGTTACGTAACTCGTGCGTATCGCCCCGCTTCTGATCCTACAGGAATTGTCCCGGGACTGTGAGAAGGTAGTTCAAGTTGAAGAATCTCCGAGATTTCAATTTGCAGCCCAAAATGGCGGAGGACATCAAAACTTTCCAAGGCGGTTTCGCCGTTGGTTTTGTTGTATCCTTAGTGTTGTGTTTCGTGTACTTGGGAATTTTGTCGGCTGAGCAGCAACGACCGCTAGTGGTTCCCGTGGAGACATACAAGTTCAAAGCGCCGAAGGTAACAGGTAAGCGTAGCCTATAATTAAACAAACAAACTTCCGTACTTCAGGCCCATTTAACACAAACTGGCACCAGATAAGCTAGCAGATATAAAGGGTGAGTAAATCAAACCGAAACCAAAACCCTAAAAAACACCAAACGTTATAATGACTGGAAAGCCAATTTCATAAGCATGAAATTGCTCAATCTATTCAAAGAATATCACCATTTAAACACACGGACCCTAAAACCTCTTTCGTCACGCGTCAAAAAAAAAGCGATTTCAAGAATCGTCGTCACAATATTAGCCTATGGTCTGAGAACATCACCAGCAATAAAACCTCTTTTTAAAAGTTAAAAATATACAACAGAGTCCTTTTGAAGGCCCGTCTTTAAAAAAAAGGGGGGGGGGTTATAAATCATATTATTTGCCTAGCCATGGTTGTTAATAAAGATATTGTGATAATGTTTCTTTGTAATGTGGACATCATTTTGGTATACGTATTTATCAAAGTAGCTTTCATTAGTTATACGTAATGTTCTAACACTGTGTTGTCTACAAAGAGAAAGGCGGCCCTGCGGCATCGCTGATCCTCAAGTACGGCGTACCAGACAGAGGTCCACTGACCCTCAACTATGAGAACCACATCGTCGGGTACGATCAGGCCAAAAAAATACCGATCTGGGTTGCTGAGTTTATTACCAAGGATCACGTTCAAGGTATAGGCCTGATAGCTGATAATACAACTTGTTTTAATGGGGGGGGGGGGGGTAATTGATTTGATCAAGTTCCCGAAAACGGCAACTCCCTGTGAATTCACAACATTCAACAATAACATTGATAGGAACGACAGTGACTATTACGACAACGACAACAACGAAAACATAAACGTCGTCAACAACAACAAACAAAGACAACAACAAACAAACAACAACAACAACAAAGGCCCCGTCCAATTTTGAGACAGCTTGGCTCATAAATGTCAATGTTTGTGAGACACTTGCACGCGAAAGCTTCATGTCACTTTAATGTTGGCAGACACCATATAAATTAGCTGGATGCTGACCACGTTCATTCAGGGACAAAATGAATTTTGCTTGTCAGTTGCTGATTACTCATTTGTCTATTGGTGATAAAGGTGACGGCGACAGGGACAAGTGCAGCTTTAAACCGGACAGGGACAAAGTGGACAACATGTTCTCATCCACCCTGGACGACTACAGCAAAAGTGGTTACGACAGAGGTCACATGTCACCAGCAGCCAATCACAAACACAGTCAGGTTAGCTTAAGCAATCAAATAGGCTATACATTAAGCTTTGGATTGAGTTGGTTGCCTGAAAATCATTTTTTTGGGTTGAGCCAAAATTGTCGACTCATAATTGGTCTCTTGTAGAATAACTAATTTTTCTGCCGGTTTTTCTTCCGTCGTGACCAAGGACGCCATGTGCGACTCGTTCTTTTTGACCAACGTCGTCCCTCAAAACAGCCAGCACAACCGGCGCTACTGGCGTGATGTCGAGGCGTACTGCCGGGACTTGACCAAGATGTACGAGGAGGTGCGAGTCATCACGGGCACGCTGCTCCTGCCTGACACGGCACAGGGGGCGACACAGGGGAGTCGCTTTGTCAAATACGAGGTAAAGTGCTGAGACATTATTGGTGTGGCTGTGTGATGAATATTTATTTATGTGACCCCAAATAATAGGCCTTTAAAAAGAATTAAATCGGCAACACGTTGAAAAGTATTTTGATGAAATTAACGTAGATTGATTATTTCCAATCTCCTCTGCTAAAGACTCTTTACAGCAAAATAAATCGTATCTTAAAGATGTCGAGAGCGCATATTTTTTTTTAGCGCCTCGTGTACTACACAAGGGCGGATCCAGGGGGGGGGGCAAAGGGGGCCATGGCCCCCCCCCCCCAAAACGAAACCATTTTTTTTTTTTTTAATGTGACATCGCAATAAAGGCAGGCAATGAGTACACCACCATGTTTTCCTCAAAAAAATTGGTTAAAGTGGTCAGAAATTGCCTCAGATCGCACCACAGAGCATCTAGAATCCAAAAAATTTTCGGGGCCCTAGCGGGCCCCGAACCCCACGCCGTAATTTTTTAGACCCACTTTTTGGGGGGACCAAAAATTTTTTTGGCCCCCCCCAAAATTGTGTTCTGGATCCGCCCTTGGTACTACAGAACTGTTTAGGCACTGTCAACGTCGTTATATGACACCAAAGTCCCCGGCCCCGACATTGTCGTCATGATGTCATCATCGATGGGCATTAATCTGTCACTGCAAATGTCGTCAGCTATCTTCAAAGTTCAAACTATTGTAATTATGATCTCCAGTTTTTCCAAATAATTACCGACACTCATCTCCATAAGGTGCCTTTCTACTTAGTACGAGTACTCCGCCATCTGTCGCAGTTCAGTGTAAGATGGAGTCTATTTAAGGGCTAGTCCAGACTTTCTTAAAAATGACAGGCTTTTGATGATTATTGGGTTTTTATCGATAATTTACAGGTAATCGGTGAAAGCAACGTGACTGTACCGACTCACCTTTACAAAATCATCATTGTTGAGAATGCGACAGAAACCGCCAAAACCACACTCTTCGCTGCTGCGTTTCTGCTTCCAAACGAGAAAGTGGATTCAAATATTCCACTAATTACATTCAAGGTATAGGTATGAATTTTAATGTCGCGTCATCTATGGGGTAATTTCTTGTACATATAACCTATTCTGTAACAGGGAGCAGTCATGACTTTCCTTTCTCCTCCAATGATTGAAACATTTCTCGCAGTTTGCAAGGATACATTTTAAACACTTGGTGGCGGTATCATACCATAATTTCAAACGAAGCAGTTTACCGCCACCAATCGTCTCGAGATTAATTGAATGAAAACTCGAAGGACTGCGTCATATACAAGTACGCATCCGTAATTTTCAACTTATGAAAACCAGACAAGTGTTTTTGCACGAAACATACCATCTATTATTTGGTTTTCTTCAAACCAGTACGATATTAATACTACATGTATATGTTATTGAATTCATCTGTATCGGAGCATAATTAAAATAAGAATCAACCAACTGTTTTTATTCACCTTCTTGTCTGAATCAAGGTCCCGTTGTCGCAACTGGAATCAGCGGCCGGTCTCCGGTTCTTTCCGAGGCTCGCCGACGCACCGGTGGGGGATCTATGCTCCATTGACCCGTGCAAGCTGAGGGGAGAGATGGCGGGGTACTCCACCATGGGGAGGCTCCCGTCTGGCTTCTTGCTGATTATTGTTGTTTCTGTCTTAGTGTTTCTTCTGTTTAAGTGGAAGGAACAAGTTGAAAAGGCCAATAAGAAATAGGAAGATAAGAGGAACCTTCAAAATACATGATAAATCAAACTTTTTGTAAAGACGAAAGTCCTTGTGTTTGCTAAAACTTCATAGGACTCCTTTCTAATTATTTACTAAGTGCTTAATTTTAAAACTTGACTGATCATTAAACAACGCCTGGCGTATGAGACCAATTTCCTTTTAAAGTTCACAATATAGGCCTACACGCTAGTGGTATCATTATTATTTCAAAAATGCGGTCATACTATCGTGAACGAAAGTCCACTGCAATGGCAGCCCAATTATGGCTTAATTAGTTGCAATAGCGTTCAGTGCCATGCAGTGACGATCCAGTAGCGTACTAAGGGTTTTTCTACTTTGCAATAATAAGGCAAGCATCTATATATAGGATGCAGGCTCATACGATCGAGGAAAATGCTCAAAGACTCGAAGCGAGGTATCTTTGGCGGCGTTTTTCAAAACATTTTACATACAGTAATTATGACTTGCTGTATACTACCTTTTGAACTCAGCATATCATAGTGAAAGACTACTGTAGTTACTAAAGAGTCGAGTAAGTGTACTGCAATAAAATATCACCACTTCTAAAAAAAACGCCATTCAAACTACTTATGCTACACATCGTGAAAACTAATTGCACCAAATTTCAATTTAATCCATTTTGTATTTCTTGAGTAGTTCATCGGAAACGAGATTGTTCTTTTTGTTCAGTTGTGCAGCATCCGTGTTGATGCGTTGTTGAGACCACTATGGCGCGCCCTCTATTATAGTGGTCTCGATCTCCACCACCAAACTCGATCTGGGGCCAACAACTCAAGAAATACACTTTACATTAAACTGAATTTTCGCACACTCATTTGTCATGATGTTTGACATCAAAAGATTTAATTTCATTAAAAAACGTCAAATAATCAAGATATAATGACCGTAACAATATAGAGGTTTTTTGCGACAAGTACAATCCTAATGGAAGTCAATATGGATTTTTAACGTTTAAAACACTAGATTGTTACAATCATATTATATTTATAGCTCCACGGTTTCTCACGCCATTCAAACTACTTATGCTACACATACTGAAAACTAATTGCACCAAATTTCAATTTAATCCATTTTGTATTTCTTGAGTAGTTCATCGGAAACGAGGTTGTTCTTTTTGTTCAGTTGTGCAGCATCCGTGTTGATGCGTTGTTGAGACCGCTATTTATGTGGCGCGCCCTCTATTATAGTGGTCTCGATCTCCACCACCAAACTCGATCTGGGGCCAACAATTCAAAAAATACACTTTACATTAAACTGAATTTTCGCACACTCATTTGTCATGATGTTTGACATCAAAAGATTTAATTTCATAAAAAAAATTCAAATAATCAAGATATTATGACCGTAACAATACAGAGGTTTTTTTTGCGACAAGTACAATCCTAATGGAAGTCAACATGGATTTTTAACGTTTAAAACACTAGATTGTTACGATCATATTATATTTATAGCTCCACGGTTTCTCACGCCATTCAAACTACTTATGCTACACATACTGAAAACAAATTGCATCATATTTCAATTTAATCCATTTTGTATTTCTTGAGTAGTTCATCGGAAACGAGGTTGTTCTTTTTGTTCAGTTGTGCAGCATCCGTGTTGATGCGTTGTTGAGACCACTATTTATGTGGCGCGCCCTCTCATTATAGTGGTCTCGATCTCCACCACCAAACTCGATTTGGGGCCAACAATTCAAGAAATACACTTTACATTAAACTGAATTTTCGCACGCTCATTTGTCATGATGTTTGACATCAAAAGATTTAATTTCATAAAAAAACGTCAAATAATCAAGATATTATGACCGTAACAATACAGGGTTTTATTTGCGACAAGTACAATCCTAATACCGTCACTCTCTTTATCCAAAGACAATCCCAAAATGAAACCTCCTTGATCTTGACACAAGAAGTGCACCTGATTTAATTACATTTAAAAGTACTAAAATTCCATCAACATAAGAAACCTCACTACAAAGGCCCATGCTATATACTACTTTGAGACTTGCACACCACCCGACCAACGTATGCGACAACCAGAAGATGGTGTTTGCACTTGGCCGAATAGAAACGGAAACAATGTTATAAAACTATTACTGGCTAAAATGTGGAAGTAAGCGCCTTTCACTCTGCATGTGGTGAATATTGAAGGTTCCTTTTGAAAACAAAATGCTCTCGGAAAAGAATAAAATGCTTTCGTACGCATGACTGCTACTTCCTGTCACTTAATGTTCCAGATAAAAAATAGTTAAATGAACTTTTAAAAAAATGCTTTGCCGATATTAGGTCTCATCGCATGTCATTAAGACGCTTCGAATCAGAGATCCCACCAAAATCAAGTTACGCCACGCCCACTTTTATTGTTTACGCTCCTCCCCACTGGCAAAGAGGGCGCTCTCTCGCTTGCGTGTACGAGCGCTGGTTCACTGCAACCTATTGCAAACTTGATGCGCTTAAAGCGACGCAGGAATTTTGTACCAGCCATTGAGTGCAACGAGTTGACTTTGTGAATTGCATGACTTGATTGAAAACATGGACCTCAAAAAGTTGAAGGTAAAATTGCAATTAAAATGTTACGATTACAATAATTTTTCCTATATAAAACAGGGATGTTGAGTTTATGATAGTTATTATCTAAATTGGGCTCATAACGGTAAAAGACCGATGCGTTTATTGGTGCAGTGCTAGTTCATAGTTGCACGGGGTTTCATTTTTAAGTGTGGTTTTGTATTGACCAGTTGTGATATGCAAATGATTTTTTTTAGTACGAAGCGGCTATAATTACGGCAGCCGTAATGCATGCTTTTGCTAATTCATGCTTTGGCACAATTGCAGAATACCCCGCCACTCACCTATCCCACCTCGTATCCGGATATGCGGATACGGAGTCACGCTTGGATGCTCAACCAAATCAACCACACGTGTGTGCCACCCCGTATCCCCGTATCCGCGTATCCACTTCCCGGCACCTACTTTGGACTTAAACGTTTTTCCCCAAAACCACACGCGTACGCCACCCTGTATCCCCGTATCCGCGTATCCACTTCCCGGCACCTACTTTGGAGTTAGACGTTTTTCCCCTGCTCCCCATTCAATTCACGTTGTCTCTGCCTTCGTTATTCTCCAACATGGATATTGATGCTTCGTTCTCAAAAATATTTTCCTCCGCTAAAAATAAAGTCCACCCCGTATCCCCGTATCCGCGTATCCACTTCCCTGCACCTACTTTGGACTTAGATTTATTTAACCACTGTTCCCTATTCAATTCACGTTGTCCCTGCTGGCCGTATTTCTTAATAATGGGAAATAGCGCCCTCTTTAGACCCTCTAGCGCTCAAATCCACCCCGTATATTGTATCCGTGTATTCACTTCCCGACATCTAGCCTACATGTACTTTGGACATTTCTGCAACATTTTCCGACTGCGTAGCCATTTATTTTTAGGGGGTGATTTTCGCGTGGCGGGGTATTCTGCAATTACTCCCATGCTTTTACTAAGTCATTGATTTACCCAAACCAAATAGCATCCTCCTAAGTAGTAAGTCCTATTGTGTCCGTCACATCCCAAATAGGCTAATGTGACATAAACTGCAGTAGGCCAAACTGGTCAAATTCCGCCGATTTGCAGCTCATAACCAAAAAAAATGATTGTGAGTAGGCTTACCAATACTATTGAAGCCCCTGTCTTTGACACGTTGAGAATACAGTAGGTGCTTTATAAGGTATTTTTGTTAAGTCTTTGCTGTGATTTTGGTAACGTTTTGGGCTGGATGTTCATGAAAATACTGTTGTTTATATCGTAGGTCCACTATCGGGCGCTAGTATGACCGACCAAAGTCAAAGTTTGAAGAAGAAAAAAAAGGAGAACTTTCTTGCGCCCCAGTTACTGGGTCTAGCAACCACAAGTACAGTGTTAGATTTTGCGGGAAAAGGTTTTTTTGAGATATTAAAATGTTGCCAAATGCTCCTTTGTTTTCACCAGATTCCTGAGCTGAAGAAAGAGTTGACGTCTCGCGGCTTGGCATTGAAGGGAAACAAGCAGGAATTGGTCAGCAGGCTGTCTGAGTATCTGGAGGAAAATGGTAAAATAACTGAAAACGACAAGTCCACTGCTTGTGTATGTGCTCCACTGTCAGTACAAAAAAATAATAAGGGAATCCCATTCATGAATACCTTTTCGGTAAAAAAAAATCATATAATTTGTTCAAAACATCCCGATTTTGTTCAACAAATTCACTCTATGCTTTTTGAAACATCCCTCTTGCAAAATAATGGAGTGTTCAGCTGGCGAGTAAGATGTAAACAACCCTTTTATGGAGATTGACGCGCGCGTATCATGTTCTGCGCAATGTCGCGCAGAACGCACCTGGCGCGTTGCGTTTTGAATTTAGAACTATAAAATTCTGACTCCCTGGTAGTGTTGCGCATGCCTACGTGAGGATTGTGAACGTTCAACCAATGAAACGATAAGAGGCACTGGATTTTTAGGAGTCCACATTTTATTGTGACACTGGAAAAGTGTTTAAGACCAGCTAGCCATGTCTTTATCATCCGTTTAAGACCGGCCACGTGACGGGCTCTCGACCAATAGGTATTTATGAATGCAAATTATAGCCTAATCAATACTGTATTAATTGTCAAATAAATGGGGTTTTCTGAGCACACAACGTGTAGTACTGATACTTGCTATCAGTCATTAATTGCATTTCTTTTCTTTGATTTTCAAAATTGGCATTCTCTGCTGCCAGGAGATAGCATAATTACTGGAGAAAATCTCAAAATAGACGAAGAGCCGATGGAAAAAGGCAGAGGTTTGTCAGCAAGCTCAAATCTGCCTCTCTCTTTTGCTTTAGCGCAATCTCTTTCTACGTCTAGAATTTGACTTTTTTTCCAGCAAGTTGATGCATCAGAATTCTCTCATCTTCGTCCTACCTAGTAGTCCGAGTATCACCCGTTGTCCAACGGAGCCTTCTCTGTCTCTAGTCTAGTCCGAGTAACTTGGACCCAACTTATCGCCTTTTTAACATTCGGACATGGTCTGGCGATAGTGGGGTCCAAGCTAAAAGTTATATGCCGAGCAACACAATTCTGTCATTGACCCAAAAACCCAACATTGCCTAACAAAAGCATCAGATTTCACCCTCAAAATGGCCTCCTAATATTTTACGCCACCTGAGGTACAAGTAGACATTGATAAGATGGCTGTACTGAAGTTTACTTACGATCCGGAGGAAAAGTGAAATTTCCCTCACGATCGTGAACACGTTAAATTTCACTTTTCATCCGGATCGTAAGTAAACTTCAGTACAGCCATCTTAATTATCGATGTCTACTCGACCTCATATATCCATGCATGCAAATCTATGTGACCCTGCGCTCCAGCCTATCGGAGTCGACATGATGTCATTTTATTCTAAAATCTGGACTTAGCCTTTGATTGGTCAATTTGGATGACATTGTTTTGTGATACAACAATGGGCATACAGATCGAATAAAACCCAACATTAGCTTTCGAAACTGTTAGCAAAATGCTGCGTGTATAGAATACGCGAACGCTCATCGCTGGCTTGACGTGAACAGGCATTCGCATTATGTGCGTTTTTTCAAATACTATGCAGACCTGCCAACTAGTACGATTTTGCCGTATTTCGTACGGGAATTTGTTGAAAATGCGACCGTACGTTTTCCCTCATAAAATACGGGTTTTTACCATTTTGACACGCCTGAAAAACTCCAAGGGCAAGATTACCATATGCGAAGTTCACTAATTTTCCTCTGTATTGACTAACAAGCCCCCAGATATCGATTTCATGTCATCAAAGTCAATTTGAGCAGTGAGAAAATACAAGCATTTTCTTAGAAAACACTTAGACTTTTTCAGTCCAATCTCATAGGGTTTGTACACAGGGTGTTGAGTGAACTTCGTATATAGAAATCTTTCCACTAAGTTCAAAGCGGCCGTGGGTGTAAATTATGCTAGATAAAATCGGCTGAATCAACATACAGTACATGCACATGCACGCAGCAAACGATGCGTACACGAACTGAATCTGGTTTCACGATTCCCTCTGTACAATGTACATGTGTACACGGTATCAAAAAACTAGAACCAGACCATTCCCGAAGTGCCGATACTTCAAGCAGCGACACCCCTGCCGCAAAATAAATGTCTGTATTCGTACACACACATACCAGCAGGAGTACGTACGGCAGATCTTACGTGCAGTCAACCGACTTTCTTTTTCTCAGTGCACACACGACACGGTTGAAGATAGTCACAACACGCGTGCACGTGTTCCGATTGTCAAACGTTTTTTTTTATTACTATTCCTATACTACGTTCTGATATGAAAACAAAAATCAGGAAAATCAACAAAGAGCGGCCCAAACCGAACTGGAGAAATCAGCTAGCAAATGCAACAAAAGTGATTTCTTTTTCGGGTAGGCCAAGTTCTTTTTGATGTGTTTTTGTAAAATAAAACTGTTCGATCGCTGTGTATTTTATAACATTCAGTAGGACTATACTGATTTCTGCATGGTGCGTGCAAATATGATTGAAAGTGGCAGTTTGTTTGGCGGCGACACGTGATAAAACATGAATGTTTAGATTTTAATTTAATACTTGGAAGTCCTTTGATGTTTCACTTGCATTACAATTTTATTTATTTCAAACATTAGGGTTTAGTCTAGTCTTTAGTTTAAGGATCTAGACTTTTAATAGTTTTTGAAGCAGTTTGTTCATGAATAAGGTATATGATCAATATTCTTATTCATGCAAATTGTTTGATTGGGTTTACCACCCGCAGGGAATCCTCTGGTCATATTTTTTTTTGGAACTTTAATTAAGATGTAACAGCATTGAAGCAATATTTATTTGTTCGTATAGCTCGTCTATGCATATTTTTGAAAAATACAGTTTTTTGTGTGAAAAATACAACTTTCGGAGATTCAGAATACAGTTTTTCGATCCCAAAGGTTGGCAGGTCTGACTGTGTTATGATCATTCGAAGCTACAGGACGTTCGCGCATCGCATAACATATTGTTACAGGTCACGCGACCGCAGCCTATTTTTGCTAACACAATTTGCAACGTAAAAGCAAAATAGTTTAATTAGATGTCCATGACAACGTGTTACTGAAGACCCGATATAGACAAATCTGTTGGCAGCCATTTTCTGCGGTGGAACCAGGATCGCGCGAGTGGCGCTCAGGTAGTACGCATACGCTTCGGGCTCATTCGACCAATAGGAATTCCAAAATGCGCGCGTGTCTTATCTTTAACCCTGCGCAGAGTGACCTGCTACCTTTTGGGCCCCAGGTAACCAAATTTTTTGGAAAAAAAAAAATTGAGGGCCAATAACGTTCACCTCCTATTTAATCCTCATTCAACCCTTGCCAAATCAGCTGGTTCAATGAACTTTGCAGCCAGGGCTACACCCAGGCCGTGCCAACAAACTTTCGACCAGGCCTCCTGCCAAGTCTCATTGAAACATCAACAAAGACCTGTAACTTGACACAGCCATCTCCCTTCATAACTGCATACCACAGCCGCCAGTCAATTATCTTTCCAGCGCACTGTCTGGCAACTGTCTGGACACTGTCTGGCACGTGGCTTTTTGTTGTATTGCTATGAATAGGATCTTGCTAGTGCGGGAAAGTACCTGCTGCCCAGAGGGCAGCAGTTGACGAGTTGTTGTAAAGTTTTTTTGTAAACGCTGCGCAGGGTTAAGAACTCGTGCAGCATGCGCATGAGCGTGACACCACCGCAGTAACTTCTTCCAATTCTTGTTGCCGGATTTCACTATAGAAGGTGCCAGCCGAATGGTCAGAATGCAGTCTTGTTGCCTAAATAATTGCCGAATCTGCTCGCAAATCATGGACCCTTGCTGTGCATGGGGAAACCAGTGGTGTATTCCTTATACTCTGACTTTCAGAGTAGACATCAGGCTTCATAACTTCCTCCTGTGATATAAAAAAAATCTCTTGGTCTGGGAAGGGTAACAATTGAATTAATTGTGTTGTTTCAATGTAGTACAGAATGATACCTGCTTTGTGCTTTTTGCTGCAGTAAGAATGACCTTGCGTTTAGAGTGTAAAGTCCTGGGCCCAATTTCATAGAGCTGCTTAAGCACAAAATTTGCTTAAGCACAAAAAAAACCTTGCTTAATATAATCAGTTTACCCACCAAAACTCCATGCGATTGTTATGCCAAGTAAACAACAGCTAAATTACCAGTCACAAACAATGTACATTGCATGGAGTTTTCAAAGGTAACCTGATCATATTAAGCCAGGTTTTTTTGTGCTTAAGCAAATTTTGTGCTTAAACAGCTCTATGAAATTGGGCCAAGCTTAATGTGGTGGCTGTAAATGACGTTGGTGAAACTGTAAGAATACCAGCGGAGCTGGGCATAAGCTTTGTAGCTTAGCACGGTGGCAGGTGTAGTGACTGCCAAGAATGTGCTGATGAATAGGACGACACCTCAACTTGGAGTTATCTCTGTGAAGGGCATATTACTTGCTGGTTATACAACAAAATGGCCCTTTGTGGACTAAGGTCTTGAATCAGACAACAAACTTTCTCAAAAAGTGTTAAAAGACTGCCATGAATTTAATATGTGAGGCTTTTGTTCATTTCTGTGTTTTCATCACAGATGAGTCAATCCTCGACAATGGCACGGAGCCCACAGATGCAATTTTAACACCTGGAGGTAAGTACACTTTTGTTCTTTAGTTTTATGAGGTGAAATCTACGTGTCAAACTACTAATAAGATTTGCCCAACTGTCCTGGATTCATTGCAATGTGTTGCTGTCAGACCTGTATTGTTTTTGATAGCAAACGCATGACTGGTTGATTTTAAGAACAATTCCACTGATATAAGAAGTCTTACGCTCGCTTTTTATTCTTGTCTTTTTTTTTTAGTTGAAGAAGATCTCTCAGAACCAGAGGTAAGTTTCAATTAAACTATTTAGTCTTAGCGAACATGCGAAGCGCTTTCTCACTGTTGAGTAAATTTGTATCGTGGTTGTGAGTGCTTGTCAGATCCCGATCTCTCCAATGTCATTTTTCGCAGGATGAGCCGAGTCTTCTCGACGATGAGGAAGAAGAAGAAGAACCAGAAGCAGCTGTTGTCCCAGCAACCGTTGTCAAGGTTTCATCCCCTGTTGCCCTGCAGAGGATGCCCATCGTGGTGGCCCCTGAAGAGGCCAAGCCCACTGCCCCCGCGGTAACGGCGCAAAAAATTGCCATTGCTGCACCTACTGCCACAGTGTTGACTCCAGCTCAGGTATTGAATGAGCTTTAAAAAAAAATGTAATAAATAGGTTTATTTGAAGTGAAACTTCTCATTTAAAGGTTTTAAGTTATCTTTTGTTAGTTTGAATCAGGCTCTGATAAATCTGAGAGCAATTTAACTGAATTTGGAAACTTAATCTTGTTTGATTGCAGAAAAAAGCGTTAAGAGCCGAAAGATTCAACACACCGCTCTCAGAAGACGCCAAGAAACAAGCAAGATTAGAAAAGTATGTACTGTATAATTATGTTTCATTATGTTTCATTTTGATGACTTGTTTGTCTTAAACGGGGGCAGTAGTATTCATGTCATTCTGCTCATTATTATTTGTGAATCATGAATATGCATATGAGAATTATTCATGATTATGTAAATTATTCACATTGCGACCTAGGTTTGGAGGCAAGCTAGCTGGTACAGCATCTGCTGGAGCAGTGCCCAAAACACAAGGCAGTGTATCAACAATGTCGGTAAGCCATTTGCAAAATATCATTTAGTCAAATGCAGCCTTGTATTTTTGAATCACTAAATCTGGATTTTTAAATGATTTGATTTTTGAAGAGCTATAAATATCTTACAATTTTGTTTCAGACCTCAAAACATTGGTAATTCAGAATGGCATTATACTCCTGTATTAATTTTGTTTGTTTAGAAAAGCATGAAGATATAAGGCCAAACAAAAAAAGTCTCCGGTTTCTGGTATGCGCGCGCGTCGCCGCAGCCATGCGCGTCGGCAAAATGAAAAAGTTTTTTTTTCAATGAAAGATGATGTCTCAAAACTGCCAAGCTCACTGGTTTGACTGGAATCCTGCTGCTGCACAGTTTTAACATGTTTTTAGATTGGGTTATGGTCGAGAATAAGCTTTATGTGGCCTCTCTGGACTCCCATATATTTGCACTAAGTTTAGTCGGGCACCATTTGCAGTCATCAGCCGACATTTGAAGCAAAAAAATCAGGTAAAAAAAAAAAAAAAAAGCCGCGTCGCCGCACCACTTTTTGGGCAAGCTCCATACCAGAAACCGGAGACTTTTTTTGGCCTAATAATAAGTTTGTTCTTTCAGTAGTTGATATTTTTTGTTTTGAATGCAGTCTGATGCTCTGGAGAAGTTGAAGAAGCGATCAGAGAGGTTCGGCACAGCTGTCTCCCCCGTCGTCAAAAAGGTCAGTTTACAGGTTTAGGGTTTGTGACTCCTAAATTGAGGATCAGAGGTTCGAATCCTGCTGCTGGCCAAACGTTGTGTCCTCGGGCAAGCTACTTTACCCCTACTTGCCTCTCTCGGCCAAAGAGTATGAAATAGGACCATCAGAAACCTCATGATGGACTGGCATCCAATTCAGGGAATAATAAGTTGCAGTCCCTTTATGTCAAGGAAACCAGCCTAATTGTCAAAACACAGACTTGTGCTTATCAAAGACTAAGATAATGCAGCATTTACTGTAGTAGTTAGTGAAGGTGTGTTTCTTCCTTGCTTTCATTTAACAGACCGATGAGATGGATCGACTCTTAAAACGTAAACAGCGCTTTGGCGTAATAACCAACACCACCACAGCCAATGTGACTGCCACTGCGACAGGAAATAGGAGAATATCAACAGAGGGCGCTACAGGTGATACCGAGGTAGGATGTTAATGCGTCTGCACATTAACCATTGAGGGCGCTATGACCTACTCATGAAACCCAATTGCTGGCCCTTGCAAATTGCTGATGATTTGAAATTTGAAAGCTCAGTTTTGTGTAGGAAATAGTTTACAACTTTAAACAATACACCAAAGTAAACATGCATTTTATTAAGCTCTGGCAGAAGCTTCTACATATCACTTGGTGGTCGGTCGGTCTGTCTGTCCATGCACCTTTCCATGTGTCATGGTGTCTGTCTGTGTCTGTCCCCGAAAATTGACCAAAAGTGTGGTGTTCCATATGTGCCATCAGCGTCGCATTTTTCGACGTCGCATTTTTCAGCTCTGGCAGGGATTATTTTGATCGATTTCATGCAAGACTTTCATGCAAGACTTCTTGCAACACGGCCAGAACTTATTGTGCACTCGCATTTGTTGGAGATTTAAAAAACACTGTATCTGTCATTTGTTGAATTTGAGTAATGGACTTCACTAGGAGCTGTAAAATTTGACGGTTTTTTTTAATTATGTGTTTATTGACAGGCAAAGAAAAAGAAACGTGCAGAGAGATTCGGTCTGGCGTAACCATGGAAACGCACCCTGAGGGATCGCTGCTGTCACCAAAATGTGTACACTGCAAGCACTCTTGTCAATAGCAAGAAAAAAAAATGGGTTGAAATTTGCAATTGTGGTGTAAATGTTGAGGCTGTATTCCAGCATAATAGTGAAGGCCATGCTTCATGCGAATTTGACGTCACGAAATATTCGCTGCGAAATTCGCCAGAGTTAAAATGTGTTCAACTTTTGCGAATTCGCAGTGTGAAAACGTGCCCCAAGGTCACACCGAGTTATGAACCTGCCTTTCTAAAGAATGGAAGTGGTCATTTCTAGAAATATTCAAATCTCACTTAAGATTTCTGTCTTATATCTTTATGATCAATGTCAAACATTTCCTGAATGAGAAACCAAGGAGCTGAAATTTTTAGAAGTCGTTGAAATTTTCTTGTAAATTTTGCTTATCCATTTAGGTCACCGATTAAGTATACAAATGACATTGGCTTGTACCCCGACTCCATATAATGAAACTGAATGCTATTCTGGTTCTCTTCCTTGTCAATGCATATCTGATGTTTATCAGCACTTCCATCTTAAAATCTTCTCTCCCGTTTTTGCCAAAATTATTTGCTTCCTTTATTGTGACTGATGGATTTTGGCATAAATTTTCCAGACATTACTGTGTTAAGGTTTGAAAAACTTTGGCTGAATATGTACAGCATTTTCTGTCGTTTTTTTTTATTGGTGTACATGTAGATAGTGAAGACATTTTTTAGTGAACTTTTACCTCAGACTTTTGGGTGTATTTCTTTGAAGTTCAAATCAGTATAGACCCGTTTGGTAAACGATGTGCACTGCAAATCTTCAATGGCAAAGTCCGGTTGAATTATTTTGTAGTTTTTTTTTAAATTCTCTGGACATTCTGGTTGTGTTTTGTCGGGAAAAATATGAGTTTGCATTTGTAAATGTTAAGGGAAGAATGCAAAATTAAACGAGGGGTACCCAAGGTTTTACCCAAGGTTACCCCTTAAAAACATGTTAAACCACGGTAAACCTTGAGGTAAACCTTGAGGTAAACCTCGCGGTAAACCTCGCGGTAAACCTCAAGTTACCTCCTGTTTATTAAATTTTGCATTCTCCCCTTATTTCAATGCCCAGTTTTTACCTTCTCCAGCAGCTTTCAAGATGTGGACGAAGATTACTTGTATTAGGTGTAAATAGTATTTTAAATGTAAAATTGTTGGGGTTCTTTTGTTGGCTTTGTATCTGGTATAGAATTAGAGGACAATTTTGGTTGGTTTTTTTTTCGTTTTTTTTTTTCATTTACTTTATAATGTTACCTACAATCAGTGCTTCTCTAAAAGCATTACATATTTTTTGCGTTTGGAGATTTGATGCGGCAAGTAGTTTTAAGCTGTACATGAACAATTCTTTGTCAGGGTGTTTTTCCAAAAGGCTGGACGAAAAAGAAAAAAAAACCGGTCAAGTGCTGGAAATATTCCCACCAGCAGAAAATAGAGGGTTCGAGTCCCACCCTCGCAGCCTTCCATTTAATGTTCACAGGGTCTCGGGAAGAACACAAGTGTGGACAATGTTTGCAAAAACAGAAACTTTTACGATAACTCAAAAGAACCTTTGTATGTCATTAGATATGTACACACTAGTATACTTACTGCACACATGCAAAGTAGTCACAAAAGTGTAATGCAAATTATGCAAGTTTGAACAAAATGTCGAAATTGTATTTCACTTTTTGTAAATTTTCAAACTTTTGCAAGGCACAGAATGGCAATAAAATAGTCTCCAAACATTTGAACAAAAAAACTCATTTTGCTGGTATTTTGTTGTCTTGTGATGTCATTCTTCAGACATTAAGATGTTTTAATATTTGAGGACATTTAAAATATTTTAAGACAATTTACAACCACATTAAATTTGTCTTAATATTTAATTCTTTGGAATAATCATACAAGATTTTCTATAACATCATGCTTAAACCATTTCTTTACTTAAGCCTTTTTAATCTTTGCACTTTACAATTTTGGAGAAAAGTACATAATCTACAACAAATCTACCAATGGAATGCCTTCTTGCTAAAATTAAATGGCTAGTATCTAACAAAGCAAACTTCTGATTGGCTGATGGCAAAAAATCTAAAAACTTAAAAATCAACCTGGCCATTAGTTCAACTAAAACTTTAAGATAATAAACGTTATAAACATGTATTTTGTTTGGTATTTCGTAAGTGGCAGCTTTATTTCTGAAATTGTATGTGATTTTAAACACATTTTGTCTTATTTCTCAATTTCTGCTCATGTGCGTTTGATGATCATATACAAGTTGAGAAGCGAATTGTAAAATACACCATGTATTTTCTCCACCTCGTTTTCACACCAAACCACACATGTAAGTCCGATATGCAATGTAATCCTTCCCACTCAAAACCCAATGCGACACTTTTGGACACTAGAGGGAGCCCTACTTCCTGAGCTTGTACCCGATGATGGGTTTGTACGGTGTGTGGATCATAGTATTGTAGTTGATGGTTGGGAAGTACCCGTCGACGAGCGTCAACTCGTACTTGCGTATGAGAACGGACATGAGGGTCTTGATCTGGACGTAGGCAAAATTCTCCCCGATGCATCGGTGGCGACCGGCTCCGAATGGGACGTACGAGAACTTGTCACTGTTTGAGGCATTCTCATCAATGAACCTGCCAAAATTTGAATCGAAAAGTGTTGATAAGCTAAACAAAATGAATCTCTCAAGTTTAATAATGATAATTACTTCATTTACATATAATAAAAATAACATTGAATTGACGCAAAGCATTATGGGATACTTATAAAAAATTATATTTACACATGATTCAAATAATCCAGTGAAATTCTCTTTTGTCCTTATCAGTCCCAGAATGCTTTGCAGTCCATTACAATTTTCCAAGATGGCTGGATGGCGTATTTATGCATATCTTACCGGTCAGGGTTAAAGGTCAAAGGCTCCGGCATCCATTGGTCCTCAATGCGTTGATTGACCGTCGGTGAGACGCATACCTGATGCCCAGGGGGAATGACGTAATCCTTGAAAGTCTGCAGAAAAAAAACCCCATAACCGTTTAATGAATTAATTTGTCTGACTTCCATACTTACGATTATTACATAAAATAGCAGCAGCGCTACTCATTTTGGTTGTGGTTAATTATTTACTTACCACGGGCTCCTTTGCAACTCTCATCATGGTCATGATGGGTGGGCGTATCCGTAAGGTCTCCTTCAGGCAGCGGTCCAATAGCGTCATCTCTTTCACCTATGAATAATTCATGTCACGAATAATTAAATGCTATAGACACAATTGCCAAACATAAGTTTTTCAAGAGATGTGTTATGAGCAATAATATGACTCCCACTCTGAACATACTCCTATCTGACAAATGTCGTGATTCTTTCATTTTCAAAAGTCTGTATTTGCTGTTTTCAAATAACTCAAAACTGAATATTCATTACCTCGTCATAAGTTAATGGTTCGTCTATGTCACCTCCGCATATCCTCAGTTGCTCTTGATAACAGCGTTCCTGATTTGAAAAAAAAGCACATTTTTTAACAATTCATGCCTGTGAGCTGTGTTTTACCCGATTAGCAGCGACCCTCCCATCACTCAACTCCTCCCCTTAAGCCACTCCCCTAAAAGACCCTCCCCCATTGTCCTCTCCCATCCCCTAAGCCCCTCCCTCATCTGTAAGCCCCCTTCCGACTCCTCAAGCCCCACCCCTCTTAGCTCCTCTCCCAGTCCTAAACCCCTATCTGACCCCTAGCTAGCCCTTCCCCGCCCCTATTAAGCTCCTCCCCTTCCCTGAGCTCCTCCCCCATCGCTTAGCCCCTCCCCATTCCTACCTGTAGATCTTTGTCTTTTGCCAGGAAGAATCCCAGCCAGGAGCTAGTAGTTGAAGACGTGTGCTGCCCGGCCAGCAGTAGACCTATGCACATCCCCGCGACCTCGTCATCCGTCAACAGCTCGCCAGTCCTAGAAACAAGTACAAAAACGAACGTGGCCGAAGTGGGTATTAGTGGATGTGGCTTCCCTACAATGGCCACTTGAATGCAAAATTATGTATCCTTGATGCCATGTTAGCGATGGATTTAAAGGAACTTACTTGTATGTTGTTGTTATCAGTGTCTGCAGCATGTCATCATCGGGATCCTCGCATGCTCTCCGTTGTTGAATGGCCTGTTAAAAAAAAAAAAAAAATCTCCATTAATTTGTTCCATTTTTCTGAGCTGTTTCCTAAAATGAATTTTTTAGAGATGAGTTGAATGACGGTAGGACTCATTCAAGAGAGGGGGGGCGTGACTTTCATTGGGTATTCCCATTTTATCACGAGGGGTGTTAGATAGTGAAACAGGATACAACTATACAACATCCATATAACATCCTATATCACACTAGGAAAATTCTCAAGACAAGTCTGGGAATTTTTGAACAGCCCCCTCTTGTGTTACCTTGTAGAAGATGTTCTTGACCTCCAGGTGGGCGCGGTCCCTTTTACGAAAGCTCGGGAAGGGGATCCAGCTGGGGAACAACCAGGCCAGGTGACTGAAGCCGCCATCCAAATCCATGTACAGCTGGGCCACATGCTCATCGAGCTGGGAGCGGATTTCCTTCCCTAATCCGATAAATGGAGACATGAGGTCAAAGGCCATAAGGCAAAATTGAGGAAATTTAGGTAAAGTGTCTTGCCAAAGGACAATAATTTTAAACTCGATTAACGCTGGCTGACGGCTCTAGACACAGCTGGATGAAAGCCGATAAGCCAGGGGACTGCTATTGCCGCTTTTCTGCTGCATAACGCATCCATTCACAGACAACGGCTGAATGCCTACACGTACACATTCAACCCAATGTGTAGTTGATACCGGCGTCAAGGATGTATTCGTCAATGCGTTGATTCCTAAATATTCATGTAGTTAGAATTTGAACACTAATTTTAAGTGTATAAAATTAAATTTAGTAGAATATGGAACTGAGAACATGTTTCAAATTAAAATTCAATGCTGATTCTAATAACTTTTTTGGTACATATAAATGCCTGGAAAATAAAAAGCTATGATACTGTACCATGCAGACAGCGACTTGCTGTAAGAATGATCAACTCTGACATTGCTATGAACAGATCTAGAAGAGAAAAAAGGAAAGTAGAAAACGTATTATTATTTTAATACAATGATTTTATAATTTTATTTATTCTTCTGATTTTAGAATTTCTTTTTTTTCCCACAAACAAGAAACAAGAGACAACAAAATATTAAGAAAATTTCTGGAAAAATCTCTTGTCCACATCGAACGCTTTATTCTCTTATTTTTTCTGGAAATCGTGAAATTCTTACTGTCTTGGCCCCTCTCTTCCTTCCATCTTTTCAGGTAGTTTTTAGCTTCGTCTTGGACAAGTGGAACGTGCTTGCGAAACTGAGCGATGTTCAGACCCATCTTGAGAATCTTCTTCTGCTCAAGAAATTTCTGTAAGAAATAAATTTTGTGCAATTTTAATAAAAAAGTTTATGACCTTGTTTCATGGCCATATAAGGTAAAATTTGAGATGTATTGTAGAAAATTAACCAATTGCAATATTTGGCGACAACAAAGTTGCTCCTCTGTGTAATTTTATTACTATATTTTGTTGTGTTTTTCAGCCGAAAACAGATCCAAAAAGTCTTGGGATTTTCCTTCAAGATACTTGTAATGGAGCCTGTTAATGTATGCAGTTTCTTGGTATTGCACTATTTCACATTGCAGTAAGAACAAATACAAGCTTTGTACATTTTGACAACCAGCATAAAATTCATTCACGTCAAGCAGTTTCTTCCAATAACCCATTTGTGAGCCAACCCTTGCTAAGTGCAATATATTGCTGGTACCAGCACACACAAAAACACCCTGAAATCGAAACGCATTAACTTCCTCTTTTGAATAAAAGAAAGGGTTGCTACAAAAAGCTTTTTTTTAAATTGATTTGAATGACTTCATAACTGATTTTATTTTTGTTCATTTTAATACCCACAATCTTTCACTCATGCAAAAACACATGCCTTTTTACAACTGTATATTTTTTTAAAAGTCTTCACACAATTCATATCTATTCAGCAATCGATCTCGTCTTGACTTTCCAAATTTGAAAATATTTGACCTGATTATTTTACTCCTACCCAGTGACATAATATTCCACTGTTTGTTTAAGGATATTTCGGTACTAATACAATGCCTCACATCCAAATATAAGCTAGAATATCTAAAGTCAACAAAAACTACAAAAAAAGGCTGCCAATAGAAATAGTCTGTGTTTGAGATGCAAAGGTCAAAATCCTGGCCAACACAAAAGAAAAATCTTGTTGAACCAAAATTAACTTTTATCTGTAGTTGTCGCTTTGTCCAACCGATAAAAAGGCACTGAATTATACTATTTTTAGTAGCAAGTCTTTAAAAAAATTTAATTGAAAAATGAAAAAGAATGAACGATTTATCAGCAGTGGAGTTATTTCAAGGAAAATAGTTCCATGAAGTAACACTTATTTACCCCTACCCAACCATAGGAGATTTCAATAAATTAAAATATTTAAATCACACTTACTGCATTTGGAACATCATAAGCCACGCCCTTTCCAAATACGGGTGTGGTCAGCCGGCCATACACCTCTTCCGCATTCAGCTGCTCATTTTTACTGTTGAAGAGGACAGCGCTTGACTCCGGACCAATGAGATAGGTGAAGGTTTGTCCGATCATCGTGAAGCTGAAAATCTCACCATACTGGGGTAAAAAAAAATGAAATAATTTTTGAAAAAAAAACAGAGTAGAGTTTTCAATAAATTCATGTTCATATTGTCTCAATCAATGTGGAGTTAGGGCAAGTAAAAAAATTAACCACTTTTTCGTTTCCGCACGATTCCTTTTTAGGCCAAAAAAAAAAAGTCTCCGGTTTCTGGTATGGAGCTTGTCCAAAAAGTGGTGCGGCGACGCGGCTTTTTTTTTTTTTTTACCCGACTTTTTTGCTTCAAATGTCGGCTGATGACTGCAAATGGTGCCCGACTAAACTTAGTGCAAATATATGGGAGTCCAGAGAGGCCACATAAAGCTTATTCTCGATCATAACCCCATCTAAAAACATGTTGAAATTGTGCAGCAGCAGGATTCCAGTCAGACCAGTGAGTTTGGCGGTTTTGAGACATCATCTTTCATTGAAAAAAAAACTTTTTCATTTTGCCGACGCGCATGGCTACGGCGACGCGCGCGCATACCAGAAACCGGAGACTTTTTTTTTTTGGCCTTATCACCCGCCTCCTATTTTGTTTTTTAATTCATACATTCGCGATAATCACACATGTATACAGTTCATTGTTAACATATTGTCTTTTTATTTGTTTCCACTAAAATTGTAGCTACATGTAGATGTAGAAAGCGTTAATGCTCCTTTAGACACAATTTTGTATCAGCGAAAGAGTTGAGAAAATGGAAGAGTCTATCTGCCATCTTAAAAAATTTGCCATCTTGGGGGGAAAAACCAACCAAACAACGCCTGCCTCCCTCATTTTTTCAAAAGCCCAGACGAGAAACTATTTCTTTTACTTTTTTTTTTTTTTTATGTCAAGGAAATCACAACCATTGGTCGACTCATCAATAACCAAATTTGCATAGCTAATCAAATTTACATAAAATGTACAATAAAATATTAAACATCATCAAGAAATGGTTCGAAAAATGGATACCTTTTTATAAGAATCCTCCAGAAACTTGATAGGGTTTTCTCCAAATTCAACTGCTTTGCCGAGAAATGGGATACCAGGGATGCTTGGAGGCAACTTGATGTCCTGCAGAGAGGGGGAGGGGTTGTAATGTTTCAGAAATAAAACTCTGATTTAGTATAAAAAAATTATTGAACGTGATCAAAATATACACAGCCTACCGGTATTTAGTTTTGCTGAGACTTTTCCCAAATCATCAGAACCTATCTTGCTAATGTTAACATTTAGAGATGTAATATTTTAAGTACATGTGTAATTAATACTTAGGCAAGTTATAAAGAATGTTAAGTCTAAAATGGAATAATTTAGTCTTTATTATTTTGAGCCAAGAGAGAATTGACAACTGTAATGTTGATGATGCGTCAATGAAAAATTAAGGAAAAATAGTAAAAATTTAAAAAGGTACTTCTCAAAAATTGTCGATATTAAAATGTTTAAGACATGAAAATGATGAGGAATGAACACAGAAAGATGTAAACTGGGTGATGCAGTTACTATAGCAACTGAGCGATGAGGGAGAAATAAAATGCTCTTAAATAAAATGTTATCGATAATTACCATAGTTCTTTCTTCATGACATCATAATTTTGCTCATACCGAAATATACGATATTTGGTTTCAAAAGCAGGGACTAAGCTAAGGCCTACCGATTTTCCTTGTGTTCCTCCCAACATCTTGCGGAACACCGCCCCGACCACGAGCACGAACGCCGTGGTCACCAGCACCATCGTCATCGTACTCGTGTCCTGCCATCGCCCGATCGCCCCCTCCACCAGAGAACTGCCGGCTCCTGCAATCGTCATGATTGAATTCTATTTCCTGTTCTTAGTCTGACGGAAAATATGGCAAATAAGTGACTTAAACTGACAAGAATCGGATGATACGGTGGCAGACGACGTTGTGTTACCGAATTTACAAGCGCCAGTGGTCCGATCAACGATTTGGGTCACTCTGGGTCAAAGTTTATCTTAATGGCCAATCAGAGTGCGAAATTGTATTAATATATGCGTTAGAAAAAATGAATAAACATTTAATTTTTTCCTCGCAAAGGAAAAACTCGAGAGAAATGATACCCTTTCCTCAAAAACGATTAAAAAAGTATTGGGTTTTTTTTGGAATTGGTCTTTGGAAGGGGGAAAATTTATTATTGAAATTGTGTGGATTTTTTTTTGCGATTTTTACAAATTCACAAGTAGGCGGAGCTTATAGAAATGAATATTTATTAAAGGTCAGAGTTAAAAGGTTAATCATTGTGGCACCCTGCGTGCGTGCGCGAGGAGAACATATATGGACTTTGCCTTTTTGCTGTGTCTGGTTCGTTTCAAGAGATGAAATAACACATTTTTGGGGTGCGGACTACAGAATAACGGTATGTATAGTGAATTTTAGATATTTGTTAATGTAAAGACAAAGTGCGTGCATGAGAATTACTTGAATATTCGTAATAGGGAAGAATTAAATATGTGAGTAAAGTTGTCTGTGTTTGTTTTGATTTCCAGATGTAATGTTCATGTACAGTACATGAGGCCATAGGCAACTTGATTCAGAATTGAAATTATCACCCTCAATATTCAGAAATTATCATCTGTTTCTTAAAAATCTTAGCCTTCTAGATAATTTTATCCATGATTATAAGTGCACAAAGCTAGTGCTTGTTTAAAACAAAAACATAACCGAAGTGAAGGTCGGTAAATTTAGGAAACTTTGGGAAATTTGTAGAAGAAAAATATCATCTTCAGTTTCACAAGTAATTCTGTCCTAGGCTGATCTTCACATGATGTTGTCAAGGAAACAGTGTTTACATCTTTTCAGTTTTGGCTGTGATATTGTGAACTACGAATTGGAATTGATATTTGCACAATGTTAGAAAAAAAATTGCATTTGTCTTAGATCATTGCTCGTTATAATTTATTTTATTTACAGATTTCATCCCTATGCATTGGGAGCAGTAAAGCCAGTTGTTTCCAACGCTGGTCAGCCAACCAGCGTTGGAAATTTATACAAAAATACCACCTTTCTTGAAACGCAGTGGCTATTGTTACGGCAGCCGTAACGCATTTCCCATTTTCTATCGTTACGGTAGACTGCAACCTGGCAACTTTTATAAAAAAACATGACAAGAAAATATAAAATTAGAAGGAAAAAAGTGAATTTGAACTTTATGAAATTCGGACTTTATTTCCCTTTTAAAAAAAATCCTCCAAAGCCTCAGGTTAGAAAAGGAAAAAAATTCGAGTGCAAAACTGAGATTCGAACCCGCAACCTCACGGTGCAAAATCCTACCCTCTATCGGCTGATATGGCGCACTGCTCGATAAAATGTGTGGAAACAAATAATTATATACCTGCGTGCGTATCAAAAAAATATCGTAGAGGGCGCTAAACAACGAGTGCCGTAACGATAGCCACTTCGTTCTTGAAAATGACCGCAAACTAGGTGTTAAACTGTCATTCACTAAACAGTCCAGTAAGGTATTTCGTGAAAATTCAGTAGTTTTGTTTCTGATGTTTGCAAATGTTGTATATTCACTTTAAGATTATCACTATGAGCGGCCGACGCAACAGAGGAGGTCCACACAAGACAGAGCCGGTCACTGACCTGACAAGATGGCGTCTGTCCAATGTGGACGGCCGACAAACATGGAGATACATCGAGGAAGGGGAACCCATCGAAAGAGAACAGAACTTGGTGGAGAAGTTCAGCTTAGGACTGGATATTGTGAGTCCAAATTTACGTAACTTACAGTTTTGTTTTTTCACAAGCTGTTGGAATTCACTAAGTAAACACTTCTTGAGAAACTCCAGCTCCAATGGTCATTCGGAATTCGACATGTAGAGCTGGAGGTCAAAGTACGTTGTAGCCAGCGGTCTAAAAATGGCGGAGGTCTGAAATTTGGCCTCAATACAGCCGCCGAAATATCAGTTTTTTTGTCATATTTTAGTTTGTTCTGTTTCAAGTTGATCCTTTGCTTCGTGAATGATTCACGAAGCAAAGGATAGACTTGAAACAGAACAAAACCGACTAAAATATGGAAAAGTGATGATTTCGGCGGCTGTGTTGAGGCCAAATTTCACAGCCTCCACCATTTTTAGACCACTGGCTACACTGTACATTGACCTCCACCTCTACATGTCGAATTCCCGATGAGCATTGGAGCTGGAGTTTCTCAAACTAGAGTAAACAGTGCTTGCACTATTGTATAAATTATTGCAAAAGTGTAATAATATACTCGTGGGTTCCAGTCCCACCCGAGTGATTTTTCCCAACTTTCACTCGGGAGGTAACACACTGAGTATACAGTGTTTAAATGTCGGTGAAGGGCAAAACCTTATTTGATTTATATCACCCCGATGCAAAATTCCATCTTATAATAGTTTATGCGGTACCCGCTGCTATGTACATCAGATTCGAACCAGCCAACCGATCCCGTTAGCTCGGTGGTCGAGTGGTAAGACATCTGCACTACAAAGCAGGAGGTCGTGGGTTTGAGTCCCACCCGAGTGATTTTTTTCCAACTTTCACTCGGGAGGTAACACACCGAGTATACAGTGTTTAAACGTCAGTGAAAGGCAAAACCTAATTTGAATAATATGTATCACCACAATGCAAAAAGGCATTTGTTTCTGAGATGTTTCTCTTGATGAAGTTTTGACATTTTTACTTTTGCTATACATGTATTTAACACGTTTGAATTTATTGGAGGTAGAGCAGATTATTTATAGTATCAAATCAAAATGTAAACAAATAGATAATATCTACATGTAGCACAAGAATAGCTTGGGCTTTTGTTGTGAGTTATTTTTGAATACACTGCAAACAGATAAGTATACAATGTAATCAAGAGACCATCTTGATAAGAGTGAACCATTATAGAACTACATTTTAAAGGTTTTTTGTATCCCATAATGTGTATATTTAATCAACATCCAAACAAGTTGGCTTTGAGGTGATGCCAATTCACACTACAACAAATTTTCTTTCCTTTAAATTTTCAGCTTGTATGTAATGTTTGTATCCAACATATTGTAGGCAGAAATCATCCATTTTATGCCTTTTTTTTAGGGGAATATACAACATTTGCAAACATCGAAAAACAAGTCTAAAGCATCCTGTAAAATTATGGCACCAGGTGTGAAGTCATTTACAAGAAAATTGTATTTTTGTATACATTTCCAACGGTGGTCGGTCGACCACCGTTGGAAAAACCTAACTATTTTTCAACTACTGCTCCAAATTTACCCTTTTTTCCAGTCTAAATTGTGTTTGCTACTTGTTACATGTTCATTAATGGGTGCAGAGCAGCTAGACTGGTTCCCTTACCTTACAATTTTCTGGCATCTATAAATTGATCCATTTTATCTTTAGTGGAGTCAGGGAACCAGACTACTTGAACATTTTTGTTTTTCTTGGTTTTTCCAGCATTTTCGAACACAAAATTTCAAACATATCAGTGTACAATATTTGATCTATTATACTAACCCCTCAAATAGTTCATTTCTGAAAATTACAGCAAAAGCCAATGATACACATTCCCTTTAAAGGTTTTTTTTTTTCAGAATTAGAATTATTCCTTCTTGTTATCAGTCAAAAGTCGTTCACAAAAAGACAACTAGTAACACACATATTTTTTTCCCTCAATCAACCTCCCACCTTTAAGAGCAAAGAAGCCCCGCCCTTCCCCAAACCCACCACGCCCCAAGAGGCAGCCACCAATGGGATGGTCTTCTACTCAAGGCTCCAGACGGAAGACGGCCACTGGAGCGGAGACTATGGGGGACCTCTCTTCCTCATGCCAGGTGACCTGTGACCTTTGACCTCGTACAAGTCTTTGACCTCTAACTGAACATTGTTTCTGCTTGATGGTCAGCGGAAAAATTGAGATTACTGCAGTAGAAAAACTATGCAAACTTGGAGTGTATTTCGCATCCAAGACATTCTAAGGGTTTCAAGTGCGCTTAAGTTGAGTAACTGTTTCTGAATTCCAATTTTAACAAAATTCACCTTTTTATGGTGGCGTGAATTTTCTTTGAATTCCGGCTTACTTTTTGCAAATACAAACAAATCATCCTTAAGCGAACCTAATACTTTTAGCCACACCAGAATATATTTTGTTATTCTTCAACATTTGTGCTACAGTTTTCTTGCACCTTTGTAAAAGTAGCGATTTTCTCGTCTTGTTTGCAGGACTGCTTATTGTGTGCTACATCACCAAGACAGAATTGCAGGATGCCGTCAAGAAGGAAATGGTGCGATATCTGCGCTCTGTTCAGTGTCAAGATGGCGGATGGGGGCTGTGAGTTCCAAATCTATCCTTCCATCATGTTAAAGGGAAAATACAACATTTGCAAACATCAAAAAATAAAATTACCAAATCATTTTGAAATACCTTGCTGGACTGTTAGTGAATGACAGTGTAAAGCATCCTGTAAAATCATGGCACCTGGTATACTGTCATTTTCAAGAAAAGTGGTATTTTTGTATCAATTTCCAACGCTGGTCGGCCGACCAGCGTTGGAAAACACTGGCTTTTTTTCAAATACTGGCCCCAATTGACCATCGCACTTGTTTGCAATCGATTACACACCTATGAACGGGTACAAGCCAGCTAGACTGGTTCCCTGACCTTACAATTCCCCAATGTATGCAAACTGCTCTGTTTCTTCTTACATGGAGTCAGGGAACCAGACTACAGGAAAATGATTGTTTTCTTGGTTTTTATAGCATTTTTGAACCCAAAACCTCAAAAAAGTCAGTGCAACTATATTTGCTATATATTTCCAACCCTCCAATTCCATCCATTTCTGAATATTACAGCAAAAGCAAATGATGTATTTTCCCTTTAAATCCTTAATACCATGAAAAAAATCAATGTTTTACAAAGTTAACTGAAATAGTATACATAAGTAGTACCAGCATATTCTACTTTTATGTGTGTGTGTGTGTGTGTGCGTATGGGCTTGCATGTTTCATCGGCATGAATTTTAAATTAGCTTTGATATTTTGTCCATGTACCAGCAAGTTTTGTTTAAATTTATGCGGAGGAAGTCCAATAAATTTAAACCCTTGAAGCACCACACCCATTAACATTTACCATTGCTTGTACATTGCTATTTATTTAACTTTTGTACTGTTTGAACAATAGTCAAAAACAGTCACAGACGGTCAAAAATTCCATCCACTTCCCCTTGTTGCCATGTGTTTTACACAGGCTAGTCAACAGCAGTCAGATCATATTTCAAGCAAGCACTCTGACTAGTCAAATTCAGTCAACAGACAAAAGCAGGAAACTGCTTTATGTAGGCTGGGAGCTCTTAACTGTTGAAAACAGCAACTTGATTGATTTTGACTGAAAGGACAACTTGGCACAGAACGTATGTTTGCATAGGAGAGTTAATGTTGATATTTTAAGAAAAATTAATTTGTCTTTACTAGTACCGGTACTTTCTTTTCTTATTTGATTGATTTATGCGATGGTCGCTGTTTGAAAAGGTTGTCTCTTGTCTTTGTATGTTTTTGTTTTATTTATTTTTCATCTACTTCTCATTGAAATTGTACATGTTGCCAATGAATTTCACTACGGCAGAGCAGTATAAATAATTAGGAAACTACTTTGTTCTTTCAGACATATCGAAGGCCCGCCCACAGTCTTTGGTTGCGCCACTAACTACGTCGCGATGAGACTGCTGGGTGTTGCCGCCGACGACCCGGACCTCATCAAATGCAGGAAGTTGCTTCATTCGCTAGGTACCAGCAAAGTTTTGCTTTTGAGCATATCTGTGCAAAGTCGTAAAAATTCATGCATAAGAGACTTTCAAAAATTAGAACCAAAAAAAACATTGTGAGGGTTGGTGTTTTTTTAAATATGGCGTGAAAAGACTAGAATGATGTTTGATGCTCATCCCTGAAAATATGTCTGTGAAAAAAAATTTAAAAAAATTAAAATCAGGAAATAAAACATGGTTGAATTAAAATTAAAATAAGAGAGAAATTGACTATGGGTTATTCTATAAATTTAGGGTCTAAAGTGTGGTGTTTTTCCTGTTCCTGTTAACTTGGCACTTTGTAATTTGCTATGCAAGTATCATTGAGAATGACTTCAAATGATTCTGTATTTGTTGGGTGGGTAGTTTGCTATTCATAATCACTCTTGGAGGACAACTGCATTAACCCTAACCTCCCCAACTCCGTCAAAATCCATCCGTCCATTTCGGTGGTTTTTGGGGGACTTGGTCCTGCAGGCCTGGTTTGACTAAATGTTGATGGAGTATGATGGACTTGGGCCTGGAGGCCTTCAGCAAAGCAGTGTGATTGATGGATTTTGACAGACTTGGTCCAGTACTTAGTAAATGACTGTAGGAGAATTATAAAACCATAGTCAGCCGTAACAGGGACAGGAAAAAAGTGGACCCCAAATATATAGAAGGTGTCTGTTTTGTTTGAGTGCAGTCGTCACTTTAATTTTAATGGATAATGAAAAAGTTTCGTAACATCAGTGGACAACGTGAAGACTTCAAACACTATGCTCATTGCATGCACTGATAACTGGTTGATTTTTAAGAGCTCAGTGAATAAGTCCGAAAATGTATTTTTCAAATCCTACACATCCATCATCTACTAATGGTCAAGGAGATTACAGACTAGGAGTTTTGGATCATTTCTCTGAATCATTAATTAGATATCATGGTTAATTGGCTCCGTCATGGACATTACACTTCCTTTCATAACGCAGAAATTGCCCAAGAGTAAATTCATTTTTCTGGAACGGCTAGTGCAGCTTTATTTTCAAACACAGCTTCTTCTAATATTGTATTCAGGAGGAGCCGCGGCCATTCCGTCCTGGGGCAAGTTCTGGCTGTCGGTCCTCAATGTCTACTGCTGGGATGGTATGCATACGCTTTTCCCTGAACTTTGGTAAGTCACCCAATTCCAATTTTTTGCTTATTTTATGGATCCATAGTGCTAGCCTACTTTCCTCTGACTGACTGTCTGGTTGGGTCACTCCCCGAATACTGAGTACAAATAAATTCTGAAACTGAATCTCCCGGATCCAGCTCTTATCTAGGCAAGCGTAGTCTTGTTTGTGTTTTGTACATTTGTACCATATGTGACCTGTTCTGTCAAAAGCAGACGCTTCTGGGCAGAGGTTGAAATTAAGATAGGGCCAAAAAATGCGGTGGGGGTGATTTTTTTTTTTTTTTTCTAATACTTGCATATTTGTAATCCTGAACATGTCTAAAATATACTATAAAAGTTTGAAACCCTAATTTGAACTCTAAGTATAGTATTTTTGATGATTTGTTGAGGTATATTAGTTAAAGAAATGTCTGTTTTGTGACGTTCGTGGCCATTTTCTACGTCTTCCACTTTTCGACACAATGAACTTCAAAATAGCATAACTTTGCCCAGGAATTACAGGTTTCAAAAATTAAACCACCAATTAAAAGGAAAACGTACATATTTTAACAATATCCAAAAATCTCATTTTCGACCTTATGCCCAGAAAAGTCTGATTTTGACAGAACAGGTCACATATATTATTTGGATCCTTTTTTATTAATCAATAGATATGTTGTGGAGTGCTATGGCCTCCTGGTCTGGAGCATTGAACTCATGACCTGCGGGTAATTCTGCAGGTTGTGGGTTCAAGTCCAGCCTGGGGTTATGGTGCGTGTGCCCTTGGGCAAGGCACTTTAATTTTTCACCCATTGCTTTGCCCCACCCAGGAGTAAATGGGTACCTGTGAGGGTAGAGATGGTTATTGTTAATATTGATTTAAGCTGCCTTGTCCCGAAATGGCTGCATCGAGCTGTACACTCCTGAGGGAGCTGAGATGGTATTTGGAATGTTTCATTGGCCCAATGATCAGGGGTAACAATAATGAAAAGCGCTTTGATCTTTAGTTAAAAGCACTATATAAGTAGCCGTTAATATTATTATTATATGTTAATCAATCAATTCAATCAATAAGTTGATCAATCATCATTTATTCAATCTTCAAACAGTCCAGACAAACTAAAAATAACAAGAAGTAAATAAGTACAAAATAAGTTTTTTGTCCAATTTTTTTTCAATTCAGGCTGTTTCCGACCTGGATCCCCGCCCATCCGTCCACTATCTGGTGCCACTGCAGACAAGTCTATCTACCCATGAGTTACTGCTATGGCATCAAGTATCAAGCAGAAGAGGATGATCTGATCAGGGAACTGAGGAAGGTAAGCAAAAATAACTGCTGCCGGCTTGGTTGGGATTCGAACCACCCACCATAGGATCATAATCTGTAGCTCTACCTTGCAATTACTTACTGCTATGGCATCAAGTATCAAGCAGAAGAAGATGACCTGATCAGAGAACTGAGAAAGGTGAGCAAAAAAAAACTGCTGCCAGTTTGGTTGGGATTCGAACCACCCATTTTAGGATAATAATATGTAGCTCTACCTTCCAATTACTTACTGCAACAATTTAATATCAAGCAGAAGATGATCTGATTCGGGAGTTCCAAAATCTCAGCCAAACTAATTGCTGCCAGCTTGGATGGGAATTGAACCATCTATCATAGGATCCTACTCTTAAGCTCTACCTTCCAATAAGCTTCTGCTATGGCATCAAGTATCAAGCAGAAAAATATGATCTGATCAGGGAATAGGTCTCTCATAAAGACAGCCATCTCTGTAGGAGAACTGCAACTGCGTATTTCATGCAATCAAGCACGCATTGCACTTGTTGCTCGAAATGTGTTTGAAATATGACGCAGCCGATGAGCATTATGCAAGCTGAAAATGCCGATGCACGTGGCTGGTCTGTAGGATTTGATGTCATTTGAGAGAGACCTATTACGGGGGGAAAAAAGACACAACTAGCTTGAGTGGGCTTTGAACCACCCATCATAGGAGCACACCTCCTAGCTGTACGTTTTAAGAAGAGATTCTCATCAGAGGACCACACACAGCAAGGGTAGACCCTCACAAGCTTGGATGGGGTTCGAACCACTCATCGTAGTATACTTTCTAGCTCTACCTTCAAAATGAATTATTCCTTTGGTAGGACTCGAACCACCAACTACTGTTATTCATCCATTTATGTAGTGACTGTTTTCTCGATATCCAATTCCTGTTTTGGTTAAAGGGCTGATTTTCCAATTACATGATATCTCTCAACAAAGTACTCGATCGAAAGATTATTGTCACTCCTTTTTATTATTTGCATCCAGGAGCTCTATACTCAAGACTACCATACCATCGACTGGCCAGCACAGAGGGATAACATAGCCAAGGTGGATCTGTACACCCCTCACAGCTGGCTCTACAATCTGGCGTTTGGTTTCCTGGATGTCTATGAGCCCTATCATTCCACTGCTTTCCGTCAGAGGGCTCTTGACGAATGCCTGGATCACATCCGAGCTGACGATCGCTTCACCAAGTGCATAAGCATTGGACCTGTAAGTGGCCTTGTGTCCTTGGGCAACATAGTTTGCCACAATTTGCCTTTCCCCACTAAGGATTAAAGTGCCTACTGGCATGACAAACTCTACATGAGTGCCGTGATCAAGTACAGGTTGACGATCGCTTCGCCAAATGATGCGTCAGTATTGGACCTATGAAGGTTGAACTGTAAAATGGATATTGTGTCCATGGGCAAGGTAGTTCGTCACAATTTGTTTGGTTGTTTTCTCATTGAAAGAGTTTTGGACTTATATGTTTGATGATTTGATTTCTCTGTTGATTTCTTGAGTTTCTACAGAGATTTCTAAATTTACATGTACCATCATGTCAAAAATCCACACGTTTCAAAATTTGTGTAATATGGGAGGTTTTTATTCTTCGTTTTCTAATGGTTTTGGTTGGTTTGTTGATTTTGTCTGCAGATATCCAAAGTCATCAACATGTTGGTCAGATGGATTACTGAAGGAGCAGACTCAGAGGTCTTCAAGCAGCATGTGGAACGCATCCCGGATTACCTATGGTACAGTTTGTCTGTCTGTTGGTCTGTCTATCTGTATTTTGACTATCTGTGAATTACAGAATTATTCTGGCTAGCTTTAGTTTTAAAAATCTGTAATATTACAATGTAGTTTTCAGATTTTGTTAGAAATGCATTATACCATGGAAAATCCCTTATGTTGATTATTTTTGTTTTCTTGCAGGATTGGTCTAGATGGCATGAAAATGCAGGTAATAATTTTAATTTAAATCGTGAAAAGTGCTCTTTCCCCCAAATTATGACAATCCTATAATGTGAGCATAAAACTCTATTTAAGCCTGAGCTTCCTTTAACAAAGACACAACTTGGACCTTCCCGTTAATCTTGGAATTTTTCTTGATGATGCTGCTTTGTCCTTTTCCAATCATGCTTGTGCATTGACAATATTTTACAGGCTCTTAATTTAACAATGCTCACAGTGCAATTTTGAATTAAGTGTTCTAAATGAGACACTCTGTACAAAAATCTGATTGCTCATTTGACATGATAGTATTAATACCGCTAACTTCTAATAACTCTTTTCAATTTGATTTTCCATTAGGGAACCAATGGTTCACAGCTCTGGGACACGGCCTTCGCTGCCCAGGCTTTCTTAGAAGCAGGAGCATCAACCAACAAGGAGCTACATGAATGCTTACAGCGAACCCACGACTTCCTGAAACTCACTCAAATACCGGACAATCCGCCCAACTATCAAAAGTACTACCGACAAATGAACAAGGTCAGATAATTGTAATAATAAAAGGCATCTATATAGCTCTTTTAAACAGGATATCAAAGCGCTTTACAATTATTATTACCCCTTTTCAACGGGCAAATACTCCTGAAACCTTGTCAACTCCCTGGGGAGCATACACGGCTGGGCAGCCAGTTTGGCGCTCTTGGCCGTAGTCAACCTCTCACAGTAACCAACACTGCCCTCACGGGTACCCATCTACTCCTGGGTGGAGAGAAGCAATGAGTGACAAAGTGCCTTGCCCAAGGGCAGATGCACCACAACCCCGGGCTGGACTCGAACCCACAACCTGCAGAATGACCCGCTCCAAACCACTAGGCCACTCCACAGATGATTTTAGATTTCATCCTTCCATTTGCAGAAATTGTTTTAGTATGATGAAATGCATTAAAAAAAATTTGCGTGATTTTTATTTGAAGCCTATGAATTATAATTGGATTAAGTGAATGTTAGGCTTGACTAACATCAAGACAGTGACACACATTAACTTTAATGTAGCATCGTTGTCTGTCTATTTTTACCAACTTGGGTGTTTTTTTAATACTTTCAATAGGTTTTCTGTTTTTATCTTAAAGTAAGCCGTTAAATTCACAAAACCTTCTTTAGTTACACCTCATCTCTAAAATTTTAAAAAATATTTTACTACTAATTTAATTCCAGGTCAAAGGTATTAAAGGGAAAATACAACATTTGCAAACATCAAAAAATAAAACTACCAAATCATTTTGAAATACCTTGCTGGACTGTTAGTGAATGACAGTGTAAAGCATCCTGTAAAATCATGGCACCTGGTATACTGTCATTTTCAAGAAAAGTGGTATTTTTGTATCAATTTCCAACGCTGATTGGCCGACCAGCGTTGGAAAAAACTGGCTTTTTTTTCAAATACTGGCCCCACTTGACCATCGCACTTGTTTGCAATCGATTACACACCTATGAACGGGTACAAGCCAGCTAGACTGGTTCCCTGACCTTACAATTCCCCAATGTATGTAAACTGCTCTGTTTCTTCTTAAATGGAGTCAGGGAACCAGACTACAGGAAAATGATTGTTTTTCTTGGTTTTTAAAGCATTTTTGAACCCAAAACCTCAAAACAGTCAGTGCGACTATATTTGCTATATATTTCCAACCCCCCAATTCCATCCATTTCTAAAAATTACAGCAAAAGCAAATGATGTATATTCCCTTTAAAGATGAGCGTGTTGGCTAACTTTTAGATTGCCATTCATTTGCCAGGGGGGTTATCCATTCAGTACCCGCGACTGCGGCTGGATTGTGGCCGACTGTACAGCCGAGGGACTCAAGGCAGCCTTGATGCTGGAGACAATGTGCCCCACCGTCAAGGATCACATAGAGAAAGATAGGCACTACGAAGCCGTGGATGTGGTAAGATATCCCAGGGCCTCTAATTGTGGTAAAGCGCCCTTCCCAGGAACACAAACTTTTCAATTACATCTGTGGTTTGAAAATGAACACTGCAACTCCATAAAAGGGATGGGTGAATTAGAGATAGTACCAAGCTATAAATTTGATAAAGTACACCATAGCACTAGGTGAGACTGAAGAAATTGTGGTAAAATATCCTGCCCAGGAACACAAACATTCCTGTTCTCCATGCGGTTTTGATAATAAGCCACTGAGAACGAACTGATTTGAAGAATTGTGGTAAAGTGGCTTGCTCAGCAACACAAAATTTTCCGATTTTTAAAAAATTTTTTATTGAATGATCAAACATCAAGGATGAATTTAAGACATCGTTTTATATTTTTCTGATAATTATTAGTGTTTTGTTTGTCATTTTTTTAGATACTGAATATGCGAAACAAAGATGGCGGATTTGCCACCTATGAGACCATGAGAGGAGGAATCATCCTTGAGAAACTCAACCCCTCCGAAGTTTTTGGTGAGTCTCAAAAATATTCAGACTTTGAAATAGTTCAATGTTGCTTATTAAACTCGCTGGTCAATTGTTGGCAAGACATCTGCACTTGTGAGCCAGAGGTCGTGGGTTCGAATCCCATCCATGTCAACTTCTGAAATTTTTCTCACAAGCTTGAACATGCAGTGCTCCCAACTTTTTTTTTAAATTTATGTCTGTGTTAATTTTTTTTTTAAAAACCAATTATCACAATTCAAAAGTCTTTATTGTGATAAAGTATCCTGCTCAAGGACAGCAATAAAAAACTTCCGTTTATTCCTGCAGGCGATATCATGATTGACTACACCTACGTTGAGCTGACGTCGGCCGTGATGCAATGCCTGAAGAAATTCAGTGAGCTGTATCCTGAGTATCGCAAGGACGAGGTCAGATCCACGCTGGACAGGGGCCTGTTGTACATCGCTAAGAAACAAAAGATAGATGGATCATGGGAAGGGTGCGTAATATTTTTTTTTAAAATTTATCTTTTAAAGCTACAGTCCATCATTTGTAATTTGTGCATTTTGTTCGTTTGAAGCAACAAAAGAGTTCAAAATCTAATGAAGGATACTGAGCAACTAACCTGATGAAGTTTCAGCTAAGCTTCAGCTGTACATTCCGAGAAAAACAGCATTCTAAGATCTCAATTTCAAATCCAAAGTTACTGAATCATGTTTTGAATTGTTTTGAATTGCAGCTATACGCGACGTCGCGCACTGATCCGACGAATTATAACAACCGCGCGCGCGTGTGCGTCGTTCCAATACTTGTGCGCGCTGCGCTGAATAACAAAACGAACTACTAATTTAAATTTTCCTACGGTGCTTCTTAAGAATCACCGTTGGAAATGCCTTCTTTCATTGATAACTTCAAAATGACAGCTTGCCAGAAAGAATAATTTCACAGGGAGTTTAGTCCCCTTACTATCTTTCAACCAAGTTTGTTTTTCAACAATAATTACGCCAGTTACTTTTCGGATGGCTGCAAATGATGGACTATACCTTTTAAACTTTTTAGAACAAGATTGCGATGAGGTTTCTTGTGCATTCTGATTGCAAAAATCTGAGCCGAAACTAGAAACGCATGTTTGAGACACAACCCCATAGTTGCTTGTTTTAGATGTAGTAAAGAGCGCCCTCTATCGTATTTCTAACACAAAGTTTTTGTTTCCTTCCCAACAGATCTTGGGGCGTGTGCTTTACTTATGCAGTCTGGTTCGGTCTGGAAGCCTTTGCCTGCATGGGATACAGCTATGAAAAAGGGTAAGAGCACCAGCCTCAATTTTCCAAAAAACATTTCAAGACTTACAAGTTACAGACTTGAATGCCAAAATTTTGTGGGGTTTTTTTGTTGGGGTGTTTGATTGTTTTTTGGTTTTTTTTATATCAGTTGTTTTCATTTATTATATTTTCCAACTTTGTTTGAAAAAATGTACAAAAAAATTATCAAATTTGACCTTTTTTACCTCAATGTTTTTCCCCCTCCAGGACCAATACTATGCAAATTAGGAGGGCATGTGACTTCCTGGTGTCCAAGCAGATGGAGGACGGTGGATGGGGGGAGGAGTTTGAGTCCTGCGAGGAGAGGCGGTACATTCAGAGCAAGACGTCGCAGGTCGTCAACACGGCGTGGGCGGTGCTAGCACTCATGGCAGTCAGGTGAGGACCTGTTCATTTCTAAAATTCAAACTTTGTCATTGGCTCTCTGTGTGTGAACAACAGAGGGCGCTATTTCGACTACTCGTAAGATCTAACTCCAGTTGACATGCTGCACTGGTTTGCGCCAAAATACACAACTTGGTTTCATCTGAGCGTGTACTGGTATTGTCTTCGTGTGGGTGCTCAGAGTACAGCAGCAACTACAGTCTTATCATATTGCCATTTTTTTCATTTGAAAATGTTTAATACTTTCAAGATATTTAAAAAAAAAGGGGGACCCGCCTTTTACTGTTTTGGCATATGTCACCCTCCAGCTCCAAACTAATTGTAAGTCGCGCGGCCGTATTTTGAGATATTACTCTGTAAGGCCAAAAAAAAGGTCTCCGGTTTCTGGTAATGGAGCTTGCCCAAAAAGTGGTGCGGCGAAGCGGCTTTTTTTTTGTTTTTACCTGATTTTTTGCTTCAAATGTCGGCTGATGACTGCAAATGGTGCCCGACTAAACTTAGTGCAAATAAATGGGAGTCCAGAGAGGCCACATAAAGCTTATTATCGATCATAACCCCATCTAAAAACACATTAAAATTGTGCAGCAGCAGGATTCCAGTCAAACCAGTGAGTTTGGCGGTTTTGAGACATCATCTTTCATTGAAAAAAACCTTTTTCATTTTGCCGACGCGCATGGCTATGGCGACGCATGCGCATACCAGAAACCGGAGACTTTTTTTTTTGGCCTAATGCATTGATAAGTCAAAAATAATATGAAATTCAGATGTAGGCGTTGGAATCTAGAATAATGAATATATTTTACCTTCCGTTAACTTCATTGTACATTTCCTAAGGAGATCATTTGGGAAATTTTATCGACAAATTATATATTTTTTTAAACTTTCCGAGGCCCGCAAACTTGGAACTGAAAATACCTATTCCTCCGTCATATTTTATCCGATTCCCATATTCTATACATCAAAAGTTTTCAAACATTTGTCAAAAGGAGTGATTTTGTGCTGAACGGTCACATGTTATGGATACAGAAATTTAATAAATAAATAATATTGAAAACATTTATGTTTTGCTTTTGGCAGATTTCCACAACGTGAGGTTATCGACAGAGGCATCAAAGTGATCATGGACCGACAACTGCCAAATGGGGACTGGGCTCAGGTAAGAGGTCGCGACCTTTGACATACCACCCTAGTAATAAACTCCCCTAGTGGATTCAATTTTAAGATAAAAGAAAGCTGGAATCTTGGTAAACGCTCCGGCAAAAACCTGAATATAAGCGCTGTACTCAGGTTTTGATTTAAGATAGGGATTCATGGCCTGGCACTCTTGACGGAACTAAGTTTATTTTTAAGAAGAATAAACCATTTGTTTTCCTCATTTTTAAGAAGAAAGATGCTTGAAAGAAAACTTGCTTGAAAGATGCCTAAGGGACCCTAGAACACATTCCGATTCCATTTGTAGAAAGATATGCTTTTCCAAAGAAAATTTGGACAAAAATATGGAATATAATCAGTCAAATATGTTAATTAATTTCTCACAAAATCGATGGTTTTTGCCCAAATCTTAAAAATATTGGGTGTTTGAGTATTGATTGGTGCCCCTCTGACCTCCTGAGGAATTTCTGCATTGTTAAGAGAAAAGTCAATTTTTGGCCAAATTTTGATAAAAATGTAAGGCTAAGGCCAAAAAAAAAAAAGTCTCCGGTTTCTGGTATGGAGCTTGTCCAAAAAGTGGTGCGGCGACGCGGCTTTTTTTTTTATTTTACCTGACTTTTTTGCTTCAAATGTCGGCTGATGACTGCAAATGGTGCCCGACTAAAGTTAGTGCAAATATATGGGAGTCCAGAGAGGCCACATAAAGCTTATTCTCGACCATAACCCAATCCAAAAACACGTTAAAACCGTGCAGCAGCAAGAGTCCAGTAAAACCAGTGAGTTTGGCGGTTTTGAGACATTATCTTTCATTGAAAAAAAAACTTTTTCATTTTGCCGACGTGCATGGCTACGGCGACGCGCGGGCATACCAGAAACCGGAGACTTTTTTTTTTGGCCTAACCCCTTGCATTTTTGTCAATTTTGACCAAAAAATGGAATTCCTTGAAACTTGCTTGAAAGATGCCTAAGGGACCCTAGAACACTTTCCAATTCCATTTGTAGAAAGATATGCTTTTCCAAAGAAAATTTGGACACAAATATGGAATATAATCAGTCAAATTATTTATTTATTCTCAACCACAGGAAAACATCAAGGGCGTATTCAACAAGTCCTGTGCGATCAGCTACACGAGTTACCGGAACGTCTTCCCCATATGGGCGCTGGGTCGCTACGCCCGTATCTATGGCAACAGCTCATAGCCCGTCCAATCACAATGTGTCTCCGGACAACTTTAGGTTGGTGCTTTCCTCCTTGGAGCAGTAGGAGTAGTGTAGATGGTAGTGGCACCAGACTGGTGCAAGAAAACGTTTTATAAATCTGAAATGACAAAAACTATGTACAAAGTGTGGCCAAAATATTTCTTTTTTTAAATCAACTTCAGAAGATGTGATTTTGTAATAATTTGCAGGCACCTGAGAAGTTACCATGGTTTTTTTTTGGTTTTTTCTACTTTCACAAAATCCACTGGTACCCCTATTTTTTAAAACTGAAACACGATTTGTCATACTGGTACCCAGCACTTGTGAGAAGAATTGCTGTAACTTCTGTAGTAAATGAACAATCGAAAATGAATTTGATAGAATGTACACGTAGATAGCGTTCACTGTGGATAAATCAAATTCTGTGCTTGATTTATAAACTGAACTACACTGGCATAAAAAAAATCCAACACCACGCCTTAGGTATGGACAGTGGCTTTGCATGCATCACTAACTTAAACAACAAGCTATGCTAATATTACATCGAAAAAAGGAATTAAAATTTAAGATAGATATTTCCAAGATTTTATTTAAGTGAAAAAATGCAAGGGGTTAGCCTTACATTTTTATCAAAATTTGGCCAAAAATTGACTTTTCTCTAAACAACGCAGACATTCCGTAGGAAGTTAGAGGAGCACCAAGCAATACTCAAACACCCAATATTTTGAAGATTTGGGGAAGACCAACAACTAATTAACATTTTTGACTGAGTTTACCCCATATTTTTGTCCAAATTTTCTTCGGAAAAGCATCTTTTTCTACAAATGGAATTGGAATGTGTTCTAGGGTCCCTTAGGCATCTTTCAAGCAAGTTTCAAGGAATTCCATTTTTTGGTCAAAATTGGAAAAAAATGCAAGGGGTTAGCCTTACATTTTTCTCAAAATTTGGCCAAAATTTACTTTTCTCTAAACAATGCAGAAATTACTTAGGAAGTCAGAGGAGCACCAATCAATACTCAAACACCCAATATTTTTAAGATTTGGGCAAAAACCATCGATTTTGTGAGAAATTATTTAACATATTTAACTGATTATATTCCATATTTTTGTCCAAATTTTCTTTGGAAAAGCATATCCTTCTACAAATGGAATTGGAATGTGTTCTAGGGTCCCTTAGGCATCTTTCAAGTAAGTTTCAAGGAATTCCATTTTTTTGTCAAAATTGAAAAAAATGCAAGGGGTTAGCCTTACATTTTTATCAAAATTTGGCCAAAAATTGACTTTTCTCTAAACAATGCAGAAATTACTTAGGAAGTCAGCGGAGCACCAATCAATACTCAAACACCCAATATTTTTAAGATTTGGGCAAAAACCATCGATTTTGTGAGAAATAAATTAACATATTTGACTGATTATATTCCATAATTTTGTCCAAATTTTCTTTGGAAAAGCATATCTTTCTACAAATGGAATTGGAATGTGTTCTAGGGTCCCTTAGGCATCTTTCAAGCAAGTTTCAAGGAATTCCATTTTTTGGTCAAAATTGAAAAAAAAATGCAAGGGGTTAGCCTTACATTTTTCTCAAAATTTGGCCAAAATTGACTTTTCTCTAAACAATGCAGAAATTACTTAGGAAGTCAGAGGAGCACCAATCAATACTCAAACACCCAATATTTTTAAGATTTGGGCAAAAACCATCGATTTTGTGAAAAATTAATTAACATATTTAACTGATTATATTCCATATTTTTGTCCAAGTTTTCTTTGGAAAAGCATATCCTTCTACAAATGGAATTGGAATGTGTTCTAGGGTCCCTTAGGCATCTTTCAAGTAAGTTTCAAGGAATTCCATTTTTTTGTCAAAATTGAAAAAAATGCAAGGGGTTAGCCTTACATTTTTATCAAAATTTGGCCAAAAATTGACTTTTCTCTAAACAATGCAGAAATTACTTAGGAAGTCAGAGGAGCACCAATCACTACTCAAACACCCAATATTTTTAAGATTTGGGCAAAAACCATGGATTTTGTGAGAAATAAATTAACATATTTGACTGATTATATTCCATATTTTTGTCCAAATTTTCTTTGGAAAAGCATATCTTTCTACAAATGGAATTGGAATGTGTTCTAGGGTCCCTTAGGCATCTTTCAAGCAAGTTTCAAGGAATTCCATTTTTTGGTCAAAATTGAAAAAAAATGCAAGGGGTTAGCCTTACATTTTTATCAAAATTTGGCCAAAAATTGACTTTTCTCTAAACAACGCAGAAATTCCGTAGGAAGTCAGAGGAGCACCAAGCAATACTCAAACACCCAATATTTTTAAGATTTTGGTAAAAACCAACAATTAATTAACATGTTTGACTGAGTTTACCCCATATTTTTGTCCAAATTTTCTTTCGGAAAAGCATATCTTTCTACAAATGGAATTGGAATGTGTTCTAGGGTCCCTTAGGCATCTTTCAAGCAAGTTTCAAGGAATTCCATTTTTTGGTCAAAATTGAAAAAAAATGCAAGGGGTTAGCCTTACATTTTTATCAAAATTTGGCCAAAAATTGACTTTTCTCTAAACAATGCAGAAATTCCATAGGAAGTCAGAGGAGCACCAATCACTACTCAAACACCTAATATTTTTAAGATTTTGGCAAAACCATCGATTTTGTGAGAAATTATTTAACATATTTGACTGATTATATTCCATATTTTTGTCCAAATGTTCTTCGGAAAAGCATATCCTTCTACAAATGGAATTGGAATGTGTTCTAGGGTCCCTTAGGTATCTGTCTAGCACATTTTAAGAATTTTCACGTTTTGGTTAAAATTGGAAAAAATACAGGGGTTAGCCAAAAAACCCAATATTTTAAAACTTATGTTTGTATTGTATTGATTATTTTTTATCCAAAAAATGTGGGCACCATATAAGCTATTATTTGCCAGTGCAAAGTTAACGTTTTATTAAATTTTCTTACAAATTGTCAGATTTTAATTTAGTTTAAGTTTTAAACTTAAAAGTGTTAACAGAAATTGTTATATTACATTGTAATTAACTATTTTGACTTTACATCGATGTATATTTTATTGATGTTTATAAATGAAGAAATAAATTGTATGGTATGGCAAGTAAAAGATATTAGCAGTGTTATGCTCTTGTTCCTATGCGTCTGCCTTTAAATATATTAATTTTGTGAAGAAGCAGATATAAAGTCTTGAATAAATTCCCTAGAATAAGTATAAAGTATAAGTATAAACCATCCAGATAAATATTTTAAGTATAAAGTATAAGTATGAACCATCCAGCTAGTAAATTCCCCAGTGAGTTGATCAGCCCAAACCTAAGTCCCAAGTTCCTACCCCAGACCCAAGGCCTCTACCCCTCAGCTTCCAACTCTCTCTGGAGACTAAGTCAGAACAACCTAAGGGTTTTAATTACCGGAATCCTTACTTTTTTAAGAAAAACCCGGTGGTGTAGTGGTAAGAGTGTAAGGCTACATACCCAAGGGTTCCCGGTTCAAGTCCCACCCATGCACAATTTTGTCAGAAAACTTAGTATATATTTTGAAAAAAGTCTAAAAGCTCCTCAGGACGGCCCAGGATCTGAACCGGGGACATCCCGGTTCGGATCCTGAGGCGCGTCCTACTGAGCCAACTGCTTCTTGAAAAAAATTCGCCGGACGTTATATATAAACCTTAGGTTAACATATGTCGAAATATTACCCATAAGCACTCAGTACATTAACATATCATGAATATTCAGCATATGCGAATTAGGGAGAAAAAATGATACCAGTATTTCAGGATTTTTCTGTACTTGCTGAAGTAAGGGTTTTTAAGCAGTAACTCTGACAGTAAATAATGATACAGGGTACTGAATGACAACATAAAAAGGAAATCAACATATCCAAAACATGATTTTAACCAAAAAAAGGTTTATTTATAACTGTCTATGCACATTAAACTGTTTAAAATATACTGAAATGGTTTCAGTACAGTACAACTAAAACCAACACGACAAACTTTAACGGTAAGAAATTATGAAATTTTAATTTGACCTGCTATTAATATGTACATAAGTAAAATAATGAGGATTTTAGTTGATTCAAACAGTTGCGTTATGATTTTTGGACAAACAGTAAAACTGTTTGGTTTACAAATGAAAAGCTGCCGTTATGCATAATTCATAGTATAAACCAGTATTTTTCTTTTTTGTATTAAGCAAGCATTTTTCGTTTTTTAATTTTTTTTTTTAATAAGCCATGCATAGTTTCACACGAGCAAATTAATTTTTTGTTTTCAATCATACAAATGGTACAAACGTTTCCTCTCTGCGATCTGTGGACCAGCCTTATAAAACATCAATTCATTAATCAATTTGGAATGTTTGCCAAGTTTTTGCATAATCATGAGTTAAGTTTAAAACAATGCTACTATTTGTTTTTACTGAAAAGAACACAGATTTTGCTTGTAGCACCAATGTATGCTGATTTGAATACTGTGTCTGACGTACTTGCTTCATTACAATACCAACTTTTTTTCTGACCATTCTTTAATAAAAAATAGTAATTGGTTTGATGAACTATTTACAGGCAAGCTCAAATTTACAGCAACAATTTCAGAAATATAATTTTTTTTTTTTACTATTTACAATACTAAGAATTCAAACGATAAACATTTAATTAAACTTTCCCGCCCTATTCCCAAACATCTGAAGTTTCATAGATATTATACACAAGCTAGAAAAATCAGGGATTGTATTAACAAGCTTGTACAAACCCCGGTTCCACTATTGCTTCAATCTGAGTAGATTTTTTCTCCAAAACAAAACGTCACTTCAAAAATAACAGGAAAAACTTCTCTGTGGAGGAACACAAAAACCATGCTTTAAAAACACTCAAAACAGGTTCAACACGCAAGAGTAAAAAAAACATCAAAATTACAAGAAATGTTGCCCCAAGATAACTCAATAGTTATTCTTCTCCAAAATGAAGGAAAAAACAAGATATTTACAATTTTGTTTTAACAGATTTCTGACCCTTTTTTGTTAGGCGCAAATTTAAGCAGCACTGCATGACAAAGCATGTTGACAAAGGAAAATCCAATGTTCAGGAAAATAGAATCCCTCAATAAAGTTTTTATCCTAAAAATTGTCTCCGTTATCCCCTGTGAATTTTTTTTTCAGTTCCGTCTTCATGCACATTTTTTTTTTGAAACCATGACCTACAAAATTGTTGCCAATATAAGCATGCTTATTGCTTTCTATGAGATTTTTTTCTGTGGGCTTTCTTACCATGCATATAACTCAATTTCATTGTTTTCATTGCGACAAAATACCTTTATCGTAGAGTGCTTAACATTTGGTCGACAATCTAGTTCTGTGCTATTTGGATGTTATTTTTCTCAAATGTAAGGATTTTCTCAGACAACATTGAACTTGAGTGATTTTGACCACTGGAAAATGGGAGATTAGGAATAATTATAAATAGCATGCCTTTTCCAACACATTAAATCATATTTTAAGACAAACAGAGTTGTATGCTTGCGATTCTGCTTCAGAACAGACCATCAGAGGCAAGGGGATGGAGGTATCGATAAGAGGGTGAACGCAGCATCGGTGAACGCAGCGTCGATGAAGCTGTTACTACCTCTTCGAGAAAGTGGAATAGCTCGACGTTCTGACATCACCTGAAGGTTTGAAAAATCACAAGGGACAAATTAGGGGGAGTTCAAGAATGGAACAGAACTCAAGGCAAAATTTTTTAAAAAGAAGAAATTGTAAACGATTGTTAGTTGGAATTCTGTCGTCTCCTGGCAAGGGCTTGCTTTCAAATTTGGCTGGATACTAATGGACACTTGGTGGCGCTGTTCATTACAGACACTGGACATAAGATGGAAACGTTTGCGCATTGTACTTTTTTTTTCTATTATTATTATTATTCTGAATGGTTTATTTTAATTGTACTCCTCGCCGCCAGTGGCAGAATTGCGAATACAATTTACATTAAAAAAATACACATAAATAGTAGTTGATACATACATTAAATATGGAATAAAATAGAACTGAATACAAATTGATAGAAAAGAGGTTGTTTACGAAACTTTGAACTGTAAAAATAAGCCGGAATAAAGAATAGGGGATGGGAAGGAGTTAGGAAAGGGAAAATTGGAAGGGGTTGGGATGGGGTAAAGGAGAGCAAAGGGGTGAATTACACATACAAGCTGGAGATTTGAAAAGGAGTTCTATCAGTTTCTATAGTTCTGTAACCTAGGGGGAGGGGGTAAAATTTATGACTTTCAGAAAAGGGGGGGAATCAACTTGCTCCACCCCCTTCCACTTTGTAAAGAGCGAAAGTCTTCTGTGCAAATCTACAGTATTTTTTTTATTATTCTTACCAGTGATATGAGCACCAAGCCTCTGCTGTAGGCTCTCCAGCTTCTGTATGTAGTTAGTCAGGGACGCCTCAGGGTCTCCGCTCCCTGATGTGTCCAGGGGTCTGTCTAGGGATCTGCTGAGGTGTCTGTCTAGCGGGGAGGCCGAGTGGTAACCAGAGGGCCGGCCGTCTGGGCGTGGGGACGAAGCTGTCGCTCTGAACGGGAATTAAAGAGGATAGTACACAATAATTTAATGGACATGCCCTTTCCTTTATTGAACTGAATTAAAACGAGCAATATTACTCGCTTTAAAGGGAATATACATCATTTGCTTTTGCTGTAATTTTCAGAAATGGATGGAATTGGGGGGATGGAAATATATAGCAAATATTGTTACACTGACTTTTTTGAGGTTTCGGGTTTGAAAATGCTATAAAAACCGAGAAAAACAATCATTTTCCTGTAGTCTGGTTCCCTGACTCCATATAAGAAGAAACAGAGCAGTTTACATACATTGGGGAATTGTAAGGTCAGGGAACCAGTCTAGCTGGCTCGTACCCGTTCATAGGTTTGTAATCGATTGCAAACAAGTGCGATGGTCAATTGGGGCCAGTATTTGAAAAAAGCCAGTTTTTTTCCAACGCTGATCGGCCGATCAACGTTGGAAATTGATAGAAAATACCACTTTTCTTGAAAATGACAGTGTACCAGGTGCCATGATTTTACAGGATGCTTTACACTGTCATTCACTAACAGTCCAGCAAGGTATTTCAAAATGATTTGGTAGTTTTATTTTTTGATGTTTGCAAATGTTGTATTTTCCCTTTAAGATTTCAAACTCACCCATGGAAAAGAATGGGGCTTGATGATCTTGCTCTGTGGTGTACAGGAAAAACGCTCCGCGGTGCAGCCTGCCCGACGACGTCTCGCACAGGGGGCGACGCACCATTGACAAAATGGATCCCCGGGGGTAGGGAGCTTCTGATGGGGGTTGTGACCCTGATGTTGGGGACCGAGGACGACGGGAGTCCCCTATGGGGTGGGGAGGACGTGACATCTGGGTGGACGGATGGGGTGGTGGAGGGGGTGCCGACGCGCGTGGCACGTCGCCATTTGCGGACCAAGAATTTCAACCTGTTTTTAAATTAAACAAACAACAATTTATATAACATTTTTTTACACAGTAAGCTTTTTCATTTCTCCAGATTTATTTCGTCACTTTAACAGTTAAACAAAAAGTACTTGGCAAGAGAACATACCTGGACACAGCAATGACGACTCGTACACAACTCCTGAACTTTGAGAAAGCCTTGCTATGTCTGGACTGTCTCTCTAGGCTTTCTGGGGATGGGTAGGCACCCATCTTAGCAATGAGTTGGAGAGTAGCCTGCTCACAGTCTTGGAAGCCTCCTAGGAGAAGGAGCAGGTAGCGTTTCTGGTAGACTAGGGCCTTGCGGAAACTCTCGGCGCGGAGATACTTGCCGTACATCTTCTGCAACTGGGAGATAGAAAAAGACAGAAAGAAAATAAGATTGCAGCAATCTATTACGTGGGTTAACCCTTTATACTGTAGCACCTGAAACCACCCTGCCTGTCACTCCATGTACCACCAAGAACTGCCCCAACACTGTGTGGTTTATGGATTCTTCGGGACATAAATACAATGTAATGCACATTTAAAGTAAAGTAAGTAAAGTCTGTCATGAGCCAATGTGGCCCATCAGGCCGGCGTTTATCTCCGGTTTCAGTGGCATGAAACAACTGAGAATATGTCTACTTCCCCTGGATGGGATGCTAGTCCATCGCAGGTTACTCCCCAGCTAATGCTGGTACCCATTTATACTCCTGGGAGGACACGTATTGAGGCATCAATTTTTTTTTTTTTTTTCATTCACAAAATTGATCGCTCAAGAAAGACAAAATACCTTCAACTGTTGGTGTTCCGAGACCTCTCCAGTTCCTGCCAACAGAGGGCTTCCTCTATCTCTCTTGCTGGCCTCGTGCTGAAGCTGGGATTTGAGGTTGGCGATCTGGTTCTCCGCCTTCTGCAATGCATTCTGGGTAGCTCGGCGCTCCCTGCTCCACAGGGCTCGTTCTTCGGCAAGCGCGGTGTCCGTGTTGTCTAAGGAACGGCGAGTTGCCTGGCAAAGATAAAGTTCACAAATTGGGTTTGAAAATCTTGTTCAAATTATCGTCAAAAATTTCCTTTTCTTCCTTGTTCCACACATCAACACAACCATCAGTTAATAAGGATGGACTAAGGTTTATCGTGAGCCCTGGGGACAGGGTTATGAGATTGTTAGGGAAGCAGCCATATTGGATTCGTTTGTTTGTCATTTCTCACCTCATGTGTCCAACCCCGTCACTAGCAAGGATTGGGGCACAGTCGTGAAGCACTGCACTACACTATTACAAATGAGAGTCATCAGAGTCATGAGACAAGGTTGAGGTTGCCAAGGAGGCAGCCATATTGGATTTGTTTGTTTGTCATTTCTCACCTCATTCATCCAACCCTGTTACCAGCAAGGATTGGGGCACAGTAGTGAAGCACTGCACTACAGTATTAAAAATGAGAGTCATCAGAGTCACGAGACACGGTTGAGGTTGCCAAGGAGGCAGCCATATTGGATTTGTTTGTTCATCATTTCTCACCTCATCTAATTGTGCCTCCCGTTGTCTGAACCGCCAGACTTCCTCCTCCAGCTTGGCCAGCGCTGCTCTCATTTCGGTCTTCTCTTCGCTGAGACGCGAGGCAAAGTTGCTCAGCTCGGCATTCTGGGATAGCAGGCGGTCGTTCAGGCGGGTGGTTGTCGTGGGGGTCAGGATGGCCGGGGTAGACTGGACAGGAGAGGAACGAAGTCATGTGTCAACTTGGAAGTTTGCAAATTATTAAAAGTAAGGCTTGAAAACTAAAATGGAATTTTGATGCTTTGGGAATTGTTTTTTTTTTATTACGAATCCTTAACGTCTGAAATCTCTGTTTGGATATTAAAGGGAATGTACATCATTGGCTTATACTTTAATTTTCAGAAATGAACTATTTGAAGGGTTAGTATAATAGATCAAATTATTGTTACACTGACATGTTTGAAGTTTTGTTTTCGAAAATGGTGGAAAAACCAAGAAAAACAAAAATGTTCAAGTAGTCTGGTTCCCTGACTCCACTGAAGATGAAATGGATCAATTTATAGATGCCGGAAAATTGTACGCTAAGGGAACCAGTCTAGCTGACCTGCACCCATTCATGAACATAAAACCAATTAGCAAACAAAATTGGACTGAAAAAAATGGTAAATTTGGAGCAGTAGTAAAAAATAGTTAGGTTTTTCCTACGGTGGTCGGCCGACCACCGTTGGAAATGTAAACAAAAATACAATTTTCTTGAAAATGACTTCACACCAGGTGCCATAATTTTACAGGATGCTTTAGACTGTCATTTACCAACATCCTGTAAGGTATTTCGTAAAAACTTGGTCATTTTTTTTCTTCGATGTTTGCAAATGTTGTATTTTCCCTTTAAAGAGATTCCCTTTGCCTAAAAGAACTTCCAGACATTTCTTGACAATTTCTGAGTTTTCTAAGGCTTTACCTCCGAGTGCAGAGCCAGTGATGCGTGAAGTTGCTTGAGTTCCGACAGCGTTTCTGTCAGCCCCCTCTGTAGGTTAGCCAACTCCTGCTGGTCGCTCTCCAGACCCGCACGGAAGAGTTTAGCAATCTCCTCTTGCTGTCTGACGGCCAGTAGCTGCAGTCGCTGCCTGACTGCCTCGAGCTGGGCCTTGTAGAGCTGGAGGCGGGAGGCGAAGGGCGCGGCGTGGGGACTGCGCTGGGGGCTGCCTCGGGACAACTCCTGCTACGCAAGAAAAAAGGAACATGAGTGCCAAGAATGAATTTGGACATAGAAGTACTCGTAAAGAATGAGCAACTCAAATCTGAGCTCTGCACTATACTTACGTCTGGTCTGAGTTTTACCACGTGAGGACAGTTTTAAAGATTGAAATGTTGCTAGAAATGGCTGTCTGGAGTGACCTTTTACAAACAGCAACTGTTACAGAGCCTGATGTTTTAATCCTAGCAGAAACTTTCTCCAAGGCAAAACTTGGAACAGTAGCATTAAGTGAGAAATATAATATGACAAGCGCAGAGAAAAGGAATAAAAAAAAACACAGGGAAAGTTTGGGAATGACTCATACCTTTATTATTATAATATAACAGGCATTATATAGCACTTTTATGCTGCAACGGGGTATCAAAGCGCTTTACAATTATTATTTTACCCATTTCAACAGGCAAACACTCCTTAAACCTTCTCAAATTCCTAGGGTGCATACACTGCCGGCATGCAGCCATTTTAGCACTCTCGGCCATAATCAACCTCTCACAGCCACCAACACTGCCCTCACAGGTACCCATTTACTCCTGGGTGGAGAGAAGCAATGAGTGACAAAGTGCCTTGCCCAAGGGCACATGCGGGTGGAGAGAAGCAATGAGTGACAAATCGCTTTGCTCAAGGGCACACGCACCATGACCCCAGGCTGGACTCGAACCCACAACCTGCAGAATTACCCGCAGACCACAAATTCAATGCTCCAGACCAATAGGCCACGGCACTCCACCTTTCCCCAATTTCATATTTCGCAGAAATTTTTTTTGAACACTTCTTTTTATCTTTCCAACTTCAATACCGTTTGCCTTATCCCATCTCTTCCCATTTTAGACGCATCCTTTGTATTGAAGCACATCGATCTAAGAGACGAAACAAAGATCCAAAATGACAGTTCTCTCAGGATAACTGACCTCCTCGTATGCCTGCTGTAGTTCCTCCTCAGTGACCCGAGGAGTGAAGTGTCGCTGAGCCTCGCGGAGTTTCCTCAACTCTGAGGACGTCGCTTCGTGCGCCGTCTTGCTCTCGTCCAGCTCGCGTTCCAAGGACTCAATCTGCTGCCTGTCCAGCTCCCTCTCCAACTGGAAATCACTCTGGAAATTGGAAAAAAACATCAATGAAATTAATGAAAGACAAACACCTGTACTCAACTCAAATATTGCATATTTCAAAAAAAAAAATTCAAAATTTAAAAAGCTACAAAAATGCTTCATGACAAAACAGATTTTTTTGTCAAACATTTGGTAATTAGCATTAGCAAGCTACTGTCTACTATTGCAATTCAGCTAAAATTCCTTCTACACAAAATGTCTCTCGTTCTGCAACCTTTCCTACCCCACACCATTTCTGCCACCATATCTGACAATTGTCTTTTTGTAACACCAATTCTCCCTACCCTTTCCCCCACCCTGTGTATCACCGTTTCTATTACCCCATGTTGCAACATCTTTTATCACTCCATTTCCCCATCTCTCCCAACCAATATGCCTCATCACCTCTATTACTCAATCTGACCACTCCCCTGTCTGCATTTTCCCCACCCCTGTCTTCCCCACTGTCTCCCCGGGCCACCCCCACCCCCTCCCCCACCCCGTCCCCCACCCCTTACCTGTCTCTGTCTCTCCAGTTCTCTCTCCCTCTCCCTCTCCCTCTGTCGTTGCCGTTCTATCTGCCGTTCTTTCTCCCTGACGATGTCCCTCTCGCGTCCTTCCTCTTTCTGACTCAAGAGGGCGTGCTTCAAGCGATCGCATTCCTGCTGGGTCTGCGTCACACGTTCCTGCTCGCCGACGAGCTTGCGATTCAGGTCGTCCAGTTGAACCTGGAAACAAAAATTGAAAAGAAAATTTGCATAAATGCCTTGAAAAATTATCATCAACAATACTTTTTGTCACACCTTTTCGTCACAAGAATCACTTTATCAAGTTTCTAAATTCAAACATTTAATTTTTTTCAGAAATGCGCTACGTATAAAATTATCTTTCCAGAAAAAGTGCAAAATTTGCCAGGTACCAGTGAAATAAGAATTGATAGTACAGTCATGGGCACCAACTAATTCTAAGAAGTTTCCAACTAGCACCGTAATGACCATCTGGTTCCCTGACTCATATAAATGAAATAATAATGATATAGCCAGGCTCTACTGATAACCACATCAATACCTGTAAGCTATCGATGGTTGCCTTCAGCTGTCGACACACCGCCCTCTCCTCCTCCAAAGCCTCCAAGCTCCGCCTCCTCTCCCTGTCATTAGTATTCTGCATTCCTTCAACCTCGTTCTCAAGCTGGTTGACTCTGGTCCGCAGGTCCAGATTCCTGGATTTCTCATTGTCCAGGGCCGACTGAAGCTCGCCGATGGTGGACTTCTCGTAGTGGGAGTTCTCTGCGTAAGCGCTGCGCTCTTGGTCTAGCGACTCGTGGAGCTGCGTGTTCAAGGCTTGCTCACGCTAAAAACATGAACAATTAAAAAGATTCATGTCACAATCAACAGATCTTTGGAAAGAAGAAGGCAAATATCTTGTATTTAGGTTTCATTCCTGGTCCAAGTTTCTCAAATTCTTCTCTCACGTGTAAAGCAGTGTGTAGTTCCTGGCATCTGGTCTTCTCAACGTCCAACGCCGTCTTGAGATCGGATATCTTAGACCTGTCAGTGTCTGCTAGATTAGCTGTCTTAGCTCGCTCAGACTCTAAGTCTCTCTTTAGACCTTCCACTTTGATCTTGGCTTTCTCCAGGTCCTTGTGTCGCTCCACCAGCTTGTTGCGTTCACTCTCAAGGGCTATCCTAAGCTCCTGGGTAAATTAAAAACCAACAATTAGACCATTAGACCTGGCTGTAGTTCCACCCAGTACCCATTAACCCTCTTAACCCACTATACCCCCAGTCACCCACCTTGACACAGTCCTGTTCTGTCTAACCTATGTGTAATTACGCCCAGTACCCAATTCCCCCCTTAATCCATTATTCACCCAGTCACCTACCTTGACCAAGTCCTGTTCTACCTGACCTGGGTGTAATTACGCCCAGTACCCAATGCCCCCATTAACCCATTTTTCACCCAGTCACCCACCTTGACCAAGTCCTTTACCCTCAACACAACAATTAGACCATTTGACCTGGCTGTAGTTCCACCCAGTACCCATTGTCCCCTTAACCCACTATACCCCCAGTCACCCATCTTGACCGAGTCCTGTTGTCTCTGTCTGACCTGGGTGTAATTACGCCCAGTAGCCATTGCTCCCTTAACCCACTGTCCACCCAGTCACCTACCTTGACCAAGTCCTGTTCTACCTGACCTGGGAGAAAGTACGCCCAGTACCCAATGCCTCCATTAACCCATTTTTCACCTAGTCACCCACCTTGACTAAGTCCTTTTCCCTCTGTCTGACCTGGGTGAAGTTAACACCAAGTACCCATTGCCTCCTTAACCCACTTTTCACCCAGTCACCCACCTTGACCGAGTCCTGTTCCCTATGTATGACCTGGGTGTAATTACGCCTAGCACCCACTGCCCCCTCAACCCACTATTCACCCAGTCACCCATATTGACCAAGTCTTTTTCCCTCTGTCTGACCTGGGTGTGGCTGATTCCTAGTACCCATTGCCCCCTTAACCCACTTTTCACCCAGTCACCCACCATGACCGAGTCCTGTTCTGTATGACCTGGGTGGAATTACGCCCAGTACCCACTGCCCCCTTAACCCACTTTTCACCCAGTTACCCACCTTGACGGAGTCCTGTTCTCTCTGTCTGACATGGGTGTAATTATGCCCAGTACCCATTCCCCCTTAGCCCCCTTAACCCACTTTTCACCCAGTTACCCACCTTGACCGAGTCCTGTTCCCTCTGTCTGACCTCGGCAGTCCGGCTGCTCTCACTCTCCAACGTCAGCTGCAGGTTCTGCACACTCTGCTGTTCCGTTCCCAGGGCCTCCTGCAGACTCCGTGAGTGGGACTTCTCCGACTCCAGTTGGGCTCTGGAAAAAAAACAGCAACCAGAAAAATTGTAAACCACCTGCAACGGTTTAGTTGCATTGATGTCAACAAGCGCAGCTCAAATTTTTTGCAAGTTTCTGGTGAGAGATGAAACGCTACAGAAGCAGACACATAATTTCAATGGATTTTAAACAAAGCAGTTTGAAGACTTTTTAGACTAATTGTAAATGGCAGATGCTTTCTGTTGATTAGGGAAACCATGTTCACCTGTTTGTGATGTGCTAACGATGCAAATGTAAGATGCCATATATGAACAAGATGTAGATCAGCAATTGTGTTTTTTTTACATAGGCAAATGTTTGAAATTCAAATAGCATTTGTTGGCCTGCCAGCTGCTGCGTAAAACAACTGAGCATTTCATTTTCAGCACCTTTTACTTTCACTGAAGGAATTCTACTGCCATTTTTTAAAAAAATATTAAAAACAGAAACAAATCAGGAAAAAAAAAGCCAAAATCCAGCTGCAAAAACAAAGAAAGCAATTTGGATTTGGGATTAAAATACTCAACCATATTAAACGATTGATTTCACATATAAAAGCAAATGAAAATCAATGACATCTACTGAAAAGAAGAACGAGTCAATTACAAATACATGCATGTACACAAACAAAAAACGACATTACAATACAATGATCACAACAACTCTGAATTATGTAAACATTTTCCAGCAACCCAATATGATAGCTTAAAAACTTAATCTCTACTGACCAAGCTCACTGACTGCATTTTGTTGTTTTGAGGTAAAAAAGTAAATGTGAGTTTCCACAAAATGGCTTATGAGCTCCTGTTAAGCATGCAGATGACAGATGACAATATAGGCTTTTTCCCTATTTCCAAACGGAACTTTCAATTTCATTTTACGCCCAATAATACTATTAGTATTACAAAATGCTGTCCCATAATCTTTCGTATGAAAATAAAAACACAGAGAAAAATAGGTCTTAATAAAAAAAAATGCGATTTCAATATCATTTGTTAGACTTTCGTATTAGTTATCACATGCCAGTTTGGGAATGCTGACTAAAATAATTTAATTTGCTAAAAATGGTTAGAATCTGATTAGTTTCTTCATGCGTCTCATATCCAATTGACAATGACAAAATGCAATGATTTGCAGCGCACACTTACAACACTCCCTCAGCAATGCCGCTGTTGATGTTGAGGTCAAAGGTCAAAGGTTAACCAATCAGGGAAGGGGAAGAAACAATGGTGTCGGATTAAAATCGGCAGCATTTGTGACAATGCTTGAAAATCTGTCAGTCACACGTTAATGAATTAGTTAATAGGGAATTAAAAATAATTTCATTCAAAAAGTCTAACTTTTTACATTTTTCAATGTTAAAAGTATCATATTCATATCAAAAAAAAAAAAAAAAAATTGTTTCCATATTTTGTTGATCCCTTTCTTTTGGCCCAATAAACAACTTCTTTAAAAAGCACGGCCACAAATACGATCACACTGTACGACATTTGATGAACACATTTTGAAAACTAGTGATGCAAAAATAATATTGCATGAAAAATACCAACTTTTAGTTGTACATGTCAAAATATATTCTAGATTTGGAGCTTCTGAATAATATGTGAAGCGTAAAACTACACACGGCAACAACCCATGCAGAATCAATCATGCAAATGATATGATAATAAGGGGGCGTGGCTAAGCAAGGTTTTGAGGGTGTATTGAAATCCCTTTAAAAACCAACATAAACAGGACGCAGAAAATTCTGATTGAAGAAATTTGGAAGGAACCAAGTGAGTTAAACTTTGAGATAAAATTCCATGACAGCAAAAGTTTTATCAACAAGGAAAGATTCGGTAATTTTTTTTTCATTTGTGCAGATAAGAAAATCTGGATAAACAAATTTAACAAAAGTGTCTTGTGTTTCCCCAAATCTCAAACAGTTAAACATGCGGCAACTCGCTGCAAATACCTCCATTGAGACATTGGACACTACCCAAAAAAAAATGGACTGTTCCAGATTTGGACATAAGCCCCGCCCATCTTGCTGAGTTTGATTGGGCCACTGTGGTCACCTGACCAAATGTCATGATCTAATTGGTCAATGCACCCAGTTTGACTGAGAGGCGGGAATGCTCCATTCTCAAACAAAAAATTTCATCCTTACGTGACTTCGGCCAGCTTGGCCTCCAGGCGTTCCTTACTGCTCGTCAGCCGATCCTGTCTGATCTGCAACTCTGAGATGTCGTTCTGCAGTTGCATGACCAAGTTCTTCTCCTTGTTCAGGGCGTCCGAGAGCTGAGCCACTTTCTCTTTCTCCACGGTCAGGGACGTCTGGAGATCTTCCACGAGTATCCTCTCCTGCCGATACTTATGCTCCATCATTTCCACTGAGTAGAACAAATAATTTCATTTAAAAAAAAATCAATGTAGAACTTATAAAATGCTTTTTAGGTATCAAAGCACTTCACACAATTTTTACCAGGCAGCAGCTGGGATTTTAGAAAGAAATCGAGGAAATTCCAAACCACACAAGACTTTGTACAGTGTTTTTCAATTTGTAATGGTATTCATGAGATAAAAAAAGTGAGGAAATCAGCGGATCCGAGGAAAATTTGCATGCCTGTATTACCAGTTTCTGCAGCAGCTCGAGATCAGCACAGTCTGGTCTCTAGAATCACAGTTACCCAATTATACTAGTGAATGGAGGGAGGCAATAAGGGTAAAGTGTCTTGCCCAAGAACACAAGCATCATGATCCCTGTTCTAACCCACATCCCATTGCACAAGAGTCATGATTAAGGGAGCCAGGATACTAGACCTCAGTCTGAAGCTAGACATTTTTTCTACTCTAAGACCTTCAAATTCTAACCCCGAATTGCAATGTTGATTCCTGCAATCTTGCCAAATTTGTCTACTTTAGGACAACTTCATAAATTTAAGCGTACAAATTGTGTCATCTTACATTGTCTCTTGAGTTGTCTCTCTCGGCTGGTGCCGTGCTCCTCCACGCTGTTCAGCTGCGACGTCAGCTTGGCTCGCTGGTCCTGCAGCTCACCGGCGAGCTGCTTGGAGTGCGCCCTCACGTCCTCGATCTCCGCCAGCAGGGAAGCGCGGTCCGCACTGTAGATCTGCTCCAAAGCTGACTTGTGGTGTGCCTCCTGAAAAAACACCAAAACCCATAAAATTAACCAAAAAACAGAAAACAGGATCCCTTTGCATCCATCATGCTTCAATGACATGCCAAGTTGGCATTCAAGTAAATTATTGCAGAACTTATGATAACATCTTTGCTTGTTCGACAAATTTCCAGGGGCGTTGCTAGAGAGGGTGTTGAAGGGTGCAGCGATAAAAACTCGGGGCTACCTCCCTAATTTATCTGGCGAAGTGCCCACCTGTTCTCGTATTCTTCTCTCCAGCTGTTGCACCTCGGACAAGTCCCGATCGCCGCTGGAGGTGACGTGAGTGCGAAGCTCGGCTAAGAGTGCGTCCCGTTCCCGATCAAAGACGGACTGGATGGCCGCGAGGAGCCGGCCTCGCCAGTCAGAGTCCGAAGACTTCTCTCTCTGTTCGTCAAGATTGAGGGCAAAATTTAAGCTCAAAGTTTAGAAAGTTTACAACATACTTCAATTGTAATTGGTCTCAACGGCATAAGCTTCACAACTGCTGTTAAGCAGCTTAAAGGCGTTTAGGATCATTTGCATTTATCCAAAAAGAAACCTACTGAATTAATATCAACAGACTGCATTAGATTAAATATCGTACTGGTACTAAACACCCCGTGAAATTATTCCGTTTGGCTTGATGGCATTTAGAAGAAGTAAAGAAATGTAGGTGATTTCCAACGATCAGTTACTTGCCTGATTGTTGGAATGAAGAGTGTTATCAACGAATTGGGTTTTTGGTGTTTTTTTTGTGCTAAGTAAGTATTTGCATATTCTGGCTCACAGCTTACCTACTGTACCCTCCAAGGCAAGTGCTTACCAATATTTTAATTTTGCTAAGTAAATTTTGCATAGTTTGCTTATCATGTCTTATCCACTCTGCCGTGAAAGCCTGTCTTGTATATCATCCAGTGCTTACTATTTTAAACTTCTGCTTAGCAGATTTTGCATTCTGGTTTATCACTCCTTACCCATTGTGCTTTAGTAGCCTGGCTGATCAGATCTTTCAGCGCCTGGATAGCATCCAGCAATGCTTGTTTCTCGTTCTCCCAAGCGTCTTGCAGTGTGTGGACGTCGGTGCCGTCTTGAACGCTGGGGCGCGGGGACGTCTGCTGGCGGAGGTACCGCAGATCAGACAGACTGAGGACCTGGAGTCCTTCATTGTGGAGTCTGTTCAGGACAGCCTGGAAAGAACGCAAGAAATAATCATATTCGTTCATTAGTGTGTATAAAATCCGCACAGAAGTACCCCTTCAAGAGCGAATATAAGAGAGAGACGATGGAGGTTTGAACATAACTGCCCAACGGGTCAAAATATCGGTTAAAAAAAAATGCTGTCCTTGTGGAGAGCCATGGTCCAATGGTTACGGTGATCGACTCATGTACCATGGTACGCGAGTTTGAACCCCGACAGGAAACAAGGTGCTTGTATTCTTGGGCAAGACACTTTACTACAAGTGCCTCTCTCCACCCAGAAGTATAAATGGGTACCTGCAAAGGTAGAGGCCAAATAGCGCTGATCTGGAGCTGCTGCACAAAAACTGGTCTCATGGCCTGATGAACAGGGGTAATAATTGGGAAGCACTTTCAGACCTTTAACCCCAACCCCAATGAGTGATTAACTAAGAACCTTCCTCACTCCTGCAAAATCCAACATCATAGGGTCAACTCTACACCCAAACTGTTGGACTCTTGATTATGGTGGTATGCCTGAACCCATGTAAAGCATAATCAGTTTACTAGTGCAGTACTCACTCCAACAGATTCCAACAAAACATGAAGTTGGATTTTGAAGGGTTGGGGTGGTTAGGGTTAATGGTATGAGCTCTGTGCGCTATCAAAAGAGGGCGCCCTTTTACCTAGCAACGACGTCCCATGGGCGGGACATTTCGCTGGTTGACGCGCACCGTTCCTTGTGTGTGACGCGCGTACACCAGGGGATTTGATCTATGCACACGCAGTGGCCGCGCTTTGCAGCAACTGAATTGCAGTCAGGCAAGATGGCGTCGGTCGGTCACCCCCAACTGTACTTCCTTTGCCGGTGAGGGGGGTACTTGTGAACGGAGCGGATAAAGCGGTATATAAGCACCACATTATTATTATCATAATTACCTGTAACCTCTGTGGGATGTCCCCGCCGTTCATGAGTCCCTCTCCGTTCTGAATAGCGCCATCTGTTGGCCCCCGTTCCTTGCCCACCCCGGCCTGCCGAGTCTTGAGCTGACCGACTAGTCTGGTGTCCAGTCTCTCTGTGGTTTGCAGTTCTTTGGTTAGTCTGTTGGCCGTGTCTGAAAACAAAACCAAAATTTAAAATTTACCTTTTAAGAAAGAATACATTTCTAAACATTTTTTTTTTATTTGGCATGAAACGACAACAACACTGGTGCATGTTCGAAAAATGGACACGTCAGGACAAAACACTACATTTTGAATGACAGAAAGTAAATTTATTATCAAGGATACTGATGGATTAGGCCAAAAAAAATAAGTCTCCGGTTTCTGGTATGCGCGCGCGTCGCCGTAGCCATGCGCTCCGGCAAAATGAAAAAGTTTTTTTTTCAATGAAAGATGATGTCTCAAAACTACCAAACTCACTGGTTTGACTGGAATCCTGCTGCTGCACAATTTTAACGTGTTTTTAGATGGGGTTATGATCGAGAACAAGCTTTATGTGGCCTCTCTGGACTCCCATTTGCACTAAGTTTAGTCGGGCACCATTTTGCAGTCATCCGCCGACATTTGAAGGAAAAAAAAAACGGGTAAAAAAAAAAAAAAAGGCCGCGTCGCCGCACCACTTTTTGGGCAAGCTCCATACCAGAAACCAGAGACTTTTTTTTGTTGGCCTTAGTGCGGAGTTGTATAAATTGAGTTCGTCACAAGTCACCAGAAGTCCATCACAAGTCCTCCAGTCCCAAGTCAACTCACAAGCTATTCAAATGAACTGTGACAAAAGGCATTCCTTTTATATTGTTCATCCCGTTACTTGTGACCTGAACTGTGATTTTACTTGACACGATTTTATTCTGACAATCGATTGACACGATTTCAGCTCTGGGTTTAGGGAAAAGAAAAAAACACTGTACCTGCTAGGATACTGCTCATGGGGCTAGCGCTGACGGGCGTGGCCGCCAAGATCCTCTCCAGTTGCCTCCCGTGATCGTCCTGGATCTTAGCAACCTCCTCGGCGTGCGCGGCCATCAGGTCGCGATTGACGCGCAGCACGGCTTCCTCCATCTCGTGCCGGTGGCGCTCTTCTCTGGCCCGCGAGTGCTGCGTGTACTCGGCGCGGAGCTGGTCCATCAGGACCTGGGTCTCGCGTTCCATGGTGCGCTGGATGTCCCGCACGTGCTCCTGGTGTTGGCGCGTCAGCTCCGCACGGATCTCGCGCAACTTCTGCTCCAAGACCAACAGGTAAAAACCAACATCACATGGCGTGTCAGCTAGTAACGTACCTTAGAATTAAGCAACTTTATAACTGTAAGGCAATGAAGTTATTTGAGAACCAGCCAAAGCCGAACCATCACATGGCAATTTGGCTAGTACCTGTCCACCTTCACCAAACCTATTTTCTTTTTGGCTACTACTAATAAGCAGAAAAGTTGACTATTCCATCTTATAATATTACTATATTATGTCATCTTATTACAAAGATGACATCCAGAAAAATGTGTTATGTATGATAAACAAGACGCACAAAATTGGTTACTCACGTAACATTTTCGTAACGTGAGTAACCGATTTTGTGCGTCTTGTTTATCACACGTAACACATTTTTCTGGATGTCATCTTTAGTGCTTAGGTAGGTCTAGGTCTACTCTATCTACCATGGGGATAACAGTTATTAAACCTTTTCAGTAAGGTAATTACAGCCAAGGATACTCAAAAGTACATCAAAAATGTAACGTGAGTAACCGTGGAATTGCCCATAACCAGATTTTGCTAAGCATGTTTTTCCTTCTAATTAAGCAAATCGTATCCTGACCTGTTCGAGAGTCTTCCCAGGCGACAGTCCCTGCAAGCTGGCCATCTTCCGATCATAGTCCATCTCCAGTTCCTTGAGTCGCTCCACGTCCGAGGACTGCGTCGCCCTCAACCGGCCCATCTCGGCCTGGTGACGCTGCTTGAGCAACTCCAGCGCCTCGGCGTGTTTGGCCTGCAGCTCGGTGATGCGTAGCTCGTGGTCGTGCTGCAGGCGCTGCCAGCTGGTATCGGCGTCGGCCGGGGAAGGCTGCTGCTGTTGGTGCGGGGGCTCTTCGTCCAAATCTTGCTGCTGCAGCTGGAAGAGTTTCTCCTCCAAATTGTCAAGTTGGAGGCGGAGTTGGGTAATTTCTGCCTCTTTATCCTAGACACAACAGCAACGAAAGAAATTAAGTTTACATTATAAAAAACCCCAAATACTTTCAAAGGCTGCATCAGAATAACTTGAGTACGACTCGCAGTAACACAAGTTTCCAGTGGGGGTATGGTCCACTGAAATACCAGCACCAATACCGAGTCCAACTGCTTGCCAAGACGCATCCTTACCTGCACTTCCTGCTTGAGTGCCTTGATGTGGCTTTTATATGTCTTGCTGTTACTCCCACCGGGAGACTGCTCCTGGAGTCTGACCAGCAGACCTTCCAAGTGAGCCACCTCTCTCTCACGCACCACCAACATCTGCTTCAGAGCCGACACCTCCTGTTCGTGTCGAGTCTAAAAAAGGGAGTAACAATTTGAGGAAAAAAACGGAGTTACGAGTTGAAGTTTGCTTGGCCATAATCGGCCTGTTACAAAGTCTGAAACTTTAGGTTAAGAGGTTCTTAACCACTTCGCCCCAAATACTGATTCGCAAGAGTCATTTCAACAGTATCTGTAGGATATTTCTTGCAAAACCTCATATATTTCTTGCCAAAACCTCATGAGTGTCGTTGCCTCGTGGTCTGGGGCGTTGAATTCTTGGTCTGCGGGTAATTCTGCCGGTTGTGGGTTCGAGTCCAGCCTGGGTTATGGTGCATGTGTACTCGTTTGGGTACTCGAAAAAGTGATCATTTTGAGCGGTTTTACGAGAAAAAAAACCTGGCAAAACCCACCTCCTGAGCAATGTTGTGTCTCTGGAGTGTCTTGAGTTTCTGTTCCACCGTGGGATGAGACAGCACGTCCCTGGTCCTCTCCTGGTCTAAGGACTGCTTCAGGTTCGCTATCTCCTCTTCTTTGGTTTTGAGTTTGGTGTCCAACTCTCCTTGTAATTTCTCCTGTGGGGAAACAAAACAAGTGACTTTAGCTGGCGACCAGTTCAATTCTACACGATACATATTGCCCTTTAATCGGTAGTCATGCATGACACCTTTTATTTAAATTTTGATCTCAATTATTGTTCTGCAAACTTACCAGTTCTTTTTCCAACTCTTTTACAGCATTCACCTGGCTCCCTGTTGCCTCAGGAGGGCGCTGGGACTGGCTTACTACCACCTCCGGAGGGTGCTCAGCCTGCATCTGGGCCTCCTGCAGGTCCTGCATGACCTGGGTCAGTTGCTCGTTGAGGTGGTCTATCTCTTGGTTCTTCTCGTCGAGGAGCTCCTGGGCAAAGCGGGGCATGGAGGCGGCCACGTCTTGACTGGACGAAGTCACTTTGTCCTGAGAAATTTTTAAAAACGAGAAGCCCTTGAGTTAAACTACATGCTGCCTTCTTTAACTCATGCAAAATTCTATTAAAAGTTGTTGATTTCAAGTGATGTAACTCCTCCAGTGCCTTGACCAGCTATCCCTTGACCAGCTGTTCCTTACTAGAGTCCTCTATCAATTGCCTTCCATCCTAAAACAAACATCAACAACCTCAGCCAACCTCACAACTTCTGGAAAGCCTTGGGTTGCTTAACGTTGAGGTCCTCCAATTCCAAATATTTCCCTCTTCCTTTTAACATACCTCAGCAAACCTCACAACCCACGCATTGCCCTCTCTATATTTCCTGATTTCCAAACCAATTAAACCTCAGCAAACCTCACAGACCTCACCAAACCTCACAAATCACCTCCAACTGATGCACCTCCTCCAAAGCCTTAGCCAGCTATAAACCTTTTTATGTCCTCCCATTCCACGCTCCCCCCCCCCATTCATTGCCCCATTTCCCATCTACAACCACACTAACCTCCACAGACCTCACGAAAACCTCACCACTTCTTACCTCCAACTGATGCACCTCCTCCAGAGCCTTAGCCAGCCAACCTTTAAGGTCCTCCCATCCAACGCATTCCACTCCCTATTGCCCCTTTCCCACCTAGACCTAACAGACTTCACCAAACCTCACAGACCTCACGAAAACCTCACCACTTCTTACCTCCAACTGATGCACCTCCTCCAGAGCCTTAGCCAGCCATCCTTTAAGGTCCTCTCATCCAACGCATTCCACTCCCTACTCCCTATTGCCCCTTTCCCACCTAAACCTAACAGACTTCACCAAACCTCACAGACCTCACGAAAACCTCACCACTCCTTACCTCCAACTGATGCACCTCCTCCAGTGCCTGAGCCAGCTGTCCCTCGAGGTCCTCCCGTCCCGAGTCCTGCTCCCTGTTCCCAACGTCAATCTGCATGTTCAGCTGCGATATCTCCTCGTCCTTGTTGATGATCTCCTCCCTAAACTGCTCCAACTGCTCCACGAGGTTCTCAATCTAAAATGGACAAAAATAGTGTTTTTGAAATAAGAAATGCCTGCCAAATTTATTTATTAGCTCAGAATCTTTGTTATATATTTTCAAAGCCAAAAATGATGCGAAAGAGAAGACGAAGCCAATTTCCAAAAAACTCTTTGACTCCTGCACGTGGACCATAAATAGCGCCCTCTTGCATGCACAACCCCATTACCTCTTTGTCTTTCCTCTCGAGAGCCTCCTTGTCCTCTTCAAGTTGTTTCAGCAAGGAGACCTCGTTGCTGACAACCTCACCGGAGTCAGAGCTGGCGGTGCCGTCACCGCCATCCACGCCGTGTTTCAGGGCGTCCAGTTTGGACTGCAAGGCTGAGATCTAAAACAAGAAAGAGAAAGAAATCTGAGAAAATTCTGCCCGGCAAAGACAATGTTTCCTCATTTGATGTAAAATTTCATCAAAGTAATGCAGAGTGACTGACGATAGTCAAAATGAAACCTCAACTACTGACGTCATAAAATGCAATTTCACTTTCAAATTCCTAAAATAAAAAAACTAGCCTAAACTAATAAATCATACCTGTATGAGTTGATCGTACAGCTGTTTCTGCAGCGCCTCCTTCTCGTGCATAATCTCAGCCTCTAGCTGGCGCTGTTCGTCCAAGTCGCGCTCCAGTTCCTCCGCCTTGGTATCCGCCTGCTGCTGCGATTGGACGGCCTCGTCTAGGTGGCGCTCTGCCTCTTTCAGCTGGCTGGTCAGTTCCCGGGCCGTGTCCTCTGAGAAGTGAAGGTCCCGCTCCAGCTGTTGCGCCCTCGCTTGGCCCTGGCTGACCAGCTCCGCCTTTTCTCGCAGCTCTTCGCGTAGCTCTTGGGCCTGCAAAATGAATGAAGTGATGAACAAAATTTTGTTAATTTCCTCTTGTATATTTCCGATGTTTATATTGAATTTGAGAGTCTAAATAGAAGGAGGTTTAAAATATGCCAATATACCTCTTTCCTAAAGATCTCATCCACGTTTGACGGTGACCTGTCCCGTGACCTCTGCTCTTCCTCCAATCGGTGTATCTCCCTCTGGAACTCTTCCCTCTCCTGCTCTCGCTCTATGGTTTGTTGCTGTGGACAAATGATTAAAAAATACTGACCTCTTTTTGAACAATCAATATCGCATTTCTGATTTGCAGTGGAAGAATGATTCCCCTGGATACACTTTGGATATTCTGTAAGTATTTGGTAAATAATTGAAAGGTATTTTGCAGATATTCTAGGGCTATCTGCAAGTATTCCACATATACATGTACATGTACTTTGAAGCAAACGGTCATATATTTAACAACTATTTTGCAAGTGTCATGGGGCTATTCTGTAGTTATTCTGCAACCGTTCTGTGGTCATGAATGAGATAATCTGCAGGTATTTGACAACTAAACTGCAGATATCAATCCATTTATCTTTTAAAAGACTGTGCACTGTATATTTTTAAATTAAATTTGAGAAAAGCAACACTGCCTTTACTATAAAAAAAATCTGCAAAGAATATTGTCTGTTTTAATACTACTTCGAAGATTACAGGTTTGTTTCAAAATATATCACTACAAAGAAGATAAGATAAAGATTTATGGAAGCACCATGTGACAATCTCTTTTATGAGCTTGTGACGTTAATTGGGGAGAAACTCAACGTTTCGGACAGAGTCTGACCAAGACCGTCCTCCGGAGACTGACAAAGAAGATGTAACAAATACCTCTAGGAATTGTTTGTTCTTCTTGAGTTGTTTCTCAAGGACCTCCAGCTCCCTCCTCATCTCCTCCGTCTCCGCCTTCCTCTTCTCGGCCAGCGAGTCCCCCCGGGCGATCTGCTCCTCTAGCGCCGCCTCCAGGTGATGCAGCTGGTCTTTCAGGTCCGCTTTGTCCTTGGTCGCCTGCCGCTCGGCGTCTTGGCGCTCCAGGAGAGCGGCCTCGGCCTCCTCGCGGAGACGGAGGTTCTCTTGAAGGATGCCTGGGGCCAGGATGAGGAACATTGGGATGTGGTTGTCAAGACGATGGAACAGTTTGAATCAGGGTGATGTAAAACAGGTAAAAGTTGTCCCTTGTAGAAATTAATTGCCAGTTGCACATTCTTTGCAAGATACATTGCGTTTCAAATGCAATATGAGAAAGAACATTTCGAGCTTGTCCTTCGCAAAAAATAATTTCTATTTTGTAAAAGTTACTGCCGATTTTCAAAGCAGAAACAAAGAGTTTAAACAACTGTGAGGTGAATTGGCCAGGCCTCGCACCAGCCAGCCTACATGTATCTGATACAATGCATGTATGACACACTACACACACTAGTTCTTCGTGGTGTGTCCAGGAAATCGATGTGACGCTCAACCATTCAACCCTTTCACTTTTGATTTTAAGCTTGGGAGTTTCTATTGAGAACGAAACAATTTGTAGGTCAAAGGTTGTGTTGAAATACTACTGGACAATCAGGAAATACCATAAAAAATAATCAATCAATCAAAACACGATGTTCTACTTTTGAACTTTTCCATGAAATTGACAAACAAACAAAAATTAAAAGAGAGGAAATTAGCTGAGAATTGGAAAAGTTGCAAATCTGGGTGTGTGAGTTTACTATTTTTTTTAGGCAGGACATTACAAGCAACCCTTAGGGCCATGCATAATCTGTCATCATCGTATCATGACTCATTTCTGAAAATCTAAACTTCGCTGAGAACAGACAGACTTGGTGCTGTCGCTGGCTATATTTAGATGCTTTTGTCTAGAAACCAACACCTCATGTCTCAACTTCTCTATAAACTTGAAGGAATTTTTCTCCAATCTTTTAATGAGAAAGTCTACAAGTACGCAGTCACAAAGCCTCTGTGTTTGTTGCAGAAAAAAATCCTTGCAGCAGTAAAACGATTGATGAGTAAAAAGTATACTGAGATCAGCTGTAGAAGTACATAGTCACATTATATTTTGGCTAGTACCCTAGTTGCTAGTATTTTGGCTAATACTGCTGAAGAGTGAAGAAGTGAGTTTCATTTGTTGTGAACTTTGCGGCATTCACAATAGATGTTCTTAGAATGCGACATTTTGAACCCAGACAAACTTCTTGTTTTGGGGATGAATCATGGAGAAGCTTATAAGGGGTAACAGACGTTGCCCGTGCTCACAGGCAGCGTGACTAACCAACCTGCTACCCATCGTAAATGTCTTGGGGTCTACTTGGGAACAGACCGAAACCTCCTGAAAATTGGAATGGCAAGGTCGGTTGACCTTAGTTCAATACAAAGGTACTGCACATGTGTCTACTCACAGAACTTAAGAACACCTTCAAGATCGGACAAACATATCCCAATAATATTATTCATATTGCACATACCGTTACATCAGTACAAAAAGTACATTGTATTTGAAAATAATGCCCGTTAGCAAAACCAGGCTGAAGTAACCCAAAAAAAACTTCTGAATTTTGAAATTTAAGGACAGAAAAACTTCATCTTTAATTTCACCCTCCTAATTGTCCACACTCGACAATACAGTAAACAATTTTATGAAAAAAAATCTGTATAGCAAACAGGTATGATTTTTGATTTTGTAAGCAAAAACACATTTTTGTAAAGTAATCTGTAAAATTCTGCAAAGCAAAAGGTAAATATTGACTGGCATTTTGTGATGCGTATCAAGAAAAACTGTATCAGTTTTAAGCACTAAAACCAAAGCTTGGAACCATACAAATTTCCAAAACCTGAAGTTCTAATTTCAACTTGGTTCGAAGGTGGTGAGTAAAATAAGCATGTCACTTCATAACCTTTCAGAAAAATGACTTGCAGAAAACGGGGGGGGGAAAAATCCCCAAACCGCAACGATGACAATTTCGTACTCACCTCTCGAGTCTGACACACCGAAAAGAGGCAAAAGGGTGAGACACATGCAGTCATAGATGGAGTGACAAACAGGGAGACAGTCAAGACACCAGGGGTGGGGGATGGAGGAGTGGGGGGGACACATGCAAAAACAAAATAAACAAGCACAGGATGAAAGAGGGATTCAGAAAAGGGGGAGGGAGGGGTTTGATTATTAACAGAAAACAACAATTATAACATAAGGCCAAAAAAAAAAAGTCTCCGGTTTCTGGTATGCGCGCGCGTCGCCGTAGCCATGCGCGTCGGCAAAATGAAAAAGTTTTTTTTCCAATGAAAGATGATGTCTCAAAACCGCCAAACTCACTGGTTTGACTGGAATCCTGCTGCTGCACAATTATAACGTGTTTTTAGATGGGGTTGTGGTCGAGAATAAGCTTTATGTGGCCTCTCTGGACTCCCATATATTTGCACTAAGTTTAGACGGGCACCATTTGCAGTCATCAGCCGACATTTGAAGCAAAAAAATCAGGTAAAACTTTCTGGGCAAGCTCCATACCAGAAACCGGAGACTTTTTTTTTTTTTGGCCTAAGAAAGGTAACAAGGTATGAGTGGTCCAAGATTAGAAATAAAAGCACGTTATTTTTTTTCGATACAGAAATAGTTTTTTTAGATATAGACATTGGGCAGATCATTTTTTTCCCATAAAAAATATGGATGTCTTAACTACAATTCTCTAGGGGCTATAAATATTCAATATGGTGCTTATTTACTATAATTTAATTAACCCTAATACTCCAAGTTATGTTTGCTAGAACCCTGCCAAATGTAGTAACACTTGACTAAGTGACAAGCCTGCCAAATGTAGCAAGATCCATCAGGGGAAAAGTCTCAAGGCCACACTGCCTCAGAGTCCGTGGTCACTGCACTCAGCAGGATACTGTGGCAGTATTTAACTCTTTCAGTGCCAAACTCGTACATGTACGAGGTATATTTGTTAGTACAAAAGCGCCAACCTCGTACATGTACGAGGTAATGTTCGTAAATGTTCGTATTTAAAATTGCCAAACCTCGTACATGTACGAGGTAGAGTAAATATGTTATCAAAAGGGGGCGCTCTCGCTCTTTCTAATGATACCATTTTCATGCATGTACGACCTGTATTTATTTTTTCATTCAAGTTCTTGCGAGAGGGCGCAGCACTAAATCTCATATTTTCTGCAAAAAGTGCAGGATTCCCCTGTATTCAGGCCAGTGTTTCAGGGTGTATCACTATGTTTGTGACTACTTTTGACTTTCCAATATATCAAGGATATACCAGAGAGCAACAACAACAAATTTAGTGAGTAAAACTTATTTACTTTTTTTTTTACAGAATTTCGAACAATTAACAAAAACGCTCAAAGTTGGGCACTTTAGGGTTAAACTTTTCAAATTTCGTGGGCACTGAAAGAGTTATGGGACTTAGCTCTCATTGTTTCAGAGCTGGCCTTCATGCACTGGTGTTGGTAGCTGAATGCATCAAAGTGCACCAGTTCTTTCCCACCTCATGCACTGTGTTGCATCTGGCAGGGGTAAGAGTAAATACTTGTTTTGGTATTTACTTCACAAATTTGTTTATACTCCTTTTTGGGGGAGTGGGGGGGGGGGGGGGTAGGGTAGGTTCGACAGTAGGTTTGGTGGTAAGGGTAACTGTGTAGTGAAGGTACATATAAGAAGGGTCACAAAACTGTACTTGACAAAAATCATGCAATGAAACAAAAACCCACCACCGCAGTTTCAGCAACACTTATCTCAATATAACCCTTTTCTTCAAACAGTCATAAATGTGGCCTTTGAAAAAATCAATGACATCTATGAAATTCATTGTCACTTTCATCTCTCTCAAAAATCAAAAAAAAATTCAAAAGTGTTCGTCTCTTACCGAGATCCTCTTCGCCGAGGCGTTGCTCAAACGCAGCCTTCTGTTCCTCCACGCGTTCCCTCTCCTGCTGCAGGGAGTTCTGAGCGTGCTCAATGCTGCCCAGCCTCTCTCGGAGGGACTCCAGCTCGGCGGCCATGTTGTGTTTGTCCGCTTCCAGTTTGGTGTTTGTTTCCTCCAGTTCTTGCTTCTCAACTGCCAGCCCGTCCATCAAACCTGATTGTGAAATACGACGCATTTTGTTTCATTTTTAGCTGAGTGAAGTGATTGGTTCTGCGAAAAATGAACCCTGCCTGTTTGCTTGCAATCGGCATCTTTCCTTTATAAAAAAACAACAAGGCAATGTACACATTTGCTTTGCTTAGCCCATAGTTTGGGCGACTGCGAAGTGTAGGGCCCCAGTTTAGTTTCGATCAAATTGGAGCTAAGGGTGGTTTTTATCATTCAAAAATGACCTTTCCAACCTAAAGCAGACTTGTCTCAATTCTAATGACACTGTTTTTGTAATTTTGACCAGTTTCTTGTGGTAGAAATTACAATTTTCGTACGCAGTTTACAGTTGGTGCCGTACGATTCATCGCAGTATTGCGCATTCACGGTACATCCCAGTGATTACCGCCTTTATGTTCATGTTGCGTTTTGTCATTGTCATCGTCATTTTACCCCAAATTTCCCCTACCCTCTATGACATACCTGCATGTTCTTAATGTCGCCAACTAGTTTGTTCAGTCAAATAAATGAAAAGTGGATTTTGTTCTCTTTTAAGGAACCTGGCCCGTAACTACACGCTCGACATAGTTTGTGACACGTTCCAAGTTGGTTTTTGCATTTAAGCTCAGCAACAATGTTTATTCTCTACAAGCTCTTGGCCCAGTTTCATGGCTCTGTCAACCACAGCATTTTGCGCTTACAATCATTCTGTGGTAATTCTGCGCTAATCTTGTAAGCACAGAATCCTCAGTTAAGGGATGTACGCATGCGCATAATAGTAGGGGGGCCAATGTGTAGATTTGGGGTTCCCGTCGAAATTTCATGTTAATTTATGGCAACCATTATAAATGTAATCTTATGAGTCCTGAGAACAAGAAAATTGATGTTGCCATTTTTTCCATTGACCTTTAGTGACCTTGACCTGAGGTCAAAGTTCATGGGTCATTTTCACCTAAAATTTGCCTTTCGGAAGGGTTTGCGAAGATTTTCGAGGCAAGTGAGCACATATTGTATTTGGTTGAGAGTTTCTCCGTTATAATAAATTTTATTATTTATGTATTTATGGGTTTTTTTGAAGAAAACATGGGAAAATGTCACTTTTGCCTGAAAAAAGCTGGGTTGTTTTGACCATCTCACGCAGATTCCGCCCCCCCCCCATGACCTCGACCATCGAGTGACGAAAAATTATGAAACTCGGTACATGCATAGAACAACATAACATGAACAAACCCAAGAAATTTCATGACTATGGGTCAAAGAGTTTTGGAATTACGGCTAATTAATTATTCATAAGCACGTATGGTAATTCAAATGTGTACACTACGTATATGGGGAAATTCAGTTTTGACGGAGGGTAGCGCCGAAAATATTTCGCTGCGCGGCAACCTGTGGTTCAAATTTTATGTTTTTGGTATCAAAAGATGTGCAAGACTCGAGGCTAAAACGTCAGGACAGCTCAGGCCATGAAATAAATAATTTTTTCAAGAGTATCGCGGAAAAAGTTGAAAGAGGGAAAATCCACCCCCCCCCCCTCCCTTTTAGGGCCAAAATATGACCAACCCTTTAGTGCCTAGCATCTAAATATGAAATGTTGTAAAGTGTCCTCTGCAGTACCGCACTCACACAGGGTGTTTGTCGGTTGAGGAAAATCCCCACTTCTTTTGGTGCGAGCCACTCCAGAGCGGAGGTGATTTAAGCACCTCCAGGTCTTCCATCCTGCATTGGATCCTGTAGGTAAGGCTTCTGCATGCTTGATGATGCATCTCATGTAGTGGGGGAGACGCCACCAGCCTGGTCAACCCAGGAGGCACTCACTTGGGTCTTAATAGCAGGATTGATCGCTTTCAGGTGACTCACAGTGTAGCACTGCTGTGACTGGTCAAGAGCATCGGTCAACGTCTTCCCTTGGGGGACCGTTCCTTTGAAGACGTACTCTACTCTGCCCTTGAATACTACAAAGAAACGATGGTTCTTCAGTAGAACACCAAAGGGTCAGGTCTGCCGTCATGTCCAGGATCTTCTGAAGGAGTCAGCAACGGTTAACACTGTCAAAAGCAGCTGTAAGATCAACAAAGACAGCACCGGTGATCTATTTTTTTCTTATGGAAGCAGTCCTTAATGTACTGAGTGAGATTTAGAAGCTCTCCTGTTGCAGATTTGCCGGGACGGAAGCCTGCCTGCCTGTTTGTTCCTGTATCAGTTGTTTCTCAATGAAGAGGCAAGAAGGTTGAGGAGGAAATATTCCAGCAACTTGAATGTGTGACTTAAGGACGATAAGTTTTGACATGTATTGGGTCTTTCCCGGGTTTTAGGAGGGCGATGACCTTCGACTTTTGCCACACTTTAGGTATTGTTTGTGTGGCGAGGCAGGTGTTGATGAGCTGGAGTAACCAATTTGAGGCGTTTGGTCCAAGATGTTTAAGTTCTTTGGTGAAAATGTTATCCAGTTTGGTTGATTTCCTGTTCTTCATTTATGCCAGTCGCAAGTTCATTAGCAGAGAAGGATTTGATGAAGCCAATTAGGTCGATGGCGGGGTCTTTCTGGCGGAGCTTGGCTTTCGGTCGCTTATCAGGAGAACGTGGCACTTTACCATTTAAATAGCAGTTGTTGTGGGCTATTTGGTTGGCAGTGATGTTACAATGCTGTTCACTTGGCTGAGCTTTTTTTTTATATTATGCTCCAGGCTTGGAGGCCATATTGGCTTCTTGGCCATATTGGTGGTTACCACAAGGGTTTGCCACAAGCTTTGAAGCTGTTCTGATATGGCTGTTATTAATTCCTCCCCAGATGAGATGGTATCGACAGCAAGAGAGTCATTTTCATACATGCATTTCTATATCCTGTAAAGTGCAGCACTACGGGATGCTAAGCCTGGGATGTAATCAGTGCGGCAGCCCCTAGGGATGTTCTTGCACCACCACATCAACAAACCGGTGTCATAGTATTCAGGGGTTGGATCAATGTCAGCTAGATGGTGTTTGAGCTCTTTGGTGAAGCCTTCACAGTTAGAAGTTGAAACAGCGGTGGAATGGAATTGTTGCGAAGAGACAGCAGCAGTCACTTTGATTCCAATATGGCGATGTCAGGTTTTTGGAATGGGGTCAAGGACCATCTTGTTGCTAAGTTAGGCGATGTTGTGGCTCACAAGGGCTAGAGCAGGGTTGAAACTTTATCTCCAGCCTCCACTGTGGAAAAACTTCGACAGTTTCGCATTGTGCAGGCATGCAACTGTAAACTCACCAAAAAAGAGGAAATTCCTAAATTCAGAAGACTTTGTACAGTGATTTTCAATTTTGAATGGCAGAAATGAGAATAAAAAAAGAGGAAATCAGCTGATCTGAGGAAAAGTTGCATGCCTGATTGTGAATAAGGCTCAGTTGACTTGCTTCCGCCAGCGATTCAAAAGCGTCGACGTCTGTGCTGGAATGATAGCCAATGATGTAGCTGGAGTTACCCAGCCCTGAGTTTTATCATTGGGTTGTCTATTAGGGCTGGAGCGCATTTTTCTCAAAACTTGTAGTATTTGCAAAAAAATTTGGAAAATGTTCAATTTTGTCCCCGTTACACACTAATTGCAACTGCAACTCACCCCAAACTTGCCTGGAATAACCATTACACAGGTCCTTGAAGTAAAAAACGATCCACGATGAAGATTCAGCCTACAATTGCAGTGAAAACAGGAGGAATAACCGCTAACTTGACAACCTTGCTGGATTGGCCAGGACCGCTATTGGTTTGTGCACAAAAAAATTGTGTACAATGAATGGCGGTCGATTAACAGGCACAGAGAGCGATCGCTGTCAACTACTCGGTTTTGCCGGCTGCGCTGGCTGTTGGCGCGTGACGTCACGCGGAAGCGTAACACCCGATGACTGTTTCATGCACTATTGGTTGCGGTTCCAGTACCAAAGCTGTGATGCGAGTGGTAAACTGTTAATCGACCGCCATTCATTGTACACAATTTTTTTTGTGCACAAACCAATAGCGGTCCTGGCCAATCCAGCAAGGTTGTCAAGTTAGCGGTTATTCCTCCTGTATTCCTCCTGTTTTCACTGCAATTGTAGGCTGAATCTTCATCGTGGATCGTTTTTTACTTCAAGGACCTGTGTAATGGTTATTTCAGGCAAGTTTGGGGTGAGTTGCAGTTGCAATTAGTGTGTAACGGGGACAAAATTGAACATTTTCCAAATTTTTTTTGCAAATACTACAAGTTTTGAGAAAAATGCGCTCCAGCCCTAATAGACAACCCAATGATAAAACTCAGGGCTGGGTAACTCCAGCTACCAATGATGCTGCTGTGGCTATTAAATCCCGATAATTATGCGTGGCTTTGGCTGTTTTGTGGATTGTGGCGGTGGCATTAGGATGGAAGACCTGGAGGTGCTTAAATCACCTCCGCTCTGAAGTGGCTCGCACCAAACGCACCATGAAGAAGTGGGGATTTTCCTCAACCGACAAACACCCTGTGTGAGTGCGGTACTGCAGAGGACACTTTACAACATTTCATATTTAAATGCCAGGCACTAAAGGGTTGGTCATATTTTGGCCCTAAAAGGGGGGCAGATTTCCCCCCTTTCAACTTTTTCCGCGATACTCTTGAAAAGTTATTTATTTCGCGGCCTGAGCTGTCCTGACTTTTTAGCCTCGAGTCTTGCACATCTTTTGATACCAAAAACATAAAATTCGAACCACAGGTTGCCGCGCAGCGAAATATTTTCGGCGCTACCCTCCGTCAAAACTGAATTTCCCCATATACGTAGTGTACACATTTGAATTACCATACGTGCTTATGAATAATTAATTAGCCGTAATTCCAAAACCCTTTGACCCATAGTCATGAAATTTCTTGGGTTTGTTCATGTTAAGTTGTTCTATGCATGTACCGAGTTTCATAATTTTTCGTCACTCGATGGCCGAGGTCATGGGGGGGGGCGAAATCTGCGTGAGATGGTCAAAACAACCCGGCCCTTTTCGGGCAAAAGTGACATTTTCCCATGTTTTCTTCAGGAAAACCCATAAATACATTAATAATAACATTTATTGTAATGGATAAACTCTCAACCAAATACAATATGTGCTCACTTGCCTCGAAAATCTTCGCAAACCCTTCCGAAAGGCAAATTTTAGGTGAAAATGACCCATGAACTTTGACCTCAGGTCAAGGTCACTAAAGGTCAATGGAAAAAATGGCAACATCAATTTTCTTGTTCTCAGCACTCATAAGATTACATTTATAATGGTTGCCATAAATTAACATGAAATGCCAACGGAAGTACATTGGCCCCCCCACTATAATCTAAAGTTCCTCTCTATCCCGTGAAATACGCTTATCGCAAGCATGGAATTTTCTGCAACAGTAAGCAGGGATTTTCGCAGTAAGCAGAGCTTGAAATTGGCCCTGATAAAAATTGTCTCAACCCACCTCCAGTTCGGTGTAGCTCCACCCCCAACTTCTCGCATTTCTCCGACACCTCGTGCACCTGTGCCGTCAGGTTGTCTCGGTCCGCCCTCAGCAGGTTCATCTCTTCCATGCCAGACTCGGTGGCGTTCAGGAGCTCGGCCTGGGAGCTCCTGGCTCGTTGGATCTCATCCGCCGTCGAGGAGACCATCTCTAGAAGACGGTCGACCGAGGCTTGAAGGCGAGTGTTGGCGCCTGGATGGAAAATTGTAGGTAATATTTTACAGGGGTGTGAGTGGAGTCCAAAAAAAATAGCTGAAAATAGCTGAACCTACGGCGTGGGGTTCGGGGCCCGCCCAAGGGCCCCGGAAAAATTTTGAAATGTAGATGCTCTGTGGTGCATTTTAAAGGGAATATACAACATTTGCAAACATCGAAAAATAAAACTACCAAGTTTTTACGAAATACCTTACTAAGATGTTGGTAAATGACAGTCTCAAGCGTCTTGTAAAATTATGGCACCCTGTGTGAAGTCATTTTCAAGAAAATGGTATTTTTGCATACATTTCCAACGGTGGTCGGCCGACCAGCGTTGGAAAAACCTAACTATATTTCAACTACTGCTCCAAATTGACCATTTTTTTCAGTCCAAATTTTGTTTGCTATTGGTTACATGTTCATGAACGGGTGCAGGCCAGCTAGACTGGTTCCATTGCCTTACAATTTTCCATCATCTATAAATTGATCCATGTTATCTTTTGTGGAGTCAGGGAACCAGACTACTTGAACATTTTTGTTTTTCTTGGTTTTTCCAACCTTTTCGAACACAAGACTTCAAAAATGTCAGTGTAACAATATTTGATCTATTATACTAACCCCTCAAATAGTTCATTTCTGAAAATTACAGCAAAAGCCAATGATGTACATTCCCTTTAAAGCCCCCTGGCATGCCTGGGCCAACTATTGGTCAAAAATGTTTTGCAATTTATGCATGTTTTTAAGTTAACTTTTCCTTCATATTGGCTTGAAACTGCCTAAATGGCCAACTTGTATATGAAAACTGGGAAATTCAACCGCCGTTTTCCATATTTTAACTCCTTACTGTAGATGATTGATACACATCGTCATCGCGTGTCCCGGCTTCTGATCGAGTCGCCTAATTTCTGCCCATTAAGTTAACCATGTGTTCCATCCAAATCCATTTCCACGGATTCGTAACCTGAGGATCGGTCTTGTCAATGTCCGAATCAAACTCCGAACCTCTTGGGATAATTACACATTTGTGTTGCACTGACATCTTGCGGAATTAATGTCAAAATACGTTCGAAACATTTGAAACGACACACTAACGTACGTATCAGCATGCAGCGGAATACGCAGCAGGATGCGTGCATGCAATGAAATGCACACATGAACTTTGCCCCGCATGATGCCCTCTACCGGCGCGGCACGTCGGCGACAATTTACTAGTCTTATTTCAAGGCTTTATATTTGCAACAAGACGATGTTTACAGCGAGTTATTGTGGAGATCATCGCGTGTCACTACATGCATAGACACAGGAACGGCCGCAAAGAGTCCCAACGCGCTTCATGGCGCATGTGTGAATATTCATATTTATCTGCAGCCAATCACAGCGCCATGACTGTTGGTTCCCCGGATGCTGTTTACACGTTGTGTACACACGCGGCTTCGAGCTGAAAATGCATGCACATGGCATCGTATAGTACACACATACGTACGTAAATGTACATGTACATGTACATGTACATTGAATACTCGCTTGCACACACCCCATCTCAGAGCTACGTGTATGTTGTAGAGAGGGGATCGCGTGCGTTCGGCGGCGGCGGAAAATAAAATAAACGGAAATAAAATCAAAGCTTACGCGCGGGGGAAAAAGCGGTGGGAAATCTGGACCATCGGAAGAAAAAAAGCGAAAAAGGAAGGAAAACAAAATGTGGCACGCTGAACAAAAAAGCGGAAATCCGCTAAATAGCGGAGATTTCACACCCCTGTAAAAAATACCCTTTAGCACATTGTTTTTACTCCTCCTTATATCAATAAAACCATACAGTGCTTGCGAGGTTTGGGAGGTTTGTGAGGTTTGTGAGGTTTGTGAGGTTTGTGAGGTTTGTGAGGTTTGGGAGGTTTGGGAGGTTTGGGAGGTTTGTGAGGTTTGGGGCGGTATGAGGAGTAACAGGCAGGGCAGTTTGGGGTTGTATATGGGGTGGCACAACTCCCAGGGAATGTTCTAGGGAAATTTCCCGAATCCTCAAAAATCCATCAATTTGGATGCCAATTTCAGTTTGGTCCTTCCTTTAATGGTAAGAAAGGAGAGTTGGGGGGCACCACAAGAAGAGACATTTGAAAAATTAGGGTATTTGTGGTCTAGCATGCCAAACTCAAAATCTTGTTGTTAGCTCTACGGATTGTGGATTCTACTCTAGCCATTACGGTTGTGCTTTGGTGTCCTTGGGCAAGACACTTTATCATGAATTGCCTCTTTCCACCTAGATGATTATCAGGTATTGATTTTAAAACCAACAGTTCAATTGAGATTTGAATCATAATGAAAAGTAGTCCGCAAGTCAAACACCACTGTGAATTGAAATGATACCACACGAAAACTCCAGACTGGTTGCTGTCCCGCCTCCCACTTACTTGTCACAAGCTCCTCCCCCTCCGTGTCCAGGTCCGGCCCGCTGAACATGCTCTCCATCAGCTGCTGGGATAACTCCAAACCCTCATCGCTGAAGAATGAGGCAACGCTGGTGTCGTGCAGTGCATCGGGGGGTCCGTCTGGGGGTCCATCCGGGGGTTTGCCCCTGGCTGCTGCCTGGGCTGGGGGGTCAATACAAATTTGTCAAATTAGGAGAATTTTTCCAGATGTATCAGTTGAATCACATAATGCTAAAGTAAAAACTTGACACTCATTTTAGAATTTTTGTTTTTACACTAACCTTCCCAAATCCTCCAAAATGTTCTTTGCGAAATGGAGGATTTTGCAGGATTGAGGCTATATGGCAAAAATGTGTGGCTGAGAATGGAGGATGCACTATGTCAAGGTCTTGGGCCAGACCTTGTGTTGTTTATGCTCAGCTGTGCATAAATTTAGGCCTAGATTATACTTGAAACCCTCCGCACTGCTCCAGGATGTCACTGGCTCTGCCTCAACATATCGACAGTGATAGCTGGAGGATTTTGCAGGATTGAGGCAGTGGTCACCCCTCCAAGGACCACACTCAAGAAATAACGGAGAATTTTGCAGCATTGAGGCTGTATGCAATTTTTACATGGAGGCAGTTGGAGGATTTTGCAGGATTGAGGGTGCATCCTAGCAAAAATGCCTAGGGAATTAGGGTTCATCTTGTTTTTTTAGACCTACCTCCCCCGAGTTGCAAGCTAGCCCCGCCCTCCGCAGCCTCCCCTTCGGCCTCCGTCCGACCCTCACCCTCCCTGCTGTCCGACCTGCCCTCCCCCGCCGACCGAGTGGTAGCGGCCGCCAGCTTGGCCATCTGCCTGTTGATGGTTTCCTCGGTTGCCATGGTAGCGCGGACCGCTGCGGTGAGCACAGCCAGCAGATGGTTGTTTGCTTCTTGCAAAGCAGCCCTGGAAACAAAATTGTTATGAGCAATTTGAAAATAATAAATTGATAAAATTCTAAAAAATATTAAATCTGTTGGCCCTACATAAAATAATATGGCTTTTCTGTTTATTAAAAGATCATGAAAAAAGTAAGACTGCTGCAAACTGCTTACTGATTGGGTGGACCTGAAATATATAAATCTAAAAATTAATGTGGCCTGACGTTGCGAACTTAGCAAGTTCTTCTTCAGAGGCTAAAACAGAAATGACAGAGGTACATACATTAACATGGGGGTGCACACAAACATGCAGGGATGAAAGAAGAAACACAAAAGGAGGATTAGGTGGGAAAGGTGTGGAAAGATGCAGGGGAGGGTGGATGAGAGAACAAAGAAACAAAGGGAGATGGCAAACCACAAGGGGTCTGGTATGAACAGGGGAGGGACCAGAAAGGGGAAGGATCAAAGGTCACAGGGAGTGGGAACGGACAAAAGAGTGTGGGAGTGAAGGGGGATTATGCGGGGGAGGGGGGGGGGGAACAGTATGGAGGTGGAAAGGGATGAAAGATGGGGAAAGATGGGGAAACACAAACAATGAAGACCAGGTGGATTATCTGTAACAGAAGACAATGGAGGAAGAAAAATATCAATCATTTCCAAGTTGGATGTTGAGACCATGTGGTTGAATAGTTCGAAGACGATTCATCCACACTTTCTCTCTGCTGAGGCGAACTGAGTCCTTGCGATGGCCAAGAGATTCAATGCTGGGCTGGGGGGTCAATACAAATTTGCCCTGCAAAATCATATCAGAAATGGAGTGGTTAGGCAGGTTGAAGTGATGACCAACAGGGGTGTCTAGTTTCTTGGTGTTGACCGTTGACCGGTGGGCATAGAAACGCTTCTTGAGCGTATTCTTAGTCTCACCTACATACTGCACTCCACAGACCCTGCAAGAAATAAGATATATGACATTAGGGGTGTTACAAGTGATGTTACCAATGGTTCTGTGGGTAGTGACAGAAGAGTGGCCAGAAAAGGAGTCAGACTCCTGGATATGAATCTGGCAGACAACACATCTGGAACTGCACTTGAAAGTACCATGCTGGGTGGGAGGGGATGCATCTAAGGATGGGACTTCAGCTCGAACAATCAAGTCACGTAGATTACGAGGACGCCTGTAAGCCAATGTGGGGCCGTTGGGGATGGCGCGGGCAAGGCGATCTGAAGTATGGAGGATATGATGATTGTCATTAGTGATTTTGCGAAGGGGAGGGAGATTGGGGTGAAACGTGGTAACCAAGGGAATCATGGGTTTGGCCATGGCATCAGGGGCCTTTCCCGTGAGAGCTAGATTTCTGGGGATAGCTTTAGCTCTGGCAATGGCACGATGAACTTGGCGAGAGCTGTGACCCCTGGCCACCAAGTTGTTCCTCATTAAAAGATCAGTTAAATTGTTGTAAAAAACCCAGCTGTTGCATTTCAGAGAATCTGTAGTCGTTATAGAGCTAAAAAATCAGACAAATATTGGGACATTTTTCTTTCTATATCATATCGTGCAGACAACATGCATATGAACAACTTCATGTAATGACTGTTCCATTTTAGGTTGAACTTTGACCTAAAGTCTGAGTCAAGTAATCAAAATGTCAGCCTAAAGGCAAACACAGTGCTTTACACAGCAGTAGTACTTTTTTTTTTTTTTTCTGAATGTCAATTCGGAACAGATGTTAAAGTGGGCGTGTACAATAATCAACTCCATATCAACTTACATGTACACATAATTGGCTGTGGTGATGCATGTACAATCACCGAGAATCACATAAAGAGAGTACACTGATATCAACAAATACAGGGCGAGTCAAAAAAAGCGGAAACCCAAACCCCCACAAATATATTTCATATTTAAAAGAATATGTAGCACCAAAAATTATAATGACTTGAAAGCCAATTTCATAAGCTACTTTTAGATGAAAAAAATAAATGAAATTGCTCAATGCTTACAAAGAATATCACCATTTAAAGGGAATGTACATCACTGGCTTTTGCTGTAATTTTCAGAAATGAACTATTTGATGGGTTAGTATATAATAGATCAAATATTGTTACATTGACATTTTTGAAGTTTTGTGATCGAAAATGCTGGAAAAGCCATGAAAAACAAAAATGTTCAAGTAGTCTGGTTCCCTGACTCCACTTAAGATGAAATGGATCAATTTATAGATGCCGGAAAATTGTAAGGTAACAGAACCAGTCTAGCTGGCCTGCACCCGTTCATGAACATGTAACCAATAGCAAACAAAATTTTGACTGAAAAAAAATGGTAAATTTGGAGCAGTAGATGAAAAATAGTTAGGTTTTTCCAACGGTGGTCAGCCGACCACCGTTGGAAATTTATACAAAAATACAATTTTCTTGAAAATGACTTCACACCAGGTGCCATAATTTTACAGGATGCTTTAGACTGTCATTAACCAACATCCTAGTAAGGTATTTCGTAAAAACTTGGTAGTTTTATTTGTTGATGTTTGCAAATGTTGTATATTCCCTTTAAACGCAATGACCCTAAAACCTGTCTCGTCCAAAACAAGCAATTTATTGTGTGTGTTGAACTTGTTTGGAACAACGAAGGAAATGACACAGAATACTTGTTTCAACAACTGTCACCAACTGTAGTACACGATATCTTTATTAACAACCCATGGTAAGGCAAACAATATGATTTATAAAATCTACTTTTTTTAAAGACGGGCCGTTAAAAGGACTTTGTTGAATATTGTAAATGTTTAAACTGAGATTTTATCGCTGGTGATGTTTGAAGACAATTGTGACGACGATTCTTGAAATCGCATTTTTTTTGGACGAGACAGGTTTTAGGGTCATTGAGTTTAAAGGGTGATATTCTTTGAACGGATTGACCAATTTCAGTAATTTTTTCATCTAAGAGTAGCTTATGAAATTGGCTTTCCAGTCATTATTATTGTTGGTGCTACAAATGTTTTTAAATATGAAATAAAACTTTTGGGGTTTGGGTTCCGCTTTTTTTTAATCACCCTGTATAACCACTGCACAAAAAAAAAAATTAAATGCAGAAAAAATGATTTGTCCTACTTTTCGCTGCTCAGTCGGTCCGCGTCGGCCCGCATCATGCTCAGTAAGTTCCCGCCTTCTTCGTTTTCGCGCTCCCGTCGGCTGATCACGGTGTCGTACTGCGCAATCTGCTGCAACAACGCCATGTTCTCTTGCTGTAACTATGGTGACAAGGTCAAAGAAAACAAGGGGGCCATCTTGAATAACGTTTAAATTCAAAACGGGACCGCTTGTAACCTTCTCAAAAGAACAGAACTTATTCCACAAACGGTTGAATCCAATCAAAGAACACAGGACGCAAAAATACATTTTACAGCTTAACAAGTTCTTTCTCTCGCAGAAGATTTGAGCATGGAAATCTGTCTCGATTTGCACATTTTTGCAGCAATCCTCCCATTTAATCAAAGATAAATATCTCGGGCATCAAGCAAATAGTCTGATACCAAAGCTTAATATGTCATAATGATAAACGCTTCTAGGTTCCAGACTTACCACCACCTCTTGCTCTGGAAAGTTGGTCGTCACAAGAACTAGACTACACTTGTCGGGGCAGCGGCCATTTTGAATAAGAACTTAAGAACTAAGAACTTTTTGCAAACACGATAACTTGAACCCGAACTGAAGTCATTTCCAAAGTAAAATTACTTATCTTTCATTTCCAAATCCCTAATTCCAGTTTCAAAAAAAAAATAGAAGAATTTTCAGAAAAACAAATTTGCTTTGAATATTCACAGTAGCATTCGCTGCAGCCCTAATGTTAAGGAACGCACAAACATTCAATACTTAATACAGAGAGGATGTCCCTACCTACATTGTGCCAACCACACAGGAAGTCGATCATACCATTTCAGGGGCGGGTGAAACGCTATACGAGGGACACTTATTGATTTCCCTTAGTCAAAAACATCATTTCCTGTCTTTCATTAATTGTTATTAAAACCTTAGTAAATTTGAAACTTATCTTCCAGTACCATTTTATTATACTAAAAAAGGACAGAAATATGAAACATGTTTTTTAAAGGTCGAGGTCGAATCGAAATGACGTCCCTTAGTGAAAATGGCACATCCCTGGAGGAACGCTTAAACAGGAAGTGGGGAATTTTTGAGCAGTTGGAGGAAGTGTTAGCGTCTGCGCAGCTTGAGTAAAACTGATGTTTGTTCAGTGGCCAAAACATTAGCGATACTTTCATTACGGGTAGTACTGTCCGATTTAAGGACTTAAGAAAATCACTCAAAATTACACAACAATACAACGTGTGAAAAAAATTACCAAGTATGTCACCTGATAATTTTTTCTGAAGTCATTGGCACATTTTATTTTATACATTTAGGTAAATTAAATATTCCTTTTATTGAGTCAGTTACCTTGACCGGACATCGAACAGCTCTAGGATTGGAAAATACAATTAAAAAGTCCTTTGTTACTTGTTCCTGGGGACTATTAAGCATGACAGGTGTTTTCCTAATTGAAAAAAACATCACAAAGAAGTCTTGAAACTATTTTCCCAGGAATTATTATACAAGTCGTTAATTAGCTTACCAGCAAGAAATAACTCTTACGTTTGGCATTCATGATAAGTGAGGGCTCTCCTTACGTAAACAACTGCTCACATTTAATGACTACAAAATTTAACAACTTGGATTTACAACAACACAAGCTTAATATAGCCCTATGGCAAATTCCAATGCATTTTTATACACACATGAATATTTGCAAATAAACAATCACTGATTCATTTTGGGGAATTTTACCTGGTTTGACTGCTGTTGAAGCTTTTCCACTTCCTCCCTCTGTTGCTCTTCTTTCTCTTTCATCATCTGATCCAGCTCACCTGCAATGGCAGAGGGGGTATTGTCAAGTCGCGGATCGGCTCTGCCCACTTTACTGTGAAGGTGAAGGCCATGTTGTGGGGGGAGGGTTGGACAACTTTGGTCAACAGAGGGGGTAATCACAACCTGCACACCCTACACATTGTAATTAATGCATGAACTCTCCTGCCGAGTCAGTGCAGAAATGTACCAAATTTTCATTCAATAAAAAATAGATATGTTGGGTTTGGGGTACATTTTTTTTTTAATTATAGGCAGTTTGTAAAGTGATGGGTTTCATGAAAACTCTTTGTATTTTTTTTATGACTAACACCTATTAAATTGGTTTCATTTCAATATATGAAGATAAAATGATGAAAAATGACAAACAAATATGTTGTTGAACTTTTCAATTTCTGTTTTCAAACTCCCCAAGCTAGTATTTGTTTCAAACTTAAAGGACACATTAGCCCATAGAGCTGCTGACGAAGGAGTCTAATATCTTGACTCTTTTTAGTCGAGTTTACCCACTAAGCTCCCAGATCCCTGTTAAGAGATTGACTGACCTTTCTCCTGCTCAGCTTGATGCATCAGCTGCTCTTGCAACTCCTCAAGTGCTGTCTCAATCTCTTCCTGATGCTTCTTCATCAGTTCTTCTACCGCCTCCTTCACTCTCCCTTCCTGCTCCTCCTTCACGGCCTCTATCTCCTGCTGATGTTCCCCCTTGAGCCTCTGAATCTCACTCTCGTGGGCGTCCTTGAGAGCCAAAAGACTTCCCTGCTTCCCGTCTCCGAGTTCACTCTGGAGACGTAGCACCTCCCTCCGATGAGCCTCCTCCAGGTCCATCTTGGCTGATTCGATCTCGCGCTCGGAATCCGTGGCAATGGCCTCAAGCTGATCCTCGTGATTCACTCTTAACTTCGCCAACTGCTCTTCGTGGTTCTGTTTCAGCTCCATGAGTTCCGTCTCGTGTTTTTCCCGCACCGTCTCTTTCTCCGCCTGCTGCCCTTGGATTTCCTCTTCCAAGCTGCGTATCCTCTCCTTGAACTCTTTCTCGATGGAGCTCCGCAGCATCTCTTTCATGTACTCCAACTCTTGCCGGTGCTCGGACTCTAGCTCATCCGTGACCTGCCGGAACTTAGCCATGTGGTCGGAGACAAGGTCTTCCGTGACTTGAGCCTTCTCCTCCTCATGTTTGGCTTTGATGGATTCCAGGAGCTCCTCGGCATTCAGGATGTGAGCTCGCTCCTTCTCCATTTGCTCCCCCATCTTCTTTTTCTCCTCGTTCAGAGTTTCGGCTAGATCAACTTTGAGAGCTTCCAGCTCCTCAAAGTGCTGTGATTTTAAGTCACTTATCTCTTTGGCGTGTTCCTCATCTAGAACTCTTCGGAGCTCCTCAAGCTCCTTCGCTTGTTCCTCTTGGAGGGATTCCTGGGCATCGTTGAGCTCCTGCTCAAAGTTGTTCTGCAAGCGCTCATGCTGCTCTTCTAGTTCTTTATCGTGCTGCTGTTTGAGCGCCATGATATCCGTGTCTTGGCTCTCAACAAATTTATCCAGCATGGCCTGGTGCTCCTGCATGAAGTTGACTTGCATCTCCTCCAGCTCCTTGGCAGATTGGAGCTGAGTGGTTCTCGTGAGAGACTCAATCTCTTCGGTCATCGTCGCCTTAATCATCTCCAGCTGGTTGTCATATTGTCTCACCAGGTTCTCCTTGAGAGCCTGAACCTCTGGTGCCTCTCCACTCTCAATTCCCTCCCGGAGAGCTCTGAGAGCATCTTCTGTGTCAGCCAGCTGCTGCTTCAAATTGGCAATCTCATTGGCATACTTTTCTCCTACCTTGTCTTCATCCTTCATGCGATTGTCTAGTTGGTCTTCAAGGTCATCTTTTCTCTTTTCTAAATCTTGAATTTTCTCCATCTGTCCATCAAGAACCGTCTGTATACTTTCCATCTCCTGAGCCTTCTCCATGGTGACCTCAGCAAGGATGCGAGCAACCTCATCAGTTATCTTGTCCTGGGCTTGCTGCTCCAGGTCTGCCTGCATAGTCCGGAACTGAATATCAAACTCTTCTTTGGCCTCTGCTTTGGCCCGTTTCCCCTCAATGTCCTTCTGCAGTTCCAGCTCGCCTTGAAGTGAATCCATCTCAACTGCAAGCTTGTGCTCCAAGTCATCCTTCAGCTGTGACATTTCCTCCTCGTGGGCAAACTTGAGTTCCTCTTTGATTCGCTGGGACTCCTCTTCCACCTGCCGTGCAGTCTCGGCAGCACACTCCAGCCGAAGCTTTGTTATGGCCTTGGTGTTCTCCTCTGAGAGCTGTTGTCGCAGTTCTTCCAGCTCCTCCAGGTGGATCTGCTTGAGGTTCTCAACCTCCAAGGCATGTCTCGTATTCAGTAAATCCTTAGCAGCCATCAATTCAGCTTCCAGTTTTAGTTCCGACTCGAGATTCCTCCGCTCCAGTTCCATCCTGTTCTCGTGCTGCAGCTCCTCTTTCATGTTATCCATCCTGGCTTGATACTCCTCCTCCAGGATGCCCCTCAGTTCACTCCTCAGCTGCTGTTTGACCTCCGCCTCGATCTCCGCAAAGCGCTCAGGAGATTGGGGCGGAGAGCTCTCAACATCCGACAGGTGCGTCATCATCATCATAGTCTGGGCATAGCTACGCTGTTTCGGTCTCCCATCCTCTTCATCATCCTCTTTAGAGCCGTGCTCCCGCTCTTCCTCATACTGCGCCTTGAGATCAGCCATCTCCTGGGCCCAACGCTTCTCATTTTCTACGACCCGCTCCTCGAAGTAGGTCCGTAGCTTCTCCAGCTCCTGGCTGTGCTCATCTTGGAGCTTTGCCCTGACCACTGTCAGTTCATCCTGGAGCTTCCTGATCTCATTCTTGTAAACTTCAACAGCTTCTTCTCCAATAACCTTCCCCCTCTTGGCTCTCTCCTCCAGACTAAGCTCCTCATCTCCTCCCTCTCTGACCATGGCTTCCAGAACCCCATTTCGCAACTCCAGCACTTCATTTCTCTCCTTTAGCTTGTCATGAGCCGTCTGCAGGAGGGACAGCTCACTCTTGAGGTAGGTGGTGGACTCCTGTCGACCTCTCTCTTGCTCCAAGTCTTCCCTCATCTTGGCCAGCTGTGCATACTCTGCCTGCATCTTGGCTTGAATGCCCTGTAACTCTTCTTGGTGGACCTTCTCCAGGTGCTGCCTCATTTCTGCCAAAAAAGCACGCAAATAAATTTAGCGGTAACAAAACTAAAAAACACCTTCAACTGAAATACAGTTTCGGTCAGGTTTCTTAATTTTCAATTCTGGTAATTTTAAAAACCTATAACCTCTGACTCTAACCTACAAATGGACCAAAAACCTTTGAAACCTAAAACCCTTTCCTTCAATCTCTTGTAAAAACACATTGCCTATGTTTTCCCTTCAGTTTTTTCGCAACCGTTCTTTTTCTAGCATCTCAGTGGCCAAGCCAATCTATTAGCTTGACCTCTGACCTGCATCTACCTTTGGCCTATGACCCCTTAACCACTGTGACCTTTACCTTCAGCCTGGTTGAGCAGTGTCTCTCTCTCCTTCAGAAGCAGGTCTACATCGGACCGGTGTTCCCGTTCCAGTTCTTCCTTGCCCGCCTGTCCCTTGCTGAGCAGCTCCCGTTCTGCCTCCAGCTCCGCTTTGTATTTAGCTTCCATCTCTTCCCTGAGGTGCCTCAGCTGTTCCAAGACCTTCTGGTCCCACTCATTGGCCAGGCTCTAGTCAAATCAAGCACCACAGATACAATGTCAGCTAAGAAGGTAATATACAGGGTGGTTTAAAAGGCAGAAATTTATGGCAACATCCGACCTATCTCAACTACGGTTGCACAACGCAGAGCCCGCCTTGCCGGCCACTGCTACAGAGCCGAAGAGCAAGTTGTCTTTGACCTCATCTGCTGGAGATTGCCTTGCCCCAATAGAGGGAGGAGACCCCTCAACTACGTCGACACTGTATGCAATGATGTGAGCCAGCACGTTGATGACATCACCACGGCCATGGCGGACAAGAGAGTCTGGAAGAGTTTGGTTTCATCCATCTCGGCTGCGGCCGCCCAATGATGAATGATGAAAAAGAAGGAAACCCACTTTTGACAGCAATTTTGGTATTAAAATATTGATCTATAAACATAAGTGACAAAAAAAATTGCAAATACATGTTTTGCCTCTGAGATGGAAGTTTAAAATGTTCATGTGCCAACTTTTTTGTCCACAGATGGCTTTATCCCCTTGACAGAGCTCCGCAACTTGATTTGAAGACAAAAAACACCACACTAGACTTATCGGTACACGTTGACAACAGTGATTTTGGTGACTGTTTTCAAATTAGCATAACACTATTCTTGCGAGTTTTTTTTAAAGAGTTTTTCACGTATGGTTGAAGAGCTATACTTCACTACATTATAAAAAAAAAACCAGTTCAAATGAGTAAAGTAAGTACATTAAAATTCCTGTCAAAAGTAAGTGGGTTTACTTCTTTTTTTCTGCATCACCCTGTACAACTTTTTCTTTTGCTGTAATTTTCAGAAATGGATGGATTTTGGGGGTTAGTATTTTATAGCAAATATTGTTACACCGACCTGTTTAAAGGTTTGTGTTCATGGATGCTTGGAAAAACCAAAAAAAAATTGCTTTACTTGTAGTCTGGTTCCCTGACCCTACTTCAGACGAAACGGAGCAATTTATAGACGTTTGGAAATTGTCAGGTCAGGGAACCACACTAGCTGGCTTGCACCCGTCCACGGATTGCAGACAAAATGAGGAATAACTAAATTTGGCAAATTGGGGGCACCGACAGTATTTGAGAAAAGTCAGTTTTTTCCAACGATGGTTGGCTGGGGGAGGGGGTAGCTGTTTGGGGGAAGGGGTGTCAGCAGACATGTGCTACTTTTTTTTCTGCATTACTTTCCTATTTATTGTGGTCCAAGGGGGGGGGGGGGAGACGGAGATATAAGTACCGGTATGTTAGTCTTTCTTATTGGCAAAATCATGCGGTATACACATGAAAACCTGTTAAAGAGGTTGTGGAATGCTCGAAGACATTTCCGTCATTTTTCAGGTACATGTAGCCTAACGTGTGATGAAATAAAAACGACTATTGTTTCTGTCATAAAATGAGTACAAAGGGTACTTTTGAGAGCTGTTTTTCAAGTCCTGTCATGCCTGTTTCGACCCAAACGTGCAATTTGTGTAAAAGTCGTCGTTGAGGGCAGCAAACAAAACACAGTATATCGTGACGTGATAAACAGGACTCCCGATGCAGAGTAGCATAAACGAGTCCTGTTTATTACATCACGATTTACTGTGTTTTGTTTGCTGCCCGCAACGACGACTTTTCAAAAAATTGCACGTTCGGGTCGAAACAGGACCTGAAAAATAGCTCTCAAAATACCCTTTGTACTCATTTCATGACAGAAACAATAGTCGTTTTTATTTCATCACACCTTAGGCTACATATACCCAAAAAATGACGGAAATGTCTTCGAGCATTCCACAACCTCTTTAACCAATTGAAGAGAGACTGAGACTAACCTCAATGACCTCTTGGTGCTCCTGGCTGAGGCGACGTTTCAGTCGAGTGAACAATTCTTTGGAATTGTCATTGACGTCATCTGCGAGAAAAAAAATAACCAATTCAAGCATTTAAAACACTCAACCAACGTCTCTACAATTAAGCTGTTCTTTGTGCTGACTGCTGTCACTTTTTTACTAAAATTCTGCATATGTGACATATTTGGCGCTCATAATGTATGTCTGTTTTAATACTGAAGGACAAAACCCAATATTAAAATGTATATCTCCTTAACACCAAAATTCCATCGAAAAGTAAATTGTTATGCTTTTCCAGGTCAACCGTTGTTACTTGCAGCCCTGCGGTTAACGTGAAACATGCCAAGTGCAACGTAAATCAAAAACCATAAGAGAACAAAGCCTTTATTCACAAATCAACAAGATATGCTACAACCAATAAGCCTGTGTACTGATGACATCACACTTTGTTTACACGTGTGTTTTTTTATCGGAGCCCTGGTGGGATGATGGTTTTGTAGCCCCATAGATAAGTGCACACGTAAACAAAGTGTGATGTCATCTGTACAGAGGATTATAGAAACCCTCTCCATGCTTTTTTTTTTCAAGTTACAAATCGATTTCATTACATTGCATATATGCTAAAACTACACATGTACATTTGTACAGTAAATGTATCATCAACAAAAATTAATAAATAAGGCCAAGTACAAAAATAAAAGTATTTTCTCTTCCCCGACCGATTCCTTTTTTCCTGGCCAACTCTTTTTTTTTTAATTCATAAATTTGCAAGATACATGTATTTTGCACATGTGTTGTCAATATATTGTCTATTTATTTAGTTCCAACAAAATTGTAGGAAGTGTTATGGCCCCTTTAGACACAAGTTTGTATCGTCAAAATAGTCAAGAAAATTGAAGAATCCATTCGCCATCTTGGAAACCGCTATCTTGGAAAAAATTGTAGCTATGTAGAAAGGATTATGGCTCCTTTAGACACAAGTTTGTATTGTCAAAATATTCAAGAAAATTGAAGAATCCATTTGCCATCTTGAAAACCGCCATCTTGAAAACTGCCATCTTTGACAAAAAAATAAAAGCGCCCGCCTCCTTCACTTTTTCAAAAAAGCCAGACGAGAAACTACTGATGTTTTTTCCCGGCCTAGATAAAATCAACCTCCATAATTGACACGAGACTTTACAACACTGGCAATTATAACAGAAACCCTACTCTTTTTTATTAAACACTTTCACAACCAGATTTGGTTTTTTTGTCACTCTTTCTCCCGCGAAGGCATTCACGTTCATTAAGTGACCAGCTCTTGTGACAGTCCGTTACCATGACAACCAAGTGATGTCATTAGGGAAAGGTTTAAGAGACTAATTGCGATTTTTCCTTTTATGCTTCGGGGCTGCCATCACTCACACACACACACGTACCAAAATCTGAAGAATCAATTTTTCAGTGAAATTCTACTGGATTTTAATATTTTATTTTTAGTTATTAAAATATTGCATTGGGAAAGATACATTAAAGATCCACACTGTTAAAGATCAAGACTGCCAAATCTGAAATCAGGGGTTAAATTTGATTGTTAAATCTATGACCTCTGAAGCAGAATCAGGCTAATATTTTATTTTTAGTTATTAAAATATTGCATTGGGAAAGATACATTAAAGATCCACACTGTTAAAGATCAAGACTGCCAAATCTGAAATCAGGGGTTAAATTGGATTGTTAAATCTATGACCTCTGAAGCAGAATCAGGCTGATCGGTGTGCAGGTTTCTTTCTTCAAATGCTTAGTCATACTTCTGATAATGAACTGGAAATTCCTGACTAAGTCCGGTACAGTTGAAATTCATAGCAGTTATGTCTGTAGAAAACCCCTAATTGTAAATTAGGCGAAGTAAAGAAAAAATATGTTTCTCGTCCCCGCCCGCTTCCTTTTTGGAGGCCGCCTGCATTTTGTTTTATTTTTGAAAAATGCAGTAAAAAACACCAAAAAAGTCCACAGATTCATCGAAAAATAAATACTTGCATCTAAAACTGTTCATTGTAGACCAATACAACTCTAAATGACACTGTAAATATGTTCAGTTCTCTTGTCCAACTTGTCTTTCATTTTAAAAGTGTCTTTGAACAGTGGAACCACCAACAGTTGCAGGACATTTTAAAATGATGGCCATCTTGAAAAAAATAAAAAATAAAAAATAAAAAACCCCTCTTCCTCCTTTTTTTCAAAATCCCGGACAAGAAACATATTTTTTTTTATTAGGTCTTAAATTATATGAAAACTAAAATTGTAAATTGTTAGTAAAACTATTGTCTTCTGCAAAATTGTAATTTTAGGATATTCTAAAAAGAAAACTAATTCCGTGAGGATAATCATTAACCCTCTCAAATCCACCTAATTCTGACACCGACATTTTATATTCACATGAAGAATGTAATATGGCTGCCCCAAATATACAACTTATTACTGTCTCACCCTGAAATATTCTAAATGTGATTTCATCTGAAGAAATTGTTTCACATTACCGTACAAGGCAGCTATAGTGGACAACAAGGCCAAAAAGAAAACGTAAGGCCCTATAATCTAATTGATGCTATTCAGTATCACGGAAAACAAAATACGTAGGATCTAGTTGCAAAATTGCCAAGCTGCAGTTATTGTGTCTTTAGGCTAAGTCTACCGAGGAGAAATAACGGATTACATTTTGTGAAAGTCGAAGCGGAAAAAGGGCTCGGGAGTGTCCCAAGTTTGATCATGCTATTAAGCATGATGAGGTCAGTATTCCTCAAATATCGAAAAACGGATCCTGCTTCTTGTGTAGTAGGATTTTAAATTTGGATTTTTATATTTAAAGTTAATGTTTTCTAAAAAATCTTTGTCCTGAAATTCTGTCTTTTTTCCTACTTTATGATCAAAATATTTTCAAAACGTACCCAAAGCGTTTCAATATTTCCTATTGTTTTTACAGATTCTGTGAACTTCTCCAAAAAAAAAATCAAATATTTTTCTTAAAATTGTCAAATTTTAAAATCTCTTTAATTTTGTTCTGTGCTCAAAAAAATTAATTTTAAAAGGTTATGTTTACAAGTACACTACACATGTACCTAAAATTTAAAAGGGTTCCATGAACATGTATATTATCAACCCCAAAAAAGGTCTAAGGCAAACCGAGAAAAATATTGGAATATTGAAACAGGAACAATTTCAATTTCTGTATATTCAACATGTTCAATGGAGAAGATGATAAACATACATTATATTCATAGGGCATGCATAATTTATTCCTAAATGGAGGCTCATTTGCATAATTAAAGCTAATCACGATCAATCTTCATGTACATGTATATCGTATCCTAGGCTTGTGCCATGAGGGAAAATACAAAAATCAATATCAGAAGAGGTGGTGAGTCTAAGCAAACAACTGCGGGATTGACCAATGTTCAAAATATGAATAAATTTGCACGGCCTATGGCAAATTAAAATAATTTCTACCATGAATAACAACCTTGAATTCAATGTGAGCTTATAAAAGGCAGCATGACTTAAATAATCAAGTCAATACATTGAATACACATGTACGGTACTGAATGGAAAAATTATTTAATTTATTACGTGCTTTGTATCATTTGTATTAATTTCCGAGCTGAATAAAAAAAAAAAAAAATCATCAAGTCTTTTCAAAGTTGCAAACCATTCGATGACTTATATTAACAGTATGTGCATACATGTATCTCTCTTTTTTGTTTAAATCTGTTTATTTTTTATATATATTAAAAACCACTGCTTTATTGTTTTAAGTCAATTTCATTCGGAACACCATCTGCAACAGTCAAAGCACTTCATACGATCGCCCGGTACCCATCACCATAATCGCACACAGAAACATATGTCAGGTTATATGTTTACCACTCGCCAATGCCAATCACTGCACTGAATCACCCATGCCCATATATTTTCACTGGTAAACAAAGTGCCACTGCAACCTCATTACAAATATATGCAGAGTACCGACAAGGTTTGAAAAATTATTACAATATAGGCCTTCTTAATATTGACCGCATTGGAGAGATGCACTATTTATGGAAACCTTATATCAAAAGATATGAAACAATATTACAAAATAATAATACAAAGTCCATGGATGTCAATTTGTCTAAAGTCCAATTTTCTGGTAAAATATTACCTTTTTGTCGGGCTGGGTATCATTTATTCATTTATTTATTAGCCTGCCAAATTAACTTGTTGTGCATCACACACACAAAAAGACTACCCCTGGATGACCCCGTTACTATGGCAACAGAAAGCCACATTTCACACCTTTTTCCATTACTGCCAGCTGTCCTTTGTTTTTCTTAGCGTGTGTTTGCTGTGTGACATTTTCTGGGGGCAAGCAGGAGACATTGTTTAAAATAAAATAATCGTCGAGCTCTCTCCCCACATGTGTAAACACGGGGTAACATGTGTAAGGTCGTTCAATATTTGACAAGCCAGGAAGAATATAAAACTGATCTCTGAATGACTAAGTAGCTTATACTTCGACAGCTTCAAACTCCATTATTTAGCTAGCTTTCTGCACAAGCCTGATCAACTCTGCATACATTTTGTATTTCTGTATCTTTTAGTGCTATGTTTCTTCTTTTCTGGACAATATATGGGTGCCTTCATATTTTTAAAAGTAAACATTGCATATCAATCAAGAATAAAAAAATACTGAGCTCACATTATCTCTATTTATGTGCAAGTACATGTATGATTTACTTTCCCTTTTTTGCCATGACAACCTGCATGTCATGAAAATTTGACATTAAATAGTCAAAATAAAATAATATATTTGTGGTCAATGCCAGTATTCCTGGTTCATTACCTTGTAACACAAACTTAATCTGGCCCCCAAATATTGAAATACAGTGAAATCTCGATAAGTCAAACCTCAAGGGAACAGGTTCAAAATTTGACTTAAGCAGAGTTTTGAGTTAAGCAGGGTTGTATATCGTTGTTATACAACTGAAGGGAATGGATTCTTTGTCTGACTTAATTAACAGTTGTTTTGAGTTATCAGAGTTTGACTTATCAAGATTTCACTGTAAACCCTCAATAACATAATATTTTTCACGCCTGCATGTGAAACACATGCATTAGTGTACTCCCGGTACATGTCCAATGTGACTCGGACTCGGACTTGAAACAAAATTTTAACCACCAATATTAATTCTCGTAAGAAGAACACAAAAACAGCTAATTTTTAAAGGATGGTTGTGTGGACCTAATTCTACTTTTAAATGCTCTTTAAAATTAATATTGTTTTGTAGCCCAATCGGGCACTTTCCATGACGAAGTGTCCCTTTAAGTATCGTAGAATTAATGGCCAAAGAAAAATCTGTAACCGCAGTCACATAAGATGATCATAAAATCATTTTGCTGTTTGTAAAAATATATATTAAGCATATAAGTTTTATGTTTATACTGCCAGTAGCCCTATAAACAGTCCTGAATCCTCCAATTTTAATACGATTTTGCACACCCCTTTTAATACTTGTTCATGGATTTCTTGACTTTTTGAAAAAGATTCTATTAAGTGTCAAACGTCCGACTCTCTAATTTCTATGAATTTGTTCACTGTACACATGTATCATCCTTTTTTTAAACTGCACACTCATTGTGAAGCCATTCATGTACATGTGCATAGCCCATTGCATTACACATCTGTACAGTCTGGCCATAAAGTGGTCAATATTTTTACATTATCTACAAGTATTTCTTGGCCTACTACACTATTTTGATCTAATGTGTTCATATGCAATGATGCTACAATCATAATTGGAAGCATGAAAACTAGAATTCAGAGCATACTTAACAGTGCTACATAAAAATACATTTTTACTGTGCACGCTTACCATAGCTTGTAAGTGTATAAGACAACACATATTCTCCACATAGCAGATCAAATTATTAAATAATCCACAATCCAGAATCACAGTAATAGGCCATCCACACACCAGCTACATGTTGCAATATCCTCGCATGGAAAAACATCCCAACCACTTGCTGGAAATCATATCTCGAGTGTAGGGAATATTATAAACACGTAGTACGTGTAGCGTCCCCCTTTTTCTTGTGTACACACGGAGCACACAACAAGACAGGCTGAATGGTGCAATGCCTGTATGTAATCAGCTACATCTAGCCCGGCATAATTACATTTTCAGCGTGGGTACTACTAGGCCATGGGTTGACCTTTGTTCACTTGAATTGCATATCATCCACACAAAAAAAGAAGCCTGCCACTACAGATCAGGAAAATTGTGTCACTGTGGGTTGCCCCCTGTTATGTAAATGAGACAGGCTTTTGTTATGGTAATGACCCTGAATGTCACACTGTTGGCTGTAGAACTGATCCAATGGACCAGACCATTCACCCACGGGGTGTAGCGATTTTGCTCCTACAGAACAGGCACCCCTAAAATGCGGACTATTCCATTTAACAATTGTCAGGGAATAATAAGATTCACAAAAAAATGAAGTTTGAACCGATGCGATGAAAAGTTGAGGATATTTAAACTTTCAAAGAAATTTGACAAGTGATTTCACCCTTTTCTCACCCCTTCCTGAATGCACAATACTTTCTCCCAACTCAAGGTCTCAGACTATCCCCTTCTGATTTTCATGAATGAAACGCGGCCCTGAATGTTTTTTGATAGGTTAGATTTTTGACAACAATTTCTGTCGTTAGTGTAATCGTGCAGGGCAGGTGGAAACGACAAACTACTTGTTCCCTCGGCACGTGCCATTCGACTCTTGAGTGGTTGGGAGGAAGTTGAGAAGTGTGCGCGTCAAGTGGAAGTTGTCAAAATTGCAATTTTTTTTATTTAATTGCGTATGACTCATTTCATTTCCTCAGCAAGACATAGTCTGATAATTGGTACTTTGAGTAGTTCAAAATAAGCAGCAAAATAAAATTGGACAAAACAAGGAATCCCACATTCAGGAAAAGATGCAAAACATTTTCCACAGCAACAGATCCTTTGAAATATGTAACCTTGTTATCTGAATAAACGTATGTGACTGACAGTACAACTCCTGTCTAAATCCTTCAATCTTACTCAACAAAGACCACTCACTTACATTCAATCAATCTTTTCATTTTGTCAACACTTTGATATTTGTAATGTCTGAAGCCAACCTGGTAAAGATAGATTGCATAAATGGATTATGCTTTTTTAAACATACGCTACTTATTTTGAGGAGTGTCCAAAAAGTTGTTTAAAGCTATATTCCATCATTTGCAGCTATCCGAAAAGTAACTGGCGTAATTATTGTTGAAAAACATACTTGGTTGAAAGATAGTAAGGGGACTAAACTCCCTGTGAAATTATTCTTTCTGGCAAGCTGTCATTTTGAAGTAATCAACGAAAGAAGGCCTTTCCAACGGTGCTTCTTAAGACGCACCGTAGGAAATTTAAATTAGTAGTTCGTTTTGTTATTCGGCGAAGCGCGCGCAAGCATTGGCACGACGCATAATTCATCGGGTCAGTGCGCGACATTGTGTAGCTGCAATCGGCTCAGTGAGAACGTGTCTCGGACGCTGAATTCAGGCCCAATTCAAAACATGATTCAGCAACTTTTGATTTGAAATTGAGATCCTAGAATGCTGTTTTTCTCGGAATATACAGCTGAAGCTGAGCTGAAACTTCATCAGGCTAGTTGTTCAGTACCCCTCTTTAGATTTTGAGCACTTTTGTTGCTTCAAACGAACAAAATGCCCAAATTACAAATGATGGACTATATCTTTAACCACTGATTTCCATAAGTATTACCATAACAACTAACATCATCACCAACAACACCACAATCACCTCCTCATTCAAAGACCAATATGACCATCGTCACTCCTTCCAAAAAAACATCTCCTCTCAAGCTGAGACCACAAACATCTCTCCCAACCTCCAAAAGGAGGGTTTTTTAAATCCCAACTCACCTCTTCTCCTGTTCCTCTCCTCCTCCAGCATTCTCTCCATGGCTTCCAGCCTCGCAGACCATCTCTCCTCCATCCCTTCGATCTCCTCTCGCTGCGACTCGGTCAGCGTCTGTCGCAGCTCGGCTAACGCCCTCGCCTGCTGGCTCTCCGTCTCGGAGCGTTCTACCTCCAGCTGGCCCATGTACATCTGCTCCATAGATAGACGCATGGCAGCTAGCTCAAGCTCTCGCTCATTCTGAGATCACAGAGAGAAGAAACACATGAAGCTGTGATTGAGTGGTAGGCAGTGGCTTCAATTCAAGACACAAGTTCTTATCCGTATTATGAATAAATGGTGAGCCTCCCTCCTTACTTGCTCCACCTTTACTCATCCTTCTGATGAATATTAAAATCTACAGCCACACCCACAACACACCTTAGCCTACCTCCTCTCTCACTCCACCTCTACTCACCCTGTTATGAATATTGAAATATAGAGCCACGCCCACATCACACCTTAGCTTCCCTCCTCACTCACTCCACCTCTACTCACCCTCTAATGAATATGAAAATCTAGAGCCACGCCCACATCTCATCTTTCCTCCTCACTCCACCTCTACTTACCCTGTTGTGAATACTGAAATATAGAGCCACGCCCACATCACACCTTAGCTTCCCTCCTCACTCACTCCACCTCTACTCACCCTCTAATAAATATGAAAATCTAGAGCCACGCCCACATCTCATCTTTCCTCCCCACTCCACCTTTACTCACCCTGTTATGAATACTGATAGAGCCACGCCCACATCACACCTTAGCTTCCCTCCTCACTCACTCCACCTCTACTCTTAACTCACCCTCTAATGAATATGAAAATCTAGAGCCACGCCCACATATCATCTTTCCTCCTCACTCCACCTCTACTCACCCTGTTGTGAATACTAAAATATAGAGCCACGCCCACATCACACCTTAGCTTCCCTCCTCCTCACTCCACCTCTACTCACCCTCTAATGAATATGAAAATCTAGAGCCACGCCCCCATCTCATCTTTCCTCCTCACTCCAGCTCTGCTCACCCTTACAATAAAACCAAGAGCCACACCCACATCTCTTCATAGCCTCCCTCCTCACTCACTGTATACTCGCTACTTTAGTATTAAAATCTAGAGCCACACCTTAGCCACTTTCCTCACTCAACCCGGCTCTACTCACTCCTCTAATGAATATTAAAATCTAGAGCCACGCCCACATCTTACCTTAGCCTCCCCTCTGACTTGCTCCACCTCTTCCCGGTACGCCTGCTCCAGTTGTCCCCTCATCTCAGCAAAGATGCTGTAATGCTTGGAGTCCAGCTCCCCCCTCAATGCCTCCATCTCCCACTCGTGACGGTCCCGCATCTCGTCCAGCTCCCGTCGTCGCTCACGCTCGTGGACGTCCCTCGCCGTTCCCAGCTGGTGCCGGCGGTCGTCATCCAGCTCCGCCTGTAAGGACTGCAGCTTGGTCTCAAAGTGAGTCCGGAGCTCGTCCAGCTGTTTGTGGGGGAAATTTGTGTGATTTACGGTTGTTTTATTGCAAGGAGTTCCGGTTGACAGTGTAAATGCACTTTAAGGCCGTGAAAAAAAAGTTCATGTTTATTTACAGACATCATCTTTTTCATCCACCCAGTAGTGGAGTTATGGACGTACAAATCTTCTTTTTTTTAACAGAGTTCTGTCTTTTCAAAGTGTGCAGAAATTTTACTTAAAGCATATGTTTGGAGGGAAACTCTGGAGAAAGGTAATTGAGAAGACAAATTCTTGAGATGAGTGTAGGTTAAAGGATTGATAGTTTTGTTCAAAAATCTCTCGCCAGTTCAGAGAACTTTTACCTCGAAATTGGCCCATTAAAAGGACTAAAAATACCCCGAATATTACAAATATTAGGGTCAAATACTGCAAGGAGGAAGTTACGTACTCAAAATGGGAGAGGTGTAAGGATGATGCGTTTACAGAAAGGAGGGGGCACTTTCAATGTTTCCAAATCTCAAACTTGGGAATTTTCAAACCTGGAGAAGATTCTGATGAAGAATATTCTGCATTTGAGCAATGTTTAAAGTTCTAAATTAGGGGGAAATTATTTGCATTTAATAAAATGAAATAATGAATGCAACAATAACACAAGCTGTGGACTCTTCTTTTCTCGGTTTTGTTTTTTCTGCATTTCGTTGCCTACTTTATTTTTTTCCTCCAACAAAATCTGTAATTAGTTTTTCTCCTTATAAGTACATTTCTTGTCACTTTGGTTTGAGGATTGGGTCAAAGACAGGCTTGAGGTTGGAATTCAGTTTTGGTTTCAAAGTTGGAAATTTCTCAATTTTTGAAAGGACAGGACTTTTCCATTCACAATTCCCGAAAGATTATTTTCCCCACAAGAAAAGAATTGGAAATTCATCAAATGAAACAGAGGAAACGTAGAGATAACAGAAACACAAAATAAAATGAGCAGAAAATTCAAGGACTTTTTTGGTCGACTTGTTTTGCAGTTTCGTTTTTGCCTGGAAAGTTCTCAGGTTTTTGCCAGAGTTTGAAAAGTATTATGTCTGTCTTTGAAATCTCAACCCAAAAGTAATCCAGAAATACTCATCCAAAACAATTTCAACACGAATCCCAGCTTGTGTTTATTGCCACTTCAATTTTAAATGCATTTTTTTTTTAATGCACAATTTTTTTCTTTTGAAAGCAATGTTAATGAAAGAAGCACTGTTGTTAGTAGAATTTGGGGGAATTTTCATGAGTTAGTAGAAGTGGTTAGGGAAATGAGAAAAGCAGGGGGAAAATATTAAAGGGGAATGCCAAAGCCAGGAATTGGAAATAAATTCACAACCTTTTTGCATGTATTTGACCCAGACCTTCACAAGCAAAATAGTAAAACTCAACAAAATGCTGAAAACACACAAATCCAAATGATAGATTTTTAACACAAATATTTCAAAAAACTGAAAATTGACTAAAACAAATTCTAGGGCAAAATCACAGCATCCTCCATTTCTGAACCTTTTCAACCATGTCAACTAGACACCACAGCAGTTTTCTCAACAAATAGCTGTAGCGTGTTTATCTTTTTCCCCTCCTTTTTTTCAATTTTTTATTCTTCAGTTGCGAACAAAAGTTCCTTAAATTTTCATTTCATGAACTTTCAGATTGTTCACCCACTTCAGTTGACCAATAAAACAAAACTTTCTATTAATATACATATATACACATAACTATAACTCATTAAACGCAGATGCTGTTGAAGGCAATATTGTAGCAAAAGTCATTTCAATTTCTCACCCCAAAATATGTAACAACTAAATTGTTCATTTCCCAATATCATGCCTTTTATCCCCCTTTTATCTCATCTTGCATTCCCTCACACAAAAAAATCAATATCGCCCATGCAAAGACACTCATCACATCAGAGGTCATGCAGAGGTCATAAGGTCAAACTGAGGTCAGAGAGTACGACCTCAAGTCAGTTTTTGAGAGCAATACAACATCCCTTACCACCCAAAAGGAAGACATAAAGGAATGCTTTTTTACATGGCACTTTGGCATATTACAATGCATAAATTGCTAAATAAGTGTACGCTAAACTTTATAAATACATAATTGCATCTTAAACCAGGCAAAATATATATAATATTAACTTCTGGATCATACTTTTCTTTATAATGCATGATTTTGTTACACTGATTTTTATCTTAATAATACTCATAAGTGTAGATGCTTTCTAGCACCAAATGCTAATTTTTATCCCATTTTTCTATTTCAAAGAAATAGCATCTACACGAAAGTTCTAAAAAAACATTACGGGTAATGCTAAATATCCCTTAATTAGTATGTAATTGCACCCCACTGGCAAGCTTTCTTCTACAAAATAAAAGCATTTTGATGCTATCCACGAAAATGTTGTTCAACGAATGTAGCGGAATGTCGCTAGATACATGTACCTAACACCACTATATCGAACATCCGTCTATACTGAACATCGTTCTTGGCTCCCGATTTTTGTGTACAAATTTTTTTTTGGAAGAGTGACAAGTGGCTATTATTTCCCCAAGGACTAGAAGGGGAAAGCCAACCGTTGTTGTCGGTAGAACGCTCAAAATCTGTGTAATTACATGATTCAATAGTCGACACGTGTTCAAAGTCATCTTTCAGTAACTACATGTACCAGGCCGTGCAAGGTGAAGTTCTGAAGGGGTATATTTATTGAAAAGTGAGTACCGGAGCACCAGCAGCTTAAAATCGCTATTGCAAACAATTTCTGTGTATCTCACGATGTTCGTTATAGCGGCGCTCCACTGTAATCCCGTCCCATCCTATTTGCATTCAATGAATATTCATTTGTTTGACTTTCACACTGTAACTACAAAAGCAGCTATTGAATATGCATGAGATATAAATATTCATGAAACCACTTGACCTCTAGGCTCCAGGTTTTTGCAAAGGTCAAGTAAATAATGCTTTTGAGTCAATGAACACAAATTTGCAGGTGATGAACAATATAATCCAATACTGGTCAACCACTGCCGCCATTGAAAATTTAGAAACCAACTTAAGTACAAAAATAGTAATCTGTTATATGAAATTAATTAAAAACGTCAAAGCTATTTTAATTTTGTTTTTCTGTGTTAAACCCTCAAAATGGCAGATTCCTGTGGAAGGAAGGGACCTAAACTTGAAACGTTTATAAAAATTGGAATATTCTTTGAAATAAAATCCTTCTTTTGAATATCAATCGTGCGTATTTTTATGAATTTTTCCACAGAAAAAAATGTGCAGCTGGCAATACGCGCCATCCATGCAAGCTACTACTCAAATTGTCAAAAATATAATAATAATTCGACTACTTCATTCTCTGATGAATAAAGAGCCATTGCATCCATTTGCTTAATTGCTTCGTGGAGCTGCGTAAGCACGACCAATCCAGGAAACACAGACAATGAAAGATTGATAGTTTGCGCCGCAGAGAAAAGCCCAAACAATATGTCTAGAATCATAATCCCTCGGAAATTCAGGTGGCAAAAAGAAAAAAAATAACAGTAAGAGAAGCGCGTCACGAAGGAAGAATACACAGGAAATAGCTTCTCTTTTCCTGTTAGCACTTGGGGGGATATTCATTCATTCCCTAAGTGGTTTGAAAACATTTCATTAAAAAAATGGCTACTTGAAAACATTTCATTAAAAAAATGACGTACATTGTAGATGTACTCTGGCAATGAAATTGACTATACAGCTGCATTGGTTTATGAAAGAGAATAAAATGTGTAAGAGGTTGTTTTTTGGGGGGTGATATAAAATATTTTTTATTTTGTTGTTCCATTTGGGGTTTGAATTTAGTGGGTTGACTTGACTTTGAGGAATTCAAATGGATAGATCACGGAACATGGATTTATTGAGGTAAGTTGTGAAGTTCTGGTAGGTTTAAAAACGTTTAAAGCAAAATACTAGAAGAGTAAGGGTTAATGTTTGAGTTCGGAAATTACTTTTGAAAGGTGTGAAATCTAGTCTTTTTAAATTTCAGTGCAGAATAGGGTAATGAGAGAATAAGTTAAGTCAAATTTTTAAAGATTGAACCATTACCAAAGAAGGAAGGATTGTGACTGATTGGTTGTTTAATTTTCAGGTTATTTTACTTTTTAGTTTACCAATAGGTGGTTAGTCATGATTCATTTGAGTAGAACAATTACATGTATGCAATTTTTTTTTCTTCGCCTATATCGACTTTTTACCGTGAAATAAACTTCCCGTTCACAATAAACCTTTTTTATTTTTGTGAGAATTTCAGTAAAACTAAGGTTGGTGCATGTATTTTAATTTAACTGGTAATGTATTGGAAAGCTTTTGGAGTACATGCAACTCTAAACATTTCAATAATTCTGAACTTATTTGCTGGTTTTGTTAAGGCGGACCAATCAGCTCTTTTGCTTTATATGGAATGTTTCGCTTAGACATCACCCGATGTGACTATTTTACAGAACAAAAATATACACTTGACATTCAGCATGTATGTATAGAGAAACATATATAAGAAACTACCACATGTGTTTGAAACTTCAAAAAGTTGAGTTTTAATCAACTGAAGCTACAATACTGGACAAGACCCATCGACCTACCTCGATTTTTCATAGCGCCGTAGTTTGTTAAACAAATATTGCAAGGAAGAAAATAACTTAATAAGAATACCAATGCACCTGAGATTGGTGTCTGGTCTTGAGGAGGGAGATCTCATGTAGATGTTGTTCCTTGGATTTCCCGTCGACGTCGTCAAACTCCGCCCTCAGCTCTCGCTTCAATCTGGCCACGGCGTCAGCATGTTGGCGGTCCTTTTCGAGCCTCATACGCTGCAGGCGGGCCAGCTTGTCCTTCTCCGCGTCGTTCCGGAAGGACGTCATATCGTCTTCGTAGCGCTTCTTCAGGAAGGACTCGCGGTGCTGGAACTCCAACCTCTGCTCCCGGAAACCCACTTCCCAGCGCCGGACCTCCACGTCCTTGTGTCGCAACTCTGCCTCAAGGCTGGACTTCTCCGTCAAGAGCTGGTGCTCTCGCTGCTGCAACTGCTGCTCAATGTCCCGGAGGTCGCACTCAAGGGACCGCTTCTGGCGAGAGAGCTCCTGTTCCAAGTGGTCCTTCTCCTCCAACAAAGCTTCAAGCTTCTGCTGCTCCTCGATGCGCTTCTGCAAGGCCAGCCTCTCCTGCATCAGCTTTTCTTGGACCTCTTCTTTCTCGGAAAGCTTCTTGAGAAGCAGTTCCTTCTCCTGCCTTAGTCTTTCCTCCCTGGAGTTGGAATCATTCAGGATGTCTGATAGGCTCAGTCGCTCCTCTTTTTGTTGTTCAAGCTCGCCTTGTAGCGATTTCTGATGGGCCTGTAATTCAGTTAACTGCTGGCCAAAGATGTCTTGAACCTCTTCCGAGACTGACTCATTGGTCTTGATTTTCTTTTCAAGGTCCTCAAGTTTTGTTTGGAGGTTTTCCTTCTCTGATTCCAATCTGGCATTGCTCTCCTGAAGGATGCCAATCTGCCGAGTTTTCTCCGTTAAGATCTCATGCTCCGTTTGTTCCTTACGTACAATTTTCTGTTTCAGCTCATCCACTTCTTCTTCGAGAGCAAGAAGTTTCTCGTTAGAGTTTTCCTCCTTCTCCTTCAGCAAGTTGGCAGCTGCATCTTTCTCCTGTTGCAAGGCATCCTTCAGTAGTGAGTTTTCTTTTCTGTAGATCTCTGCAGTTTCATTCAAGTCCTGTTTCAATCGCTCAATTTGGTTTTCGAGATTTTTCTCAGTTTGCTTGGCTGCCTGGATGTCTCTCTCTCGCTTGAGGCTGCCAAGTTCCTCTTTAAGGGTTTCGTTTTCAAGGGTTAACTCTGTCTCAAGATGTTGCAGTGACTCATTCCTGGCCTGTAGTTGGGGGAGCCTCTCCTCGACCTGCCAGCGTTGTTTCTTCTCCTGCTCTAGTTGGGATTTGACAACCCCCAACTCCTGCTCTGCCTCCTGCCATTCAGCCACCGCGTGTTTCCGCTCGTCATCGGCAATCTGTAATTGTTCCCTCAGCGATGTAATCTCCGCCTCTTTCATGTCGATGCTCGTCCGCAGGAGATCAAACTCATGCCTTAATTGCACCAGGTCAGACGCCACGCTGGCCCGCTCCTCGGCCGTTTGTTCCAGCGAGTCACGCAGGATGGCATTTTGTTTCTCCGCAGCTGTCATTTCTGGTGATTTCCTGCCACTGTTGCCCGAGGCCGAGCTCCCGTCATCGTGATGGATGTTCTTACGCAGTGCCACCTGCCGCTCATAACTCTCCCTCTGCTGCTCCAATTCCTGCTTTAAAGTCGTGTTATCGGACAAAGCCGCAGCCAATTCCTTTTTCATCATCTCCTTGTCCTGTTTGGCGTTACCCATGACTGCAAGATCGTGCCCGAATTCTGCATTCTTAGAAATCTGAGATGCAACTTCAGTTTTCAGCTCTTCATTTTCGGACTTGAGCATGGACAGTTCATCGGTGAGATGTTCAATTTGCCCCTTGGCGTTTTCGTACGTGCCTGAGTCCTTTCTGAGTTGGGTGTTAATGTTCTTTAGTTCATTCATAATTTCCTTTAGCTCCTCAATTTGTTCGAGGTCATCCTTGTGTTGCTTCTTAGCAATTAAAGATTCTTCAGAATGCTGTGTCTCCAAGTGATCCACAGTTTGCTTTAATTCGTCTAACTCACTCGCAGCATTTTGTTGTTCACTCAAGCGAGACAAGGCTTCACTGAGCTCTTGCTTCACCTCATCCCTGTCCTTTTCGAGCCGGTTGAGTTGATCACTTAGAGCTCCCTTTTCTGCTTCTAGCTCAGCCACCTTCTCAGACTGACTGTTCCTCTCGTCTTCCAAGAGACAAATCTTTGCCTCAAACTCTTTCTCAGTTTCTTCCATTAAATGCTGAAGTTCTTCTTTTTCCTTGAGGAGGTTTTCTCTTTCAGAAGCCCAAGCATCATCTTCTCCTAGCACAGCAGCCGATTTGTGGCTTTCCAGCTCTCCCCTAGTCGCTTCCAACATATTTGAGATTTTAGATTTCTCCTCACCGATCTGTTTCACCTTGGTCTGATGCTCTTCATTGAGTTTGTCCATCTGTTCCTGGTAGGCTGCCTTATCCTGCTTGCTGGTTTCCAATTCAGCTCGCAGGTTTTCCAGTTCATCAGCAATCTGGGATTTCTCATCCTCAGACTGTTCCGACCGGTCCGGTGATTCTGCTTCTAACTCTTGAAGACGATCGTGGAGGGTCTCCAGACCCTGGGAGGTTGTGGGTCTGATCTCAAAGGTCTCTAGGTCGAGTAGGAGCCTCTCATTTTCGGCGTTCAAGCGATCCTTCTCATTGATGACATTGAGGAGTTCCTCTTGCAGCTCCTCTTGCTCGTGATGGCTGGAGTCAATCTGTTGGAGGAGGGCATCCCGAGCTTCTGACAGGTCCTGGTTCTCATTCTGCAATCTCCTGATCAGATCTGCCTGATCAACAGTGTCATCCAGACTAGTCTGGTGAAGCTCAAGCTGCTTCAGTCTCTTCCGCTCAGCCTCGACTTTCTCAGCCAACTCTGCGTCATATTTATCCTGGAGCTCCTGCCGAGCCTTCTGCAACTCAGCGACAAATTCCCTGTCCTTCTCAGCTCTGATGCTCTCCACCTTCTGCACGTACTGCTCTTCCAAGTTCTCCTGGATCTCTTTGAGTTCATCTTGGTACTCTACTCTCAGCTCCCCTTGAAGCCTCTTCAGGTCAACCTCATGAGAGTATTTCAGATCATCTATTTTGTCTTCGTAGTCTAAGCTGAGGTCTTCTTTGATAGTTCTTTTTAGCTCCTCAAGATCAACTGGAGCATCACCGCTCTTCTCTCTGAGGTTCTCTAACTCAGCTTTCAAGGATTCCACCTCCTCCGTATGAGAATCTTTCAGGGAGCTGTTCTCGTTGAAGGTTGTTTCTAATTTCGTGTTCAATTCTGCAACAACCTCTTCATGGTCTGCCCTTAGCTTGGCGATCTGGTCCTCATAGTCAATATTGATCGCTGCAAGCCTGTCAGCTTCTGCTATGTGCTGCTGCAGGGATCTTTTTACATTATTCAGTTCATCACTTTGGGATTCCTGGAAGCGCAAGAGATCCTGGTTGGACTCATCCAGTTGAGCACTCAACTCTTCCTTCTTGCTGCACTCATCGTCCAGGATCATTTGAGTTGTATACAGTTTTTCAGTTTGATTTTCGTAAGCCTCAACCGTCTCTGCCAGCTTCTGTTTCAGATTTGCAATCTCGTCCTGGCTTTTGCGGCTCTCAGAGTCTCTTTTCTCAAGTTCATCTTTGAGACCAGCAATCTGCTGCTCTAGGTCCTCGCACAGTCTGTTGTTCTTGGCGTTAGCATCCAGAGTCCGCTCCATCTCACTACACTTCTGCTCTAAGAGGTCCTTCTCCTGCTGGTGGCGTTCCTGGAGCTGCTCCTTGATCATGACGATCTGATTCCCGAAGCTCTCATCAAGCTCGGCCTGGAGCTGGGCCAGACTCTGCTCGCGAGACTCTGGGCTCAAGTCACCACCTTGCTCCTTCAGCTGCTGCTGTAAGGAGACAATCTCTTCAGCTGAGTGTCTGCGAAGGTCTTCCTTCTCCTCGACAGCTTCCACCAGCTCCTTGGACTTCTGGGCGTAGCGCTGGGCCAGGGTCTGCATGGCGGCTTCCTTGTCGCTGACTGTCTGTTTCAGGGCTGTCACCTGCTCCTGGGCATTGGTCAGTTCCTCGGCCAGACTGCCGTGGCCACCATTTTGCTCCTTCAATGAATCCCCAGCCTAAATGGAAAAAAGAAAAGAAAAACAATAAGGCTGGTTAAACAAACTATGAAGAAATTCTATTTCAACAAATTAATTTGTCACTTCACATCAAGAAGTAGACGTTGCTCCACTTTAATTTCTACCTTGCTTCATTTTAATCTACTAAACTTTTTGTCCCAACTTAACTTCATAAGGGTTTTTTTTAATAAGCATTCACTTACTAGAATATATAATCTATAAGAAAACAACTTCAGGAATTATTAGAATTTTTTACTTTGGTACTAACATTTTGGCAAGTATAAAATGTTTCATTGTCAGCTGTACTGGCTTATACTTACAATTCTGTGTCCATATGTACATACATATGAAACTAAAACCAATCAAAAAGTACTCAACAACTACAACCAAATGATTGTTTAATTTGCTCTCAAACTCAAGTGTGTATTTCTGTACCGGTGCCTATACTACTCAGAAAAGTACTTGAACATAGCATTGCCACATCGCATTACGAAAACGTTAACATTTGTAATGTTGGGTAGTTGATCCGAAGTGGCAGTGGGCATAAATGAACTCTATTCAGGCATGCGACTGCTAAGTTCTGAAAAAGAAGAACTCTCAAACTTCACAAGACTTAAACAGTGTTTTAAAGGGAATGTACATCATTGGCTTTTGCTGTAATTTTCAGAAATGAACTATTTGAGGGGTTAGTATAATAGATCAAATATTGTTACACTGACATGTTTGAAGTTTTGTGTTCAAAAATGCTGGAAAAACCAAGAAAAACAAAAATGTTCAAGTAGTCTGGTTCCTTGACTCCACTAAAGATAAAATGGATCTATTTATAGATGCCGGAAAATTGTAAGGTAAGGGAACCAGTCTAGCTGGCCTGCACCCGTTCATGAACATGTAACCAATAGCAAACAAAATTTGGACCGAAAAAAAGTGTAAAGTTGGAGCAGTAGTTGAAAAATAGTTAGGTTTTTCCAACGGTGGTCGGCCGACCACCGTTGGAAATGTATACAAAAATACCGTTTTCTTGAAAATGACTTCATACCAGGTGCCATTATTTTACAGGATGCTTTAGACTGTCATTTACCAACATCCTAGTAAGGTATTTCGTAAAAACTTGGTAGTTTTATTTTTCGACGTTTGCAAATGTTGTATATTTCCTCTAATGGCATTAGTGTGAAGTGACAATGAGGAAATCAACTGATTCGAGAAAAAGTGTATATTCTTGACTTCAAAAAATAAAGAGTGCGCCAAAAAAAGTGCAACATTCACAAAACAAATAATTTAAAAATGTTTAATTTTTTGTTCTTCAATGAAATTATATATCACATTAAAGCCTGACTTTTTCTTAATCCACTCCTTTTTACCCCATTCCATTTGGTGCCTAGATCCAGAAATACAATCAATTAAGTGAAAGGGCGTAAATTTGACTTGGGCTACTCTCAACTGGACATGCTGAATCTGAGTTAAAGGGAATGTACAACATTTGCTTTTGCTGCAATTTTCAGGAATAAATGGATTTGGAGGATTAGAATGTTATAACAAATATTGTTAAACTGACTTGTTTCGCGTTTTGGGCTTGTAGATGCTGGAAAAACCAAGAAAACCAATCATGTTCTTGTAGTCTGGTTCCCTGACCCCACTTAAGATGAAACGGAGCAATTTATGGACTTTTGGGAATTGTAAGGTCGGAGAATCAGTCTAGCAGGTTTGTACACCTTCACAGGTGTGTAATCAATTGCAAAGAAAATGTGGAATAACTAATTATGAAAAATTGGGAGCAGTTTTTGAAAAAAAGCCAGTTTTCTCCAACGCTGGTCGGCCGACCAGCGTTGGAAAGATACCATTTTTCTTGAAAATGACAGCACACCAGGAGCCACGATTTTACAGGACGCTTGAGACTGTCATTCCCTAACAATCCAGTAAGGTATTTCGTGATAATTTGATCATTTCGCTTTATGATGTTTGCAAATGTTGTATCTTCCCTTTAAGCATTGAATAGGCATTGAAGTTGGTGACATCACAGGTGAGAGTGGCCCAAGTAATTTCACTTAATTGATTGAATTTCTGGATCTAAGGACCCAAATGGAATGGGGTAAAAAAATGTGCATTGAGAAATAGTCAGGCTTTAATGTAATATATAATTTCATTGAAGAAAAAAAATATTATTTATTTAATTATTTATTTTCTGAATGTTGCATTTTTTTGGCACACTCTGTGTACTAAGTACAACTGCTTTGAATAATCCTCAGTACCATGTGTCTTCCAAAAAACCTTCATTTGGCCAAAAAAAAAAGTCTCCGGTTTCTGGTATGGAGCTTACCTAAAAAGTGGTGCGGCGACGCGGCTTTTTTTTTTTTTTACCTGATTTTTTTGCTTCAAATGTCAGCTGATGACTGCAAATGGTGCCCGACTAAACTTAGTGCAAATATATGGGAGTCAAGAGAGGCCACATTCTCGACCATAACCCAATCTAAAAACACGTTAAAATTGTGCAGCAGCAGGATTCCAGTCAAACCAGTGAGTTTAGCGGTTTTGAGACATCATCTTTCATTGGAAAAAAAACTTTTTCATTTTGCCGATGCGCATGGCTGCGGCGACGCGCAAGCATACCAGAAACCGGAGACTTTTTTTTTTGGCCTTTGGATGAATTTTTTTTAACTACATAGTTCAGCGTACACAGGACTTTTTAATTTGTCTCATCAAAACTATTTCATCGCTTAATCATCTACCTCTTGCAGTTGCGACTGGAGGGTGCGTATCTGGCGCGCCAGCTCCTCCGTCTGCGCAGACGCTTCTTTCTGGATGTCGTCGCGACTAGCGAGGGCGCCCTGTAGGTTGGTGGACAGGTGTCGGATCACGTCGTCGCGCTGCTGCAAGGCCTGCTGGAACTCTTGGATCTGGGTGAGAAACAAAAAATTTGAAAAATTATCACAAACTGAATTTATTTTTGTAAAGTTTTTTTTTTTTTCTTCGGCATTTACTGACATGATTTTTACAAGTGCTGCATATTCTTTCATGCATACCTTTGTAAATACCGCAAAATCCTCTAAAACTTCTGTAACTGTAAAAAGGAACTGTAAGTGTAAGGGCCAATGTAAACAGGTCAGTTTTACATTGCTATTTTGGTCTAAAAAGTCATCTTTCACATGTGAGCTGTATCTTAATTCATTTTACATGTATAAGATTGGGGAAAGTTCATGTACTTTATCGGTACATGTACATTACATGTATAGTAGCTCAAACGCTAATTGCACTCAACCACTATTTGAAACCACCCACCGCCCTTCCCCGCCAAAATATTGGACTAAAACTTCAGTGTCAGAAAGTACTAGAACCAAGGCTCATGTATAACATGGCCAAGTTTGAGCCCTAGAGGGCGCCATACACAGCACCAGCCTCGACCCTGTTACGCTAATTGCACTCAACCACTATTTGAAACCACCCACCGCCCTTCCCCGCCAAAATATTGGACTAAAACTTCAGTGTCAGAGAGTACAAGAACCAAGGCTCATGTATAACATGGCCAAGTTTGAGCCCTAGAGGGCGCCATACACAGCACCAGCCTCGACCCTGTTATTCCGTCTGGCGTGATGACTACACAGCGTCTAGTCATGGCCGTCCCAGTCAGACTCGTCCCCAGGGGACCGACTCAAGTCCGGTTGTGGAAACAGCTGACGTGCAGTGATAAAGTCACTTCTGGTCTGACGTTCTTGCATTGAACTACAACAAGTCCTCGCGTGGATACGCTCACCAAAAATAGGTCCTGGCTTTTTAATTCTCCGGCTTCTATTGGCACATCTTTCCTGAAATTACAATTAAGCAATTTCCGAGAGTCCCAGATTTTTTGTTTTACTCTCAAGCTAAAGCTCACGACAGTAAATCCGACAGTTTGCATTAAATCAAAAGTGCATCGCTGGTCTATGTGATGCGCGTCTTTCTCAAAATAGATTTCACTCATCAAGCTTCGCAGTTCCCCCTTATCGTTCCCGAAATGAGCCCCGAAAACAGTACTATCAGATAAACTTGTAAATCACAAGCTCAAGTTGTTTTTTTGTCAAAGGAACACCGATTCCTTGACCCTATGAACTTGACACTGTTTACATTGTATTATGTTGCCCTATTTTCCAACGAAAACTGGATTTGTTTGTTCAGTCGATTAGCACACTTAATACCCTCTCCTTCCGTTCTCCAAAAAAAAAGCCTTGCAATGAAGCTTTTTTTAAAACAAAAAAAACGGTTGTTGAAACTCTACACTTTTGACCCCTTGTCATGACTTGTTTGCTCTCACTTTTCATGGCTTCCTTTGGATAAAAAAATAGGCATAGTTTAAAATGTCTTTGAACACTGGAAGGCCTACATCTTTTCTTGGGTCTGGATTTTGTTATTTCAGATGCTTAGAAATTCTGTTTTTTTGCAAGGAGGCATTTTATTTTTCTTTCAAAGGAAACTTGTCAGCATTTTGGTTTCTTTAAATAGCCCAAGTATTTGTTTCCAACAACTGCTTTTAACATTTTCCCCGGCTGGTAACTTGAAGTCATTTTCTGACGTCCATCCGTGTACTGTATTTTGAAAAATATCATTAAAGGTACATGTAGAATATATCATTTGCAGCTATATTATTGTTGAAAAGCTTACTTGGTTTAAAGATAGCAATGGCAATAAACTCCCTGTGAAATTATTCCGTCTGGCATGCTGACATTTTGAAGAAAACAATAAAAGAAGGCCATTTCCATAGATGCATCAAGTGATGCACTTTTTTTTTTACAATGCCAAAATGTTTTTAAAAATTTTCTGATGTGATTCATTGCTACCCCCTTAACATTTTTCATGCAACCTTGGCTAAAATCGCTACTGGGCATTGTCACAAATTTTCCAACAATTCCCAGAGCAAATATTATGAACGACATTTCTTTTGTTATGTTAGAAATGTTTTCCACTGTTTATTATACCAGCGAGCCACGCGACCCAGATCTAAGCAATGTCCCTCTGTACAGTGTAAAACTTGTTGACAACAACAAGGTATGCATCTAGCCTGTATCTATAGGCAGCGTTGACGACGACCTTATTCAGCCCCGCTGTATTTTTGTTATCATCAGGAGCCAAGCCAGCTGACCAGACTTAGTGTCTCGACTCACCTCAAGAACATTAATGGAATCAACCCCTTGTCTGACATTGCAGTTAAACATTATGAAAAGCACATTTGACCTTTCATGAGATTGCTCCCTCTACTGACCAAGAGCACCTTTTGTTCACGCACAAGCAATCTCTGGATTCAAAAGAAACACCCGGGCTGACATGGATCAGTCCCTTGGCGTTCGATTAGCTCTGACATCATTCTCGGGGTTCAACCGGGTCAGCCACCACAGACCCAGCTGGTGGAGCAGAGTCAGTGGTGGAAATATGTCACACGCATGTGTTGTTCATTCCAAGAAATCGACAAATATGGCGGCCGGACAGCGGAAATCTCAAGAGGACCCAAAAATAAAATTTATTTAAAGTCTAAAGGTAATTATTTATTGAGTTCATTATGACTTTTGAGGCTATAATTCCAGCCCAATTTTTTTTAGTTTTGCAATTGACTGAAAAGCAGTTAAAGGGAAAATACAACATTTGCAAACATCAAAAAACGAAATGATCAAATTATCACGAAATACCTTACTGGATTGTGAGGAATGACAGTCTAAAGCATCCTTTAAAATCGTGGCTCCTGGTGTGCTGACATTTTCAAGAAAAACTGCATTTTTCCAACGCTGGTCGGCCGACCAGCGTTGGAAAAAACTGGGTTTTTTTTCAAAAACTGTTCTTAATTTTTCATATTTAGTTTTCTGAATTTTCTTTGCAATTGATTACACACTTCTGCAGGGGTACAAGCCTGCTAGACTGATTCTCTGACCTTACAATTAATTCCCTAAAGTGTATTAAGTGCTCCGTTTCATCTTATTGGGGTCAGGGAACCAGACTACAAGAACATGATAGGTTTTCTTGGTTTTTCCAGCATCTACAAGCCCAAAACGTGAAACATGTCAGTTCAACAATATTTTCTATAACATACTAATCCTCCAAATCCATTTATTTCTGAAAATTGAAGCAAAAGCAGATGTTGCACATTCCCTTTAATCTCAAAAGAAACTACTCTAAAATGCCCTCATGTCACAGAGCACAAAAAAGAAGGAAAAAAGGGGGGAAGGGAGAATTCCCTTTAGATTTTCAAGTCAAGACCAATTCATAATTTACGCAAACTTTGACTAAATGGGCTCCGTGCACCAACGAAAGAGGGCGCCTTTTTACCTAGCAACGACATCCCATGGGTGGGACATTTAGCTGGTTGACGCGCACCGTTCCTTGTGTGTGACGCACGTACACCAGGGGATTTGTACTATGTACAATGTACACGCAGTGGTACATGGTACGGCCGCCGCGCGTCGCGGCAAAATTGCAGTCAGGCAAGATGGCGTCGGTCGGTCACCCCCAACTGTGCTTTCTTTGCCGGTGAGGGGGTACTTGTGAACAGAGCGGATTATGTAAACTTTGGTGAATCTGTTAACAGTTTTTCACTACTGGTAATTGGAGCATCAACAAACCCTAGAGCTCTCATGAGAGGTTGAGATTAAAGTCACAGCTACAATCCGATCTAACAACAGATAAAAAACTTGTCCAAGTTTGGCCAGAGCACAAGTCCAAATGTCGCACAAATCCAGGCCAAGGAAGATACAACTTGTTGATTTATGATCCCTGTGTAGTACTGATAATCACAGTGTCATTGAATTAACCTGAATTAGGCTTGGCCCCAGCTAAATGTCTGCCCACGTACTAGCACTACCTGCCTGTCCTGCCTTGCCTGTCCCCTTCCTTTTCCCAACTGCTCAATCACTAGAAACTTACGCCTAGTCTACATGTACACCTACGGTAGCACCCTGGATCAGGCGAAGTGAGTTAATGAGTGTTTGAGTTTTGCCGTTCTGAATCACCTGGAATGATGATACAGCAATATCTGATATGGCTTTTAAAAAAAAAAAAAAATTATCAACCGAACAAAAAAATGGATTAAAAGTTTGTAAAAAAGTTGCAAAGTCATGATTAGTTTTTTCCTGAGAGGAAATGTTTTTCTTTCACTTCACGACTATATGCCAAAAGTTCATCACACATTAAATTGTATTCCAAAAATACGCTTTTACACGTGACCAGACCTTTTAGAGATTAAATACAATTGTACTTCTTTTGTGAGGGGGGGGGGGGGGAATTGAGTTGGACATTTTGGACTATTATTGCAGATACTGAGTCAGTAACAATCTACATATACATTACAGGATTTGACGATAGTTTGCGTATTTATTGGAATGCTTTCTGAAAGAACTAAAAAAAAAAAATTACAGTTTAAATATTGCTACTGTAGCTACCCCAAGTTCATAGGCTAAATAGAGAGCATAAAATCTGTCATTTGTTGATAATTAAATTCTGGCAAAAAGGACACTAATTTTGAGCAGAGTTTCAAAAAATCAATACTTGATAAAATGCACTCAGGATATATCCACCCTTCATTCCCCCCCCCCACCCCTTTTTGTGGTTGTAGGGGAAATATGTTAAGCCTCATTTTTACCGAAGACAAGAATAAAATGGGCCTGTTTCTAATGTGCAACACAATGATTAGGCAACGAGTACAATTCCCGAAGTTGAACTGAACTGGGTGTGTGTGCTTGGCCTCGCGTCTATCGCTTTGTTTTGACAGGAACGCCATCAAATCCTCTTTCATCAGCCTGTCAGGCCGATTTCTTCTCAAACTCTCCCCAGAATAATGCAAAAATATGAGTTCCTGCTTCTATTTACGGCATCCGGGATAAATTTACATGCAGAGGAAACACATGCACAGCGAGTAAACATTCCTGCCGTTATCTTAAAATATTCGATACAAAAAAGGTGGGGAGAATTAACGTCCTACATGTGACGGGAGATAAAAGATTTGACAAGAAAAAATTGGATTTGATGTGTTTATCGTCAATCCACATGACATAACCCTCCTATGCAAACATGCATTCTGTGCCAAGAAGTCCTTGCAGTCAAAATCAATCAAGTGACTGTTTTCAACCCTTGTGAATTCCCAGCCCACATTAAGCAGGATTGACTGGCTGGGACTGTTTACGTAGCTTGATGCAGCTATGCTTTGACTACGGGTGAGTGATAAAGCAGCTGTGACCACAACCTGCTTTGTCTGTTGACCCAGTTTGACTAGTCACAGTGCTTGCTTGACATGTGATCTGACTGCTGGTGACTAGCCTTTGTTGAAAGTATAGCAGGAAAAGTGGAAGTGAATTTTGACTGTCTGTGACTGCTTAAATAGCAGGAGGGATAATGGATTTTAAGGTTTTTTTCCCTGAAACGTCACAGTAAATCTGACCTTAACTTTGTCATTAAAAAATCAATTTAATTTGCTGTTTGTACTTTTAAAATGTCCCATTATATTCCCAACTCCCTGGACATTCTTACTTAAGTTCTTCCTGTATCCTACAAAATCCCACACTTTAATGGAATCCAATTGCATGTTCACTATACTTGAAACTTTTAAGGAGCATCAAGCTTCATGTAAACAAACAGCTGCCAGACCTTGCCTTCCTCAATCCTACAATATCTTCCAAAACTTCCTTGGTAGATTTTGACAGATCTTGTGTGGTTAGGGGAGTCCGAGTAACAGACAATCATGTGTGCAGAGCTATGGTCAAACGTCTGATATATCCTAGCATGCCAAAATGTATGCAACCCCACGATTGAGTCGTCTTTAAAAACTGAGGTCCTTTCGATCAGAAACATGGACTAAGCTGTTGATTGGTCAATTTGGATGCCATTTTTGTGTGTATAGCAATGTGTTACCGAAGACCCAATATAAAAGGCACCCGCTGAATGGTCAGAATCTTTGAGGTCAAGACGCAGTTTTGTTTTGCGTAATTAATCGCGGAATCTGTTCGCATAGACTTGCTGTGCGTAATTAATCGCGGAATCTGTTCGCATAGACTTGCTGTGCATGGGGACATTCCATAGACTAGGGTAAGGGTCGCTGGCTAACTGCGTATATCTCAATAGAATGGTGCCGCCCTATACTCACCTTAAGATTATACTGTTCAAATGCTGCCCTGTATTCAGCCTCCTTTACTGCAGACTCAGAGCCCTAAAAACAAGAAGGAGAAAATTCAAGGTTATTGTTAAAAGGTCTTTCACCCAGGGGTACCCTAGACATGTAGAACCAGACGAGCAATAAATATCAGCTTCTGGCTTGTGATGATTAGTGGGAGTTCAGACTGTACCGGTAGTCTTGTCATTAATCTGCCTCGTTACTTCCTTTGTACTGAAGTATTACCACGAGAAGTCCAGGTACTAAATCCTGCAGAGTCTTTTGGTTGCAAACCAATAAATAAATAGATTCCCATAGACCTCAGTGATAATTACGCGCACTTCAAAACATTATTAAAAATATTCACAACTCCCCAAGGTGTTTGAGAAACACATCAAATTAAAGCTTATTTCGTCTTCCTTCATTTGATGTTCGATTTTCGGGGGTAATCCAATGACTTTTGGTAGAAAATGTCATCCAAAGATGATCACCCCTAACAGAAGTCCAGTAGTCCATCGCCACTTTGAAAAATGATGCCTGCGCTCCATTGCAAAATAGAGCAATTTTAGGGCCCAATTTCATCCGAATTTCACAGAAATACAGCTCTTTTTTTTACCAACCCTCAAGTTCATGGTCCTTAAAATGCTCCAATAGCAAAAAATGAGGGTATAATTATCCTGATTTGGCGCGTGTAGGCAATTTTGGGCCATTTTACTGGCCTGCACCCTTTTGCACTTGGCACCTGGGCCAATACTTGCTCAGCACCTCTCGGCTGTGAACCAGCCAAACCCGATACACTTCCAGTGATGTTCTGACTGGTATCCTGCTTATGCTTAGCACCACATTTCTAATACTTAGCAAATGAGCATGCCCAGTGGCTCAGACGGTATGGGAGGTTGTTTTGTCAACTTCGCTCACGCAAAGCTAAGGGCAAGGTTGGGCATAGTCTGCAACAATCAAAGTCACCCCTAGCTCACACAATTTGCCTATTAATTTCCCCCATTTCAAGAAAAAATCAACACCTTAACGACCCAAGAGAGACATTAGTTCGCAGCACCTCAAAGCCTTACTCCGGGGCAACCTGGCAAGATGACAAATGCGATAAAATAAAATGCTTAAGTCCAACAAACCGAGATGGTGGATCGCTTTCCGCGCCAAGTTTCACTCACCGAGTACACCTCAGGTGCAATCAATCTCGCCCCACTGCTTCCCAACCCCTTCCCTCTATACACGCCACATTAAATGTTGGAGAGAAAAAAGAGAAATCCCGGCAAGGGGCTAAGGTAAAACACTGCTTGTTGAGTGTGACTTTTGGGGCCAACCAGACGCTTGTCTGGTTTTTTAAATCGGTGCTTGACAACGTTGTCGGCCCAACTAGCCCTCCTGAGCTTTGCCCACCTTTAGCAGTTAGTTACAGTACTTCACGTACAGATGACACCAAAATGCCCCCAGTTTTCGTCCATGTCTTAATAGTTACACAGACTGACATCAAGATCCTACTGCATGAAGCTACATGTACATGTATACAAGCAGAAAGTGTTGCTAAACACATTTATTTGTTAATTTATCACTTACATACATGTACATGACTTGTCCATGCATTTGATTTTACTAGAATTTTTCAAAAACTGTCATATCCGTTTACAAGTACCCCCTCACCGGCAAAGAAAGCACAGTTGGGGGTGACCGACCGATGCCATCTTGCCTGACTGCAATTCTGCCGCGACGCGCGACCGTACCATGTACCATGTACCACTGCACTGCGTGTACATACATGTAGTACAAATCCCCTGGTGTACGTGCGTCACACACAAGGAACGGTGCACGTCAACCAGCTAAATGTCCCGCCCATGGGACTTCGTTGCTAGGTAAAAGGGCGCCCTCTTTATTGGCGCACGGAGCCCATGGGCTCCGTACACAAGTAACTCCACAGTTAGAAAGGGAGAGTTGGTGGAGACCACTGGTAGAGACATTCAAATGCATTGCTGAGAAGCTCATGCTAAGATGCCATGGCTTTTTGTACACGCAGAATCAAATTTGTCATGCGGACTTCGCGCTTTACGTGCGAGAAAACAGTACGTGCAGCAACTGGTGAGTCCTTTTCACTGGGTTCTAGAAAGTAGTAGAGAGCAATCTCTCTTTTTTCGCGCACGATATTATTTCGAGCACAATATGTAGCTTGGAAGTTCATATACAGTTGTAATTTCATTTTGACGATTCTACATACAGTTGACAGTGCATGTAGGTAAACAGCAAAATTCTCAGGCCAAATCAGAACTGGCCAAAAAAGGAACCAACTGGCTGAATTGCTCAGTAAATGACCTGTATCCACACTAAGCAGCCAGTACAGTGAGTTTGGACAATATGAGTCATGGTCATGACGGTTGCTTCCCCCGGATAGTTAGGGTCAGCGAATCGAGGTGGGTGGGGAGTTCAGAGGTAGGGTTAGACACCGGTGCGCGATGCAAACGCCTGGGTACCAACATGTACAGGGCGAGTCAAAAAAAAAAAGGAAACCCAAATGGCGCCCCCTATTTTGTAATGAAGTTCTGAATGTAGAGCTTTCCAGATCTAGGAAGTGAAAGCCCAATTAATAAGCTTTCGTTTAGTGCAAGAATCATTTAAAGCACTCATGTACCTTTTGAGTTATGGAATTTTGAACACAAACACAGTATCAAAATTTTGTCCACAGATCATATTTAAGATACGTGATATCTCAGTAAAATGAAACCATGTCGTATCATGAAAACGATATCAGAATAATCCCATAAGTCTCCAGGGTAGCCAAGTAGAAGGTAGTTTATGTAATGGCAAAAGCAGATTCGCTGATTAATTATGCAAGACTACCGCCTCTTTGACCTCTAGATTCTGACCAATCATCAGGCGCTTTCTATATCATGTCTTTGGTCTTTCATCCATTGTCCCATCATATACATGGATTAAAAAAAACCTAGACACAGCAATAAAGGCTGTGGTCACGTGCTCTTATGTTATGCAATACACAGCAAGCTTTTCTGGATTTATCGATCTATATCCCCGGCATATGTTGTATTACAAAACACTGCATTCGAATTGACCAAATCGAATTGCATCTCACATAACAGAAATTTAAATGTCGAGCCTAAACAATTAGGCCAATTTGCACGAGCAGACAACAGAAATTATCAAAATTGTGACAGCAATCTACGGAAGACGTCTCTAAATTACCAGGGGAACGAGTGAATAATCTTGCCAAAGACAACAATTGTTTTTTCTTGGTTTTTTTTTCTCCAACTTGTTATTTGAGTTGTCTGCAACAATTTACGAAGTGTCAAGGGATCACACCTCCACCGCGCAGAGGTGCAAATTGAGTTTAAGAAGGCGCGATTGGAATTGGTGTCGGGGGTCAGCGTTAATCGGCCCCATCCAGGCACGATGGGTCTTGCCGTCTAGGGGACTGTGTTAAAGGTCCCGCTGGGGTACAAAGGAGGTGCGAATTAACGGTGTGCAGGAAATTGGCAAAATTGGGCTTCACTTGCGCCCTTTTGGAGAGGTGTTAAAATAAGACGGTTTTTAACTGAGCACGTGTGGAGTAACGGCTTAATTAGATTGCACTCTTGTAAGCACGAACGCCTGGGGACCGGTGCACGGCTAATGGACCAAGGAGGGAACAGTTTGGGAGGGGGTGAGGACGGTGGGGGAAAGGGGAGGAGGGGAAGGGCACTGCCAAGGGGCAGCACTTGGAAGAGATTGCTTGGTCATGCAGGAAGCTGGCTAATGTGATAACTATTGTTACGAGATCATGGCGGCCTAGTGCAGCAACTTAGATTTAGCCTTGGCTTTGCAAGGGGGAGGGAAACTTGGTAAATTACATTTTGTTACAGCGAGACATTCGGGGGAGGGGGGGAAGAGGGTTCTGTTAGTAGCAGTCGGAGCTGCTGAACAGGAACGTGTTAAGAATTGCTACAGGTTTGGGTTTTTAAAGCAGATTCCACAGGCTGCCGCTCATGCACACTTGCAGATTTGATACCCGGTGTCCTGTAACATAACTGGTTCCCAAATCTGTTCAAAATGGCCGACTACATGGTGTCAACCCATATTTTCCCCATGTACACTAAAAATCTGGTAACCTTACATTAACCGGTGCCCACACATACATTATAAACCAAAGTCGGCCGGCTATAAGACATTTGACCCCGCATTCATGATAAAGATCACTTGGCAGGTCTGTTGGGGACAAACTGCTGCACCGTGCGACAATTTGCACTGCACAAAAATCCCCAGTTTAAACTGTCCCCGGATGCAATGCTACATGCACATGTGCCTCCTCTGAACACTTCCAATCTACATGTGTATGTAAAAATGTTTTATGGTTTGACTTTGAGGGCATGAGTGAAACACTGCTTCTACCAACCTCAGTTTTGCCGTTTCCGTTGCTGCTGGGACCGTTGTTGCTGTTCAGCGTGGCCCCTGCCCGTAGCTCCTCCATCTCGCGATGGACCTGCTCCAGAGCTGCCTGCTTGCCGTATAGGTTCTCTTCAAGCTGATGGATGCGGGAACGGGCTTCTCTCAGCTCGATGCGGGCCACCTCGGCGTCTAGCTGACCACCGTCGGAGTCCTGGGGAAGATAAGTGGAAAGAGATGTTGTCACTCATAAGTCAACCGTCAGTCACCGCAGCTCATCACAAAATGTTACGAATCAGTCGCTAAGTCGATTGCTGGTCGTCATGAGTGAATAGCAACTTTATCAATAGTTGTCACAAGTTATCAGAAGTCAACAATAATTAATAACAAAAAAATGGGGGGGGGGGACTAAACATCCTTACTCGCTGCTGAGAAGCTGAATTGCAAGGGACACGGCTACAACGTGGTCGAGCCGAAGGCATGTAAAGGCGCCTTAGGCAGCCGCCGTACGACCCAAGCCTGATCATTGAGCACAGCCAGATCGAAAGTGTTTAGTTTGGAGGAGGGAGGAAAACTGAAGAGCCCAAAGAAAAACCCTCGTGGCACAGGAGAGAATCAACAAATAACTCTACTCACATATGGTCTGAGCTAGGGAATCGAACCCGGAGCAGAGTAGTGAGAGTCGAGCGCTTTACGCACTAGCCACCCATGCCACCCAAAAGTCACTAACAAGTTATCAAACGTAAATCACAAGTCAATCACAAGTCAATCAAAAGTCAATCAAAAGTCAATCACAAGTCAATCACAAGTCAATCAAAAGTCAATCACAAGTCAATTAAAAGTCAATTAAAAGTCAATCACAAGTCAATCACAAGTCAATCACAAGTAAGTCACAAGTCAATCGCAAGTCAATCACAAGTCAATCACAAGTCAATCACATGTCAATCACAACTCAAACGTCAATCACAAGTTTATCAACGTCGCTGCAAGTCAATCGCAAGTCATCCCAAATCGATCATAACACATCCATCACAACTCCTCAAGAGATGTCACAAGTCATCTACTCTCAAAGTCAACCCACAAGCCAAATGAACCTTGACTAAGGTACATGTATGGGTGTATTACGTTGACATCATTCATCACGGTCACTTGTGTCAGTCCTTGTGACTTGACTAGTGATTGACTTGATTGCAAGTCTGTCAGACATGTCAGAGGGCGAAGACAAAAAAAAATACTGGGAAGACAAAATTCTGGCTAGTCTAAGAAGATATGAGGACCTTTCCAGCTGCACAAGACTACCGCATTTTTCAATTAGCAGTGACGTTGGACCAATGTTTAGGAGAGGAAATGAACAGATCCAGGGAAAAGTCGCAAGCCAGCTTTGCCCTAACTCCTTTAGGTCACCTAAGTTTAAAGGCCATTTCTCAAACTTCGGATTCAACTCTGAATTGGCTACAGGCTGCAGGTTCCTATTCTACAAATGGTTCTTCAGCCACAGTTGCAACCGAAGCCGGGGTCGAAATCATGATTTGGAAAATGCCCTAAAGCCATGCCTATAATGCGAGGAGATCACACCTCCCGTTTCCCTGAAACTGTTCGGCAACCTGTTTATTCGATTTACCGAGCAGCCGCAATGCTGTACATTTAAATAGTTGAGGCGTGAAACCTGTGACTCATAGTCTCTTATCAGCTGAGAACTTCAAGAAATCTCCCACAAACTTTTAAGAGCAGTCCTCAAAATGACTGGACTTGCCTGCCGCAGTGCAGCTGTTGCGAGGCATCAGTGAGAGACGAGGAACCAATGGATGATGTACTGCATTGTCTGGACGATTATGGAAGAGCGTTTAAAGGGATCGTACGGTACACCGCTTTTTTTTTGGAAGGGGAGGGGAAAGTTCTATGAATGCTTCTTGGAAAGTAAAATTTGTCCCAAGCCAATGGATCATAAGGCTGGAGTGTTTCATGTTTTTTCTTTGGCATGAAATGACTGAGACTATTTCTATTTCCCCTGGAGGGAATGCCAATCCATCCCAGTTACTCCCCAGCTAACGCCGGTACCCATCTCTCCTGGGTGGAGAGAGGCAAGTGGGTGTGAAGTGGCTTGCAGCAGATGAGATGACATCTCCAATGGGTAGGCCAGTTTTCACTGCGTGCAACGTCTTCCGACCAAATCACTTGCCAGGATCTTTTTTTCGGCAGGAATCCAAAATTTTAACCAAAAGTTTTGAAAAGGGGGTCGTGTGGATATATAAAAGGGCGAGGACCCCATTAAAACAATTTCCGTTTAATTTTATTTCCATCCGGTTAATCCCAATAGAGACCCAAATGTAAGTTTCGATTCTATTCAAGCCAGAAAAGAGAACAAAATTTGGCTGGATTTTTTCCTTGTCTCTGGGAGATGGTTCACAGATGTTGAATACTGTATTTGGTAAAATATTAACCGGATATTTGGATATTCGTTATATTCAGTACAAGCCCTATGAGAACCGATTACAAACAATGTACACAATTGCCTTGAACGGCATTTTTGAGGCTGATAACCTGATTTGGTTAAAAAAAGACCTGAACCTGCAAGGTCAGTTCATCTGGCTCAAATTGTTTCCAGACAAAAAAGCCGAATACAACTCCATGTAATATCCGGCCCCCAGGTTCCCTACGACCTGTGCACATACGGACAGCGGGGTTCGGAGCACGAAAAAGAAAATCAAATTACGTTGCACAGGATGTTTGGTTTGGCGGGTTGATCCCTCTATTGCGTGTTACCACGCCTCTATCATCGGTCAAATAATGCCTAGGTAGCGCGCCAAATTAGACACACGTAAGTGCTCGGATAAAATGAAATATCATCATCAATATCGAGCTGTCATGCACAGATGTTTCAAATTCCTTCAACTTTCAAAATGCACTTTCGGTGCAAAACTTGACTAACCACATCTGTTTTTGTTTGGACAATTTCAGTGAACGATTGGAAAATGTTCTACATGTATGTCTGATTGTGATTTCAACCTCTGCATCAAGGACACCTTTCACAGACATTATGGGTGTGGGGAAGGGTCCAAATCTGTTCATTCATAACCCTCTTCCCAATTCTCACAAGCACCCTACAGAACCCAACGCAACATCCAAGAGATTTCCCACTGTTGGATCTTGTTGGCTTCAGCCTTTAACCCTAACTCCCTATACTGTCTTTTGTACTGAACCAAGTCGGCCAAACTCCTCCAATGACACTGCCTCCAACGTATGCTTTGCTTTAGGCCTCCAGGCCCAAGTCCATCATACTCCATCAGTATTTATAGTCAAACCAGGCCTGCAGGACCACGTCCACCAAAATCCACCAAAATGGGGGATGAATTTTGATGGAGTTGGGGAGGTTAGGATTAAGGGTTAACCCTGACTTCCTATGCATTTATGTGAGAAACGTCCTTAATCCTCCAAATTTCTCTTCTGTGCAGGAACCAAATTGCAGGGTCTTTGTATTTACTAAGTTTCAAGTGGCATGAAGTGGCTGGGCTCAATATTTCTCATTCCTACAAAAAAATTCCAAATCCTCTTTGCAAAAGGGAGGATTTTGCAGGATTGAGGCTACATGGCAAAAGTGTGTTGCTGATTTCGGAGGATGCACTGTTTCAAAGTCTGGGGCCGAACCATGTGTTGTTTATGCTCAGCCGTCCATAAATTTAGACCATGTACACGTACTTGAAATCCTTCGCACTGTTCCAGGATGTCACTGGCTCTGCATCAACATATCGACAGTTATTACTGGAGGATTTTGCAGGATTGAGGCAGTGGTCACCCCTCTAAGGACCACATTCAAGTAATAACAGAGGATTTTGCAGGATTGAGGCCATATGCTATTTTTACATGGAGGCAGTTGGAGGATTTTGCAGGATTGAGGTTGCATCCTAGCCAAAATGGCTAGGGAGCTAGGGTTAATAGGCTTACCTACCGGTAGACTTGCTAAGGCTTTGGGAGATGCCAATTTTAATTGTTTCCAATCCTGTCCATTTCAGATCTCCAGATCTCCGCGGTCCACACTGTTCATCTTAATACATGTTTTGGCCGTAACCAAGTGGTTAATTGAAGCTGCGTGCGACACTCTCACACGCAACCTAAAAGTCCTCCCCGGACCTCCAACGATACGTGACCACACAGACCCTTGCATTCTTTTCTGCTAGACTCACGGGCCACTGCGCGGTGATTTGAATTATTTTGTTCTACGAGGGGAGGGAATTCAAAACTCGGACCGACAGCCAAGACATGTGTTCCTCCTCAACTCCAGACAGCAATCACCTGACCAGGTGCTTTTGATTGGCGCACAGGTGCTGCGGTTTATTTTTGGCGGGGCGCATGTGGCCCACTGGGGCACCCCTCCGTAATTTTTTTCTTAATTTTTTTTTTACAATGTCATTCTGGTGGCATGTGCTGACAGCTTAGGCTAAATAACGGGGGGAGGGGAGGGGGAAGTAGTCTGTGACCAGTGGAGTTTGCGTCCATCGCGTGAGAAATATTTGTGGTTTTTCTTTTGGTTCTGAGCAAGGGCGGATCCAGAACACAATTTTGGAGGGGGCCAAAAAAATTTTGGTCCCCCAAAAAAGTGGGTCACAAAAATTACGGCGTGGGGTTCGGGGCCCGCTTAAGGGCCCCGAAATTTTTTTTGGATTCTAGATGCTCTGTGGTGCGATCTGAGGCAATTTCTGACCACTTTAACCAATGTTTTTTGAGGAAAAGATGGTGGTGTACTCATTGCCTGCCTTTATTGCGATGTCACATAAAAAAAAAAAAAAAATTGTTTCATTTTGGGGGGGGGCCACGGCCCCCTTTGGCCCCCCCCCCCTGGATCCGCCCTTGGTTCTGAGACGGTCTTTCTTAACTAACAACACTTTCTACTGTTTCTCTTCCAATGAGTATTTTGTTATGGTATGGAACCTTTGTGGGGAGTGTGGCCTAGTGGGTAGGGTTTGTGACTCATGATCAGAGGGTCAGGGGTTCGAATCCTGCTGTCGGCCATCTGTTGTGTCCTTGGGCTGTTATGTCATTCTTCACCCCCACTTGCCTCTCTCCACCCAGGAGTATAAATGGATACCTGCAGAGGCTGCATTAGCTAGGGAGTAACCTGTCATGGACCGGCATCCTATCCAGGGGGGATATTCTCTGTCGTTTCATGCCAATGAAACTGGAGATAAAAACGCCGGCCTGATGAGCCATGTTGGTTCGTTACAGACTTACATGTACCGGGTAACTTACTTACTTTATCAAAGCTTATTTAAAGAGGAAAGGTAAACTAAGTGATAAGTTTACGGGTACGCCATAGAATGGCTCTTCTGTGAAGAAGTGAAGTTCTGAATAGAACCGGTGGTGAGAATTGTTCTTGACGTTTCAGACAGCGTACTGTGCTCATCTTCAGGAGAAAAAAAATTGTATACACACTGGCAAGCACAATGTACGAACTGAACATGTCGCGTATACATGACCATGTACAAAATGTTTCAGTGAATATATTGACAACTTGACGGTTCATATATTCGGGGGGGGGGGGGGAGGGGGGACCAATCAGGGGTGAAATTACCAGTGGACAACGCACATTTAATGACCTTTCTAATTAAACACGGAACACAACATTAAGCAAACACTGTCATAAGTTTAGGCTCATAATAGTTTCCCCACCATTGTGGCTGCAGTTTACTGAAAGACAACCGCAAGCTTAGCATTTGGCGAGTTGCGGTCACGACTCTCCTAGGGTGTGGTCTACTGCATGCGTCGGGCCGTCCGGTCCAGTGCAGTGCCAACAGCGATTTGCATCAAGGGTTAAAAAAATAGGAAAGCTGGGGGGCCTTTTCCTTTGACCACCCAGCTTGCTCATAATAGCTAAGATTCTAGTCTAATAATAAATCGAGACATGTTTTCTTTGTTCGATTTTACCAAAACTTTGTGAAAGTTGAGGGGCCTTTTCCTTTGACCACCCAGCTTGCTCATAAAAGCTAAGATTCTAGTCTAATAATAAATCGAGACATGTTTTCTTTGTTCGATTTTACCAAAACTTTGTGAAAGGCTGGTTATTGTAATTTTTTTCCGGGAAGTCAAGGGACTTTCTCCAAACTTGTTTGGGGATGAGATTTGTTCATTACAATGTAAGATTGCATCTGAAAGAAGTGACCCCCAAAAAATTTCCACTGTCGATTGCCAGGTTTACAGACGACCTTTTACGTCTCTGTGGGACCCGACTGGACGTAAATTAAGTTGAGACCTCATTTTCTTATCTTATCTAGTCAGAGCTGTCTCTATTAGCGAGATTTCTAAAATTCTGTGACGCCAAATATATGAAGCCAATAAATTTATGGCTTAGGAGTTGAACGTACCGGTATTTAGTTCAGAGTCTGTCCATCCGACCTTTTCATTTTTTTTTCAGTAATGGTTATCGCTTGCAATTTAGAGTAAGACCCGGGAGAGGGGGAGGGGTCCACTGGGGGGATACAGGAAGGGTCAATTTGCACTTTGGGTGACTGATGCTACAGACTGGTCGGGAAGTGGCACGCAGTTTTGGCGTAATGTTGCCACGCGCGGTAAAGTTGTTCTTCCAGAGGTGCCCGGTTTCTCTTAGATCAAGCCTGTCAGTGCTGAGCAAACGTTGTACACTGATGAGTGCTAGCATCGATTAGTACCTAGGTTGAGAGAGATCTCTGTCTGTACCCGGTCAATTAGCGCGCTGGAACATGTTGCGCAGCGAAGCAACTGCTTGGCATACCACTGCGTCTTCATTATGACACACTTATGGGATTAAATGTGCGTGCTATTTTCGAATTGGCACTCGCGCTTTAGTCAGAATTTTAAAATGTGGTGCCCGGTTTTGCGTTGAATTTGATAAACAGGGCTCTGAAGATGCAGTGAAATTTTAGGCTTTTGCTTACAGTTCAACAACTAAAATATGGAGTCTAGAAGTGTCTCACAGATGCCCGGGCTAGGGGTGTGCATCAGAACCAGGTACCAGAGTACCCGACCGCTGATGTCTGGAACCAGCTCCAGATGAGATCGGGTACCCGAAACCAACAAATAACTTAGTAACTTCTAAGACAATGAAGAACTGTTTTGAATGCCATTTGTTGGGAGCTTTCAAAATAAAAACCAGAATACGTTGAAAAGCAAAACAGATTTCATGTTAATGTGCGTTTCCATGCGTATAGCTGACGCCTGCGAAAGTTGCAGTTTAGAACACAAAGCTATGAAGCCCTTCAGACAAATTGATTTGAATTTAAGGGTTGGGTTTCTTTTATGGGTACCCGGGTGTTTTTCTTGAATGGGGTACCTGGTTCCCGTACTACCCGTAAATGCTGCACACCACTAGCCCAGACATCCCAAGTTTCGCTTAAAGCTACAGTCCATCATTTGCAGCTATCCAAAAAGTAACTGACATAATTATTGCTGAAAAACATACTTGGTTGATAGATAGTAAGGGGACTAAACTCCCTGTGAAATTATTCTTTCTGCCAAGCTGTCATTTTGAAGAAATCAACGTAAGAAGGCCTTTTGGAAATGTCCGTTAGTAGTTCGGTTTTTTTTATTCGGCGAAGCGCGCAAGCATGGGAACGACGCACATGCGCGCACATCGCGTAGCTGCAATCGGCTCAGTGAGAACGTGTCTGGGATGCTGAATTCAGGCCCAATTCAAAACATGATTCAACAACTTTTGATTTCAAATCGAGATCCCGAAATGCTGTTTTTCTCAAAATCTACACCTGAAGCTAAGCTGAAAGTTCATCAGGTTAGTTGTTCAGCACCCTTCTTTGGATTTTGAGCACGTTTGTTGCTTCAAATGAACAAAATGCACAAATTACAAATGATGGACTGTACCTTTAACCCCTGATAGGCTTGGCTGGAACATGAATAGATCTTACAACAGGATGAGTTTCCTGGTTGTAGTGGAATCTGGTTCATAGACACCATGCCCAAAAATTGTTGAGTAGGGGATAAGGCAATCAACTTTCTAGAAATGATAAAATCGTAGTTTAAAACTTATGATCGATGAGTGGTTAGTTCTAAGACACAGTTTCAACACAGTTTTAACATTGGTGTCCTACGAAATTTGCCTCTATATATGGCCAAAAATGACCTTGCCCTAAAAATGTCAACTTTCCAGGCCAGATGTAAGCGCCCAGGGGAAGAGCTTTCATTTTCAACCTTCGTAACTTCAATAAGATGCATCAATTACATGTACATGTACATGTACCTATGTGTATCTGTTCAAAAGAAAACTTAATCCACTCAATCAAAGCATGATACAAGTGATCGGCCGACAAGATATTTCATCCGAACCTAATCGCTCAAAATTCAACACAGCGGTTTGGTGCTGTTGATCTTTTTGAAACTTGGACAAAAATATTGTGGGAATCGATAACACCGTTGACAGTTTCAGTCACGTTTGTCTCGGGGATGAGTGGTCTCGTCCGGAAATGCTGGGGTAATCTTCTAGGATTTGTGTCGTCTCTGGATGGAGTATGGGAAAGGGGGTATGTCCACGTAAACACGAATCTGCTGACAAAAAGTGCATCTGTGGATGATTATGAGTGGTTTCTTATCCACCGATCAGCCAGGGTCGTGAATACATGTTGTAACTTGCATAATTTCCAACCAAATATGTTTTTGCAAATAAACCACTAAAGGAAACTGACTAGGTGAACAAAGAAATTGACTGGAGCGGGGTTTGAACCTGCGACTTCCGGATTGCCGTTCCGTTGCTCTACCAACTGAGCTATCCAGCTCGGTGTTTTTGTCAATGGAATCGTTGCTTTGGGGAGATGAAAATTGTCTCGTCTGAAAATTTACAATATCCGTTCCAGAACTCTGTCAAAAGTCAATGATCACAGTAGCCATTGCTTTATCAGATTCCTATTGCTGAACCAACCCCAGCAAGCTTGGTGGTTGCGTGGTTAAGACATCTGCACCAGAAGCCAGGTGGTTATGGGTTCGATTCTCACTCAAAGCTTGTGACTTTTGATTCTAAAACAACTTTTCTTCAGTTTACTCACCTCACAAAGATCATCTGTACCAACAGACCTCTGGTCGCTCTGAAAAACAAAACAGAAAGAGAAACAAAGTTAACGTTTAAAGTTAACGTTTGAATTGTAAATAATTCTTTCAATAAAACACAAAGGAAAAGGAGCCCGGTTCTCTTTAAAGGGAAGATACAGCATTTGCAGACATCACAAAACGAAATGATCAAATTATCACGAAATACCTTACTGGATTGTTAGGGAATGATAGTCTAAAGCATCCTGTAAAATCGTGGCTCCCGATGTGCTGAAATTTTCAAGAAAAATGGTATTTTTCCAACGCTGGACGGCCGACCAGCATTGGAGAAAACTGGCTTTTTTCAGGAACTGCTCATATTTTTTTCATAATTACATGTAGTTATTCCACATTTTTTTGCAATTGATTACACGCCTGTGAAGGGGTACAAGCCTGCTAGACTGATTCTTTGACCATGCATACAATTCCCCAAAGTCTTATTGGTCCGTTTTATCTTGGGTTCAGGGAACCAGACTACAAGAGAATGATTGGTTTTCTTGTATTTTCCATCATCTACTAGCCCAAAACTTGAAACAAGTCATTTTAACAATATTTGCTATAAAAAATAATCCTCCAAATCCATTTATTTTCTGAAAATTTCAGTAAAAGAAAATGTTGTACATTCCCTTTAAATCAGGAAGTTTGAATGAAAAAAAAAGACTCTTTGCAGCATTCGCACCTGCAACCAGCTGAACACTGTCCAGTGTTTTTCTACCAATTATCCGCTAATCTAACCAGCCCTACGTACATGCATGTCACCAGTCACCAAATTTGTAAACGTCTCTTCGTGGAACTTCAAACTAACTTTCGAAGATGTTTATCAACAGTGAGTGAGAATTTACCCCAATTTATTTATAGTTTCTCGAAAGGTCAAGGAGCATTAGAATGAGTGCATGATTTTATTTTCCAATAATAAAACTTGTACTTTTTCACTAAGGTCAGCCAAGTTCACAAGAGGAGATTTTGTTTCCGTCTACCATCGACATTAATTGTTCTCATGATCTATCAAGCCAACTCTCCCGAAAAACATGGATGACCTTCCCCCCCCCCAAGAAAAGAACTCCTCCCACACTCCAATGATTCAAGATTCACCCGGCTTCCTGGTTCCCCGTCAGTTGGTGTCCTGCCAGTCCTCCATCCCTAATGAGTACCACTTGTTATGGGACTCGGCGCTTAATGCGTATTCCCTCATACCGGGATTTGCCAATTAAGGAAAACCACACAAGATAGCTTGGATCTAATTGATGGAATACCGCCTTCGGCGAGAACAAGTATCTTACTTTAAAGGAAGCGAATCGATCATTTTGTTCACGACGTCAGGAATACTTAAAAAGTTTAGTTTCGACCCCAAGTGTGTTGCGATGATGGATTAAAAGTGACGCCCGGGGCGCTAACGGTACATGTTTTGTCACAAGTTTGACATTGAAGTATGGGTGTTTTGACCTCAACTGACCGTTGGGAACTCACTTCATACGAGACTCACCTTATCCAGGACGGTCCACAAGATTTTTACTGTTTGATCCAACATGGGCAAATCATAAAAGATGTGCCAGCAACCGCGTACATTGCACATTCAGTCCACATTTTAGGGAACAATGCGACTTCCTAAGTCAGGTTGTGTCAACACAGCATGTCATGAACACGCGCACAGCAGTACAATGTTGAGCACTTGAGAGCCCAACTACATGTATGGGTAAAAATAGTTCGACTAACTTCAGTACGATGGTTGGACTGGTCCAGTCTATCATTTGGAACCGGTACTGGACCCTATGGCACAGTTGCATCAATGGTTCCCACCAGAACTGATTGGTTATATTTAGTACTGAGGAAATCAATGATATGTAAAATTGGTAGCAACTGGCAAGTGGTAACATGCAACCACTGATCTCTATATAAAGACTGGATAGCTAATAAAGAGCCGCACAATGAACGAATTTGACGCCATATTGGTGAGACCGGCTGGTGATCTACAAAGGACAAGTTGCCGTCTTTATAGACAGCATGATTTCTTTTGTAACGTCGCGGTTCACTTGACTTATATTTTGGCCACCACCACTGACCAACTGACCAAGGTTTACTACAATTTTTCTAACGTCGTGGTTACTTTTATAATGCCGCAAATCACTTTTTTCGGCGTTTTTGAAATAATAATCACTACGGAAATGTGTCCTTTTTAGAACATCATAATATGTGTACGTGACCAAAATGCGCGTCAACTGTTGATACAACGCGCGCGTATTTACGCGTAGAACGTTCGTATATACGCGGCCATCTTCGTGAGACCGGGGGCGAATTGGTCAATATGCAAAGTCTACTGTGTGAATGTTGTATGCATATCCGCTATCCAGTCTTTATATAGAGATCAGTGCATGCAACCAGTGGAAAATAGCGTAAAATCTGTGAACTGCGGTTCACTCTCGGTTCGCTACACGAGTTGTTTGCGAGTCGATCTTGTACGTACCATTTGGTTTTGTTATATTAACCCTCCCGCTGTTTGAACAGTCACAGACAGTCAAACATTCAATCCTGTTCTCCTGCTATGCCTTTTACACCGGCTAGTCACCAACAGTCAGATCATATTTCAAGCAAGCACTGTGGCTAGTCAAATTCCATCAACAGACAAAAGCAGGCGACTGGTAGGCACAGCCGGCTTATCAATCTCCTGCAGTCAAAGCATAGCTATATCAGGTTTCATAACAATCACAGCCAGTCAATCCTGCTTTACGAAGGCAGGGAGCACTCAACTGTTAAAAAACAGTCAGTTGATTTATTATGACTGCTGGGCTGGCCTTGTTGAAATTGCCAGCCAGAGAGGGAGGCCTAATAATCCACTGTTTAATAAGATATTAAAGAATTTCTTGTTCCAACTTAAGGATCTTCTGACATGAAGCTAATGATGATGCCTCTTTCGTAGTTTCAATGACACAAGATCTCACTCATCTCGAATAGCTGCCGCAACAATTCAAGGTATAAATCTTAGGAGCTGATGTCTGCTTGACACGTCAGGACAGATTAAACAAAATCTTTATCAACTCTTCGCAGTCTTTTTTTTGGTAGTCTTCTGGGAATAGGAGGATTTTTCTGGGAATGACGATGATGCAAATTTAGAATGCTAAAAAGGTCACAAGTAATTCATAAATGTGAGAGCGAGTCATTATTTCACATAAATTATTATAAGGGAATATGAGCCTACAACACTTGCTTTTGCTGTAATTTTCACTAAGGCCCAAAAAAAAAAGTCTCCGGTTTCTGGTATGCGCGCGCGTCGCCGTAGCCATGCGCGTCGGCAAAATGAAAACGTTTTTTTTTCAATGAAAGATGAGGTCTCAAAACCGCCAAACTCACTGGTTTGACTGGAATCCTGCTGCTGCACAATTTTAACGTGCTTTTAGATTTTGTTATGGTCGAGAATAAGTTTTATGTGCTGTTCTTGAAGTCTGGTTCCCTGACCCTACTTTAGACAAAATGGACCAATTTACAGAGAATTGTCAGGTTAGGGAACCAGACTAGCTTGCTTGCACCAGTTCACGGATGTGTAACCGATTGCAAACAAAATGTGGACTAAATAAATTCTGTATTGGGGGCAGTATTTGAAAAATGTCAGGTTTTTGCCACCGATGGTCGGCCGACCACCGTTGGAAATTGATACAAAATTTCCACTTTTCTTGAACTGACAGCACACCAGGTGCCATGATTTCACAGGATACTTGAGACTATTATTTATTTATTTATAGGCCCCCCAAAAAATAATAGTTCTGTTTCCGGTTTCCGAACCTACCCTATTCTGACAGCCCTTACCCTAATTTTTTTATGAAAAAATGAGAAAACAAAAACACCCAAAACCATCACTTTCTACATTTTACCCTTGTCTACCTGTACTAGCAGACGCCTCCATATGATCGTACACACAAAAAATTTGCCAAAATAACAATTTCCCTACCTACCGACCCTATTTTCAAATGCCATGTAATCGGAAGCAGAATTTTTTTTTGGCCACAGATGTCATGAATGCTGAATAATTATGCAGTCTTCTTGTTTAATGTAAGCCAAAAAACTGCATACATACATGCATGCGTGTGATTGGTTTTGTGACGGTTTGACGTTTCTGAGTGGTCAATGAACTTTAAAGATGACAAATCTTGACTTGTTATTAACCAAATTTATCTACTGGCAAGGAAAAGTGTAGATTAATGTTTTGAGAAACAGGGAAGTGAGGGAACATCTGTCACCACTGAACGAGAAGATATATCAAAAGTGTCACCGTCACACTAACTCCTCATTCAGGTAAAAGTACATTTCAATTGAATGCATTGGAAATCGGAAGAGCAGAGAATGTGTGACCGAACATGCCCGCTAACACCCACACACGCACAAATTCTCCTGTATGCACATGGATGTGTTACTTTACAGTTTTTCGAACTCTGATGGTTTATTTTGATGGTTAATTAGTTTTGCGCTCCGAGACCTGTGCTGTTTTTGACAGATAAAAACCTATGGGGAAATCATATCTGCAGTGCAGTGTACCGTACCTCAAAAAGTGATACACATCAAAATGGTGGATATTTTTAAATGGTACGTTCTGTGTGGTAAAGCTTGGTGGTCGAGTGGTAAGACGTCTACAATAGTAAGTAGGAGGTCGTGGGTTCGTGTCCCAACTGAGTGATTTTTTTCTTACAATCACTGGGGACAACACTGAGCATACAGTGTTTACAAAAATATGTCGGTGAAGGGCAAAACCCATTATTGAATTTACATCACCCCGATGCAACTTCCATCTTATGATTAGAATGATAAAATGCTTGAACAGTTAAGTTGAAGCTGCGTTCTTTCTGTGTCTGCCAACTTTTTTCCTGTCTCTGGTGCGTCAGACATCAATGATTATATAATTCGGATGCATTCCTTAATTTAATGCAGTCGTCCTCCAAGAGTGATTTTGAATAGTAAACTACCTTCCCAACAAATAAACGTTTGAAGTCATTCTTAATTAATGATACTGAGT